CACAGAAATACTCTTCTTCTTCTTCTTCTCTCTCTCTCTATATATATAAACATTTTCCAAGTTGTCTAGCAAGGCATAAGCAGTGTATCAAACTGATATTGTCAGGCTGCATTTATATTTATATATTTTCTGTTCCTGATTCCTGGCTTTATTTACATAAAATCATTATTAATTGACATTCTTACTGAATCACTTTCAGGTTTCATGACCATGAAACAGTATATACATTTTGTGAAATAAAATAATTGTAGTATTAATTTTTAATTGTTTTATTAGATACTTTTTTTTATTTCTGTTCATTATTTATGCACTCACAAGGCACCTAAAATTTACTAAGCACTGTGTAGAGATTTATTCAGCGCTGTGCAAGCTCACAGTCTACTAGACATGATACAAAAGGGGAAAAAGAGTGAGAAAGGAAGAGGAAAATCAAGCAAATTCAGATGCCAATTCTTTAAGTTGTGTAATTGATCAACTAGCTTGAATGGCCAGTGAGAAGGAGATGGTTCTGGGAGAAAAGGATCAAATGGCAGCTGGTCCCAGATAACCTGATGGAATGGGCTTGGCTACCATGTCCTCTTCCACAGCCAGATGGAAATGGGAGAAGTGGAGCCAACACCAGCATTAACAGTTTCAAGAGTAACTTTCTGCCTGGTTTTCCTCTAAATTCTCCCGCCCTGATGCAGTTCATACTGAGAAGTTCATACTGGCCATGATCGCTGAGCATTCAGGAAACATTAGGACCAGACGGAGACCACCTGTTGTTTCCTGGGCGCTGAAAGTTCAGAATGACACTCCCTCATCCACATAAATACACAGAGTGACAAATGCCACCACTGATAAATTGCATTGTGGGATGGTTGATCATTAGAAAAGACTTAGCAGGCCAGATCAGGCCAACAGTTTGTTACCTCTAAACTAAATCCGTCCTCCAGATTTAAGGCCTTTGTTGTGAGCTTGGGTTTAAGTTCTCGCTCATCACAATGCACTTTTCTTTTTTTCTTTCCATTTTAATGGCCCATTCAGCTAGATTGTCCATCTATAATTGCTTTGGGGTGGATATAGCGCTGGCACAGGTTTGCAAGCAGCAAAGAAACAGGGAGAATCCGGGTGTCTGTATATGTGCATTTCTCCCTCCCACAGAGAGTTCTAGCAAAGTTAGTTGGTTGCAAGGACCTAGCACTTTGCTGCGTTTTCTAAAATACCACTTTTTTCAATTCAGAGACTATAACAGGAGTGCAGAACTTGTGACCCTCCAAATGTTGTTAGATTCCAGATCTTGTCATTCCTCAGTTTCCATCATTCCTGGCCATAGTGTCTGGGGTTGAAGGGCGTTGGGATCCAACAACTGGAAGCCTGCACTACAGGCTTGTCCAGTTAGTGATTTCCCAATATCTTTGTTTGATGGCTTGATCAGTGTGTGTGTGTGTGTGTGTGAGAGAGAGAGAGAGAGAGAGAGAGAGAGAGAGACTGTAGAGAGTCTGGATACTTTTCGTTTTGGCTGCCCATTGTAGCCCTATTGCCTTTCTTCTTTGGCGATCACTCGTAGCTGAGTAAGATTGTCTTCCATGAAAACGGTCTTAACAGTGAGTCCGTAAGTGACTGTGGAGGTCCAATTCTGGATCCACACATCTGTCCACAGGTTTCCAGGCTGGAGTTGATCGCGGTGAGGGCTTGTCAAATGTGCCTTCCCTTTAGTTCGTTTCTCCCTTTTGTCTTGAGTCCGTGCTTCTTCAAAGTCCATGACACCTTTGGTAACGACGGTTCTCCAATGGGAGCGCTCACAGGCCAGTGTTCATATATGAATACCAGCATATCATTTTCCACACACAAAAAAAGCACTGACTTTGATGCATGCCTTAGCTGAAAGACTAGCGCCTTCAAGGTGGCTGCTCTAGGGAATGAATGCAGCCCAAACCACAGCAGCATGGGCATACAAATCAATGCAAAACTGAACTGGACCTCCTGGCAAGCTGTGCCAAGCAGATGATAAAGGGTCTGGAAACCAAGCCTTATGAGGAATGGTTGAGGGAGTTGGGTATGTTTAGCCTGGAGAAGAGAAGGCTGAGAGGCAGTATGATAGCCATCTTCAGATATCTTAAGGGATGTCACACAAAAGATTATTTCTGCCATTCTCAAGGGTAGGCGCCAAACCAGTGGATTTAAAGGACAAGAACAGAGATTCTGACCAAAGGTTAGGAAGAAAGTTATGATGGTAAGAGCTGTTCCTCAATGGGATGGACCACCACAGAAGATGAACTCTTATTCATTGGAAGTTTTTAAACAGAAGTTGGGTGGCCATCTGTCAGGGATTCTTTAGCTGTGATTCCTGCATGGCAGGGGCTTGGACTAGACAACCCTTGTAGACCCTTCCAACTCTACCATTCTATCATCCATCAACACGAGTCTTGCATATGGTTACACCAGCTTCTATTGCTTCATAAAAATACTGGGCAGTGGTGGCTTGTGCCCATTGGGACTGGTAGAGAGGGAAGGCAGGGAGGCGAACTGTAGGTGGGACCAGAGTCAATGAGTGGTGGAACCAACTTATTCTAGTTTTGTCCCCATCCTGCTTCCCCCCTCATTGACTTCTATGGGGGCAAAACTGAGACTAAGGACAAGCAAGCTGACAGCCAGAGCCACCCCCTGGGATGGTTGCTAAGGAAGAAGGCAGGCAAGTGGCTGAGGGCAGACTGAGGTTGGTGGGGCAGCCTTTGTTGATAGTGGTCTTTGTTTGAGAAGAGGGGCCAGGAGGAAACCCTGAACAAGCCTTATCCTACTCCACAAGCACCATCTCTCTCAGGCCTCTGCAAGTGAGCCTATTCCATGCCATTGGGGTTGAGCATGGTGCATGTTCACCAGTCATAGAGCACTGGGATTACTACAAAACCAGCACACCTGTGTGTGGCCAGTCCCCTTAATAGCAAATGTGGGTGCTGAGCACCAACAGAATTGTTGGGAGCCAAAGTAGAGCCACTGGGGGAAAGGTGTAGGCATCAGCAAGCTCAGGAAAACCCTAAGTCAGGCATAGGCAAACTCAGCCCTCCAGATGTTTTGGGACTACAACTCCCATCATCCGTGACCACTGGTCCTGTTAGCTAGGGATGATGGGAGTTGTAGTCCCAAAACATCTGGAGGGCCGAGTTTGCCTATGCCTGCCCTAAGTTTTGCAGATGTAATTTTTTTAAAATCATCCCCCAATTGAGATATTATTATTATTATTATTATTATTATTATTATTATTATTATTATTATTATTATTTTAATGGTCCTCTGAGGGCTGGGCACATTTAATAGTCATGGAGTGTTGACTCAGGAGGAAAAGGGGGGGGAGTGGGAGAGGAGAGTGGAGTAGAGTAAAAATCCTTTTTTGTTGTTACCACCTCAGATTTTGCAAGGGAAACATTTGAATGTCAGCTGCAGACCGGTGTCCTCAAAGCCAGGCCGGGGTGGGGGGGGATTTCCCATCCGCCTCGTTGAATCTGTGCAAATTTTAAGTGGCTTGCAAAATGCCCCCACGTCGCATCATATAATAAGGCATCTCATTTTGAAGGGACTAACCTTCAAATCCACCAGCGACAGAGGGCTTCAAAGTAAGTGCTGCAGATGCATATTTATACCTCCATTGTGTTAGATCGCTCCCTAATTTAGCTGAGTCCCCAGCAGGAGATTTTCCTACTTTCCTCCTGATGAGGAGATTTCCTTGCCAAGGATTTCCAGCTGTAAGAGAGTGCATTGAAAATAGAAACCCATCCATGCTATCTCCATCTGCAAACAGGTGCAGAGGTAGCGGGATTATGGGGTAGAGGCAGCCCAGCTCCTTTGAAATCAGAAGAAGTTTTGCCATTGAATGTCAATACCCTCCATTTCCCCCTTTGCTTGGAAGAATTTAATGGACTAGATTTTTCATATGAATGTTTGCACCACAAAGAGTAGCCTGAACAAATTTCACATGCCAGGCAATTTTTTGCATATACTTAAAAAAAAAAAAGTTTATCCATTTAATGATACCAGTAAGGGAGGGATCCATAGCTCTGCAGCGCACTAACGCCACCCTTCTTGACCACTGCACATCTCTCTAGAATGGCTTTGACCGCTCCGCACAGGTGTAGTGACAGCAGGAAGAACAAACCTCTGTACTTCCTGTCTCATACAAAATAAATCTTTTGCAGCCTCTCCAGTGGGGAAGATGCTCGTACCAGGGACACATTTAAAGCTCTTTTAGTACTGCTTCTTCTCCCCCGGTTTCTGAAATTTCACCAGAGGGGTCAAGTGTTCTCAAGAATGCCTTTGGTCACCATGAGGCCTAGAAACTTGCCTTTTTTCAAAATGCACCCAGATTGGATTACGTCCTTGCATATTGACTTGGGATGGGGGGAGGAATTCTACTCACTTCACATATAAAACTTACCTGATTTGCACTTTGGGAAGCAAGATGGGAAACTGTCATTCACCCACCCTTCGAAATCTGCAGTTCTGCAGCCAAGTCATGTGTACGTAAATGCACATGCTAGGATAATGTGTGCATATGCATGCATATATTAGGGGGAATTGCTTTGAAGGGGGGGAAAGTGCATTTTTGCGCACACAAAAATGAGTGAACTGCAACATTTTGAAGGGTGGTTGTGGGCCAGTCCACGCATTGTTTTAGAAAGTGAAAATTAGGTAGATCTGCCTTAAAATGCGAAGAGAAACTAGTTTCTCTGCTAAAGCGACTTCTGGAGAGAGATCCAGACATCCTCCCATCTACATGCCACTTGCTCTTTGCAAGATGATTCAACACACTTCTCCCTCCCTCGCTTATCCCCCCCTCAAAAAAAAAAAAATCCCTTGTGTCAGCCAGCAGAGAGCATTGGGCTCCCCCGCCCCCCATGGTCAAGCACTCACTTTTCTCTGACTCTGCATCACAGTGAGCCAAAGGAGACACATCTTTCTGCTGCACAAGTCCAGTTTGCATAAAGTTATTTATGCATTTTCCATTGTATATTATTTTTGTGCAGGTGCTTATGGGATGAATAGACGTCAGAACACATACATTATGGAAAAAGGCTTCAAAGGTATAGTATCTGATGCTGGCAAGTGACCCCATAGTGGCCAGTTTGGGTAAGGCAGGAGAGGTGAACTCGCCAGCCCCAAACATCTGCAAAGTGGTTGCAAGCAGGGAGGCAAGCCGGCACGTTTTTTGAGACCTCTGGCGACAGCCCAGCTTTGACTTGGAGCTTTGCCGTGCCTGTTGATCTCTGCCCCGCATTCCTGCTATTATTGCCTTCCTCCTCCATTGGCAAACGAATTAGAACTGAGCTCTCTGTTTAGGAAAGCCAATGGAAGGAGCACTTGGTAAATGTGGGTCCACAGCCCACCTCTGATGTGGACTTGCCATGTGGTTTTGAGGCAACTCGTCCCCTGCGCCTCAGTTTCCCTACTCCCAAAGGGTGGCGGGCCTTCTTCAGCCTGAGGGCCACATTCCTTCTGAGCAACATTCCGGGGGCCACATGCCAGTGGTGGGCGGAGCCAGAAGCATAGCTGGGCAGAAGAACGAATGTAAATGTTGCCTTTGTACAGTAGGATAGTATCTGCATATGCTTAACACACTCGTCCTCTGGAAAGCATCTGGTTTCAAGGACACGCTCCAAAGCACTCGAGGAGTGTGTGTCTTGGGGAGAGCTCCAAGGGCCAGATAGAGAGGCCTGGGAGGCCATATTTGGCCCCTAGGCCTGAGGTTCCCCATCCCCGCCCTACCCTGAAAATGGAAAGAATGTTGGCTTACTTGGAGAATTGCTGTTAAAATATCTGCTCGAGAAATAAATGTTTTCCCTGAGCCTTAGAAAGACTAGATTATAAGAGCATTGCACTGAACTTTTGTGGATTTAAGGGCTAAAGAGCAGGGATCAAGAATGGTGGCATGAAGAGGGTTTTCCTTCTCTTAAGAAATGTTTTCTTTTCTTTGCTGCTTAGTTACTTGCTGCATTTATATCTCATATTCCATCATGGTGCTCAAGGCGACTCAGAACTGGGCTCCAGGCCCTAGCCAGCCTCCAACTAGCAGAAGCAAAATCCCCATCTTGAAATATTTTTAATTTCTCTCTGCAAGCTGCCCAGACAATCTCCGGTTATAGTGTGGCAGATATATGCTGAAAATAAACAAGGTCCCTGTATCATACGCTTTCAGACCCAAGCACCAGAATCAGGGCCAGCGCCAGAAATAGTCATGGCGTGGATCTACACAAAACGGGGGCGGGGGGGGGGAGAGACCACTAAATTTATGTCAGGAATTAGATCATTATAACAAAATAAAATAAAACCTTTGAGGAAAGGCATATAAACATTTTCTGCTCTCTAACGCCATCTGGTGTTACATGTTTATAGCACCTTCAAATCGCTGTTTCTTTACTAGTGTAGCTGAGTCCATGGTTGGTCATATTAGCAAGGCCCCTCAGCCCAGTGACAAGGTTCCCCTGGACCTGTTCCTCCTCTCAACAAAAGAGCATAAGAAGAAGAGCCCTGATGGATCAGGCCATTCTGATCCAGCATCCTCTTCTCACAGTGCCCCACCGGATGCCTGTAGAGCAGAACATGAACACAAGAGCCCTAATCTCCTGTGGCTTCCAGCAACTGGTATTCAGAAGCATCATGGCTAGTCGCCATCCTTTGTGAACTTGTCCAATCCTCTTCCTAAAGCTTTACAAGTTGGTGGCCATCGCATTCCACAGTTCAGCGATTTCCCCTCCCCACTTTGTCCTGAATCTTGCAACACTTAAACCATTGCAACCTGCTTGCTGGTTTACATGCCTCTTAATCTGGCTCAAGAGAAAGCTGATGGGGAGGAGCAGGAGTGGCTGTGGTTAAAATTTCTGCATTAGGAAAACAACCATATAGTTGTGGGGGGACTATGAAGTCTGATTGTATGCTAGCAGGTGATTGACAGATGGGGGCCAGTCTTGAAGGGTGGGTCACATCCGGATCCACCTCCAGATCTGAGTAAATTAAGGTCTTAATTTAGCACCAAAACTGATAATGATGGAAATAGATGTGTTTCCATGGTAAAGCATCCCACGAACTTTGTGGGGGTGGGGACACCACTGAAAAGGCCCATTCGCGCGTCGCCACCCCCCTCCACGTCCCTTAGATGAAACCTCTGAAGGAGACCACAGGGTTGGGCTGATCCATATTGAGGCAAAGACAGCGTTGTGGTCCTGAATAATTAAAGCTTTTATGGGCCCAAACTGGAGCTTTGACGTGACCCCAGAAACTAATCCGTAGCCAATGCAGTCAGGCCGCAATTGGGCTAATAAGCTCAGGTCTTTTGGTCTCAGTCCATAATTCAGCTGCTGAATTCTCCACTAGGTGCAGCGTCTGAATTATCTTCAAAGGCAGCCCCATGTATAATGCATTATAGTAATCTGAAGTGTGTCTAACTCCCCTCCCCCCCCAAAAAAAAAAGAAAAGAAAAGGGAAAGAACTTTTGAGGTGGGATTGTGAAGTTTGGAGCCAAAACTGCAACGCGACCTGGAAAATCTGATTTCCCCATGTGTGTCCTTTTTCTCATACAAGAGCCCCCTTGTTTATGGACAATTGAAGCCGTGCCACAGCGATAGTCAAGGAGAAGTGGGAGAAGGAGTGTTGGTTAACTCCAGGCACAGTAATATCAGTTGCTGGAAACCACGGGAGGAGAGAGTGCCTTTGCTCTCCAGTCCTGCTTGCGGACTTGCCACTGGGGCATCTGGTTGGCCACTGTGAGAACAGGATGCTGGACTGGATAGGACATGGGCCTGATCCAGCAAGCACCTCTTAGGTTCTCAGAGGGGGTTACAGAATAGAATAGAATAGAATAGAATAGAATAGAATAGAATAGAATAGAATAGAATAGAATAGAATAGAAAGAATAGAATTTATTATTTATACCCCACCCATCTGGCTGGGTTTCCCCAGCCACTCTGGGCAGCTTCCAACAAAGTATTAAAATACAGTACAGTGGTACCTCAGGTTAAGTACTTAATTCGTTCCAGAGGTCCGTACTTAACCTGAAACTGTTCTTAACCTGAAGCACCACTTTAGCTAATGGGGCCTTCTGCTGCTGCTGCACCACCGGAGCACGATTTCTGTTCTCATCCTGAAGCAAAGTTCTTAACCTGAGGTAATATTTCTGGGTTAGCGAAGTCTGTAACCTGAAGTGTATGTAACCTGAAGCGTATGTAACCCGAGGTACCACTGTAGTCTGTTAAACATTAAAAGCTTCCCTAAAGAGGGCTGCCTTCAGATGTCTTCTAAAAATCTGGTAGTTCTTTGACATCTGGTGGGAGGGCGTTCCACAGGGTGGGTGCCACTACAGAGAAGGCCCTCTGCCTGGTTCCCTGTAACTTCGCTTCTTGCAGTGAGGGAACCGCCAGAAGACCCTCAGTGCTGGACCTCAGTGTCCGGGCTGAACGATGGGGGTGGAGACGCTCCTTCAGGTATGCTGGACTGAGGCCGTTTAGGGCTTTAAAGGTCAGCACCAACACTTTGAATAGGGAAAGGGGGTTTGAATAATTGTAAGTAAGTAAGAAAGAGAGCTCAGTCGGTAGAGCATGAGACTTTAAATTTCTGGGTCATGGGTCCAAGCCACACCTTGGGCAAAAGCATCCTACATTGCAGGGGGTTTGACTCAGTGAGCCCTTAGGGTCCCTTCCATCTCTACAATTCTACGATTCATATGCTTGCAAAAGCCCGTGGTACAATTTGCATGAAATTTGCACACAATAATTTCTATGTATAGATATTTCAGGGCAAAATAAGGCGGTGGTTGGGGAGGTGTCACTACATTTCACAGGGCACCCCCCCCCTTTTTTTTGGCCCAAACAGCCCAGAATTGAATTCAATAGTAAAGTGGAAGCTTTGCACTGTGAGGCTCTGTTAACTGTAAGAAATAAATGGGCCTCTCTTATGAATAAATAAGAAAGAAATAATATATTCAGTTTACATCATGTACTTCCTCCTGAAGTTGCCGAGGGCAGCAGACACAGCAATGATAAAGCACTGGCGAAAATTAAATCCAGTAGCAATCAGTTTCAAAGTGTCTTAAGGTAGTTAGGAACATTCTAAAAAATGTGTATCCGTTAGTTATTGGTAAGACAAGAGTATTTTTGTTGTTATTATGACCAGCCCTTCACCAGCGGGTCCCAGGGCAGGTTACAACAATTTAAAATTCAGAACTAAAAAGAGTTTAAATAGATTGCAGTCACAGGATGAGCACTGAAAATGCACGTCTCAGGTGTCAAAGGCCAGGGTGGAAGTGTATCTTCAGCATTCGCTGAAAGATGTATAGAGAAGAAGCCAGATGCACTTTAACCAATCAGGACGAGAGGCTCCCGCTCTCAGAAGGGCAAATGCAAATAGAAGTTATGACTCTGTATGCAAATATGTGACCTCACCTGTGAGTTCCTGTGTGAGGAAGGAAATGCAAACATTCATCGCTCAGCAAGCAGTGAATAGTGGAGTCAGAAAGAGACCCTGGAGGCATTTTGTAATTTCCAAAGGCCACGGCAAGCACAGCCAGGCCAAAATGGCAGCCAGTGTTGTGTAGCAGTTGGACTAGGACATTTCCCCCCAGTTCCTACTTAGTCATAAAGTTCACTGGGGCTGTTGGGCCCTTCGCTGCCTCTCAGGGTTTTTCTGAGCAAAGAATATGCCAACTTGAGCTCCTTGCAGGAAAGGTGGGATATAAATGTAACAGTCATTAAAAAAAAAACACAAAACAGGCTGTTCCCAAAAGAGAACATAAGCATCCAATATGGAGCTAGTTCACCAACCTTGTAAAAACTCAGGTACTTTCCATCATGAGAGATTTTTAATCTTCGCTCACTCTCCAAACCAGTTCCCTGGTGAATTGTTTCTCGCCCTCCTTCACACCTTGAAGCTGATCTTAGCTGGAAGCAGGGAGATGGGTGCCAATATCATGCCTTTCCCCACCTTCACGGCCCGTTCCTGCTTCAGAGCGAGGCAAGTTGTGTCAGCCTAGTGCCACCATCCCCAGCCTGGTTTCCTCCAGATGTTACGAACTACAGCTGGGGCTGATGGGAATTGTAGCCCAAAACATCTGGAGTGTGGCAGGTTGGGGAAGGCTGTGTGTGTTGCGGGATGGGTGCAGCAGCTAACTAGGATTGGGAAGAGCCAGGTTCAAATCCCCACTCGTCCACAAAGCTTGCTGAGTGACCTTCAGACGGTCATTTCTCCCAGGTCAAAATAACTTCTAGTGTTAAATGCATGCAGATGGTTAAGAAATGCAGATAGCATCAGAAGCAGAGAGAGAGAGAGAGAGAGAGAGAGAGGTATCAAGATGGCAGCACATGTGGCTGTGGAATGCCTGTATTTTCAGCAAGAAAACCCAGAGATCACAAGAACGTAAGGGTAGCCCTGCTCTCAGAGCCAGATGCCTCAATGGGAAACCCGCAAGCAGAACCTGAACATAAGTGCCTTCTCCCCTCCTCCTGTGGCTTCTAACAGCTTATACTCAGTAGCATCACTGCCTCTGACCACAGAGGCAGAGTTAGAGCCTTCCAGGGTGGGGTGGACTTTGGGTCACATGACATAATTCCTCTGGATCCTCCTTAAGAAATCTGAGAGGTGGGGAGGGAACCCCAGCTAATATCCTTAAAGTGACAGGTAAGTGGCCATCATCCGATTCCCTCTTTGTATCCACGATAGAGCCAACCAAGCTTTTTTTTTTTTACCTGGTGGTCTGAGGCTGTTTGCAAGATCGCAGAGCTGGCATTCTCCTTCGCACCTGAGATGAATGTTTCCTGTATTACGATGAGATGGTGGTGTCAGCCTTATAAATGATGTTGCTGTGTATAATGTCAGTGGTGATTTGCAGGACTGCACAAGCAAAACAGAAATGTCAGGTCCCTGCCCCACAGAGCTTCCAACATTCCCAGTTGGGAAGTCAGTGAGGGGAGGGAGAGGCAGAGATATCAATGGTTTTATTTCACATTTTTGGGAAGAAATGCTGTTTGTCTGGAAAAAAGGCAGAGGAGGGAGGGGGAGAGAAGAGGGAGCAATGTGAAAACTGGATTTTACCGTAGAGATCACAGAATTTATCTGCTAGCAAGCAATCTTCCTTCTAAACCTATTTTAACATGAAAATCTAATCATGCCATTCTGGACTTCTCCCTATAAAGCAATTAAAACAAACAAACAAACCCATGTTGCATTAAATGTGGTGGGGGATTTCTGGGTGCCACCCCTGAAACAGGTATTATACCCAGTATGCCAAAAGACTTTGCTTGCTAGCACGGTTCTCTCTGCCAGGGAGGAGGGTGGGACTTGTGCATGATCTCTTGGTATGAAAAGGGGGACCTTAACCAGTGTTATCCTTTAAGGCAGGGGTTGCTGGTTCATGGCCCTCCAAGCATTATTGGACTACAGTTCCCATCAGCCCCAGCCAGCATCCCCAATGGCCAGGGATTTATGGGAGCTGTACCCCACAACATCCAGAGGGCCAGCCCTGCTTTGAGGGATGTGGGGAATGGTGGCATGGGGTGGTTGTGTGTGTACAAACTGATGTTCTTAATGTAGCAAAATGAGACCCTTTTGACCGCAGAGTCCGTGGCACTGAAGGGCTGTTTTCTTTCCTACTGAATGTTCAGGAAATGACTTGCGAATGAGTTTGGATGAGCAGATGGTTTGGAGAGACAGTGGTTCGGAGATCCCTGAGGCGTAACTGGTGGGTCCCTGTGCTGTGCGCTCTGAGGGCTAGAAACCCCCTCCTCCCCTCCCCCTTCTCCTCGAGGTCCGGTCGCATGTGTGCTAAGAGGCCGGCCCGGCTCTTGTCTTGCAGACTATATGAAGGGATCTGCCTGCAGCTCCAGCACCTGTTCCCTCAACAGCAGCGAAAACCCCTACGCCACCATCAAAGACCCCCCCATCATGGCATGCAAACATTCCGAGAGCAGCTATGTGGAAATGAAATCTCCCGTTCACCGGGACGCATCCTATTCTGACACACCAGCCTTGTCAGCAGCTAATAAAAACATATACGATGTTGGTAAGTATCTCCGGTGATCCAGCTGCAAGCAGGGAGGTCCAGCTGGGGCTGGATCATCAGCAGTGGTGCGGTCCAAGTGTTGCTGCGTTATAACTCCCCATGGCCCCCTGCCCATTCATTGGCCATGCTGGCGGAGGCCGATGGGAGCTCAGCAACATCTAGCAGGGGAACTGCACCGACGACCCCTGGCAAATGGGCAGGCCAAAAAATATACACCGACTGCTCATTGCCCATTGAGTTGGTGCAAAGTTACTACTGTTTCCTTTGCAAACTGGCAAAGGGCTTTCCCAAAGTGCGGTTAACTAGCAGTGGCGTAGCGTGGGGGCAGCGGGCCATGGCCCTGGGCACAAATATCTGAGGGGGTGCAATGAGACGCCCCCATGACAAGCTCCTTCATCAAGGCTGGGGGCTACAGGGAGGTAAGCGGTGCCAGGGTGGGACCTTTGGGGCTGGGGTGGCGGCGGCGCTTTCACCACACGGCCGGCGAAGGGGCACCCGCTTTTGCCCTGCCCCTGGACCAGCCAAGTGGGAGCGAGTGGGAGGGTGCTGCCACCGCCACCCACCAAGGAGGGAGGGAAGCAGGAAAGCACTGCCAGAGCAACACAGCAGCGCTCCTGTCTTTGTGTTTCGCTGCCTTATCCATGCTCCCAGGTTGGGGCTGGTTTGGAAGGAGAGGCTCCGTTGATTAGATGCTGGCCAGTGAAGGGACTGAGCGCTACCCAGTCCACCAGGGGGGCCAACACTTAGCGAGCCCTGGGCACCAGTAACCCACACTATGCCCCTATTAACTAGGGCTATGTGGCTTCTTTGTCCAAGAATAATTATTTAAAGTTCCACATCCCAGCAATCCAAATTGCATGACGTGCCAAATTGTGCGCCAGTATGCTTAGTTTGTTTTTATGCACATGTCTGTGTTTTCCTAATGTTTTCACTGTTCTGCATAATTTATCTGGGGCTTCCTTAGCCATGGGAGGGACCGGTGTGGGGCTGCTGAGGCCTCTCTTCCTAGACTGCTGGCAGGGGTGGATGGAGCAGCCTGGTTCTGGCCTGTGTCACTTTTCACCTGCGTTCATTCCTAAGTCTGTTTGGTCCTGATTCCAGATTAATCTGCAATTAAATAATAATAATGATTCACCTGGGAATTGGTATAGGAAGAGCATGTTTCATCTCGGTGTATGCATTTTTAAACAGATTTGAGCCTAATGCATTTCATACTTTGAGCTGAGAACTATATTGCAAACTCTGGGAAAGTTTGGAAGCCAAAGGATAGTTAAGTTCCAATTCACACATTGGTTGTGTCAGTGTACACCAGAATTCACTAAAAGAGAATTCCTCCAGCTTCCATAAATATTGGTAATCACCTAGCAGCTTGTGTGTGGCTTTTGCTCACGCACTTTTGGCTGGAGGCACTAAAAACATGGTATATTTGGGTTTTTAGAGACAAGGGAGGGGGAGAAAAAAATGTGGTTCTGCGTAACCTGAGCTTTACATCCATTACCACGTTTGCTGTGTGTACGTTTTTCTTAGAGATAGGTGTTTCTGTCAATTTTGGTTTTATTTTTCTAGACTTAAGTACATTTTGCCACACTTCTACATCAGTTTGAAATCTTTTTAAAGTCTTCAATTTTGCCAGCATTTTTGTGTGCATTTCTAACATATCTGTGATAAATTTCTTCTAAGATAATGCATTTGATATATTATTTTCTCTTTAACATTATTATTAATTTTCTTGCTTCAGGATTTTATTTTAGTATTTGTCCTAATCTGAGGAGACCCATTGAAAGTAATGGACCTTGCTAACTAGGTCCATTAATTTCAGTGGATATATTCTAATTCAGTTGGCTACAATCCAAAGCTTTAATACTAATGATCTGTGTTATGCTTTTATATTCTGTTTTTGTATGCCACTCTTGGGTATTCTCTGATTTTGGAGCAGTTAAATAAATATAAGCATATTTATGCTCACTTTCACCTACTAGTTTATTGGAGAAGCAAAACAAATAGAACAATTAACAACAATATCAGAGAAATAACAAACATCCACTTCCAGTACTGGGTAAAACAGAATGAAATGTAAACAGTCAAAAAGAGGTAGCAAACAAGATCTACAAAAAATAAAGGTCAGAAATAAGTTTTTTTAATGTGATATAGTACGTATGGGAGCCCTCAGAAAGTAACATATGAGCCCAATAGTGTGTAACTATCGCCAAATAAAGTCATAGACAGTAGACACTAAATCTCTTAAACACAAAAATGCCGCAGGATATATATAAAACATGTTTAAACCATTCATAGTGGTGTTTTTCCATCTCTGTGGTGGAAAAGTTCAACGGGAGTCTGTGTGGTACTCTCTGGATGGTGGTGGATTTCATCTGAGCAGTCCTAGGAAGCATGGCTAATGCACAGGGATGGTATGAGTTTAAACATCTAGGCAACACTATGCCAGCTACCTATGGGGGAAGAGAACAGACACGGATATGCTTTTACTGCCAAAGTTAACGTAGAAAGAAGCTTTTGCTAAGGGAATAATTGTCTGAAGCAGCTCATGGTAGAGGTAGCCAATGTGTTGCCCTGCAGATGATGTTGGACTACAACTCCCATCCCTCTTGTCTGTAGGCCATACTGTCTGAGGCTGATGGGACCTGGAGTCCGATAACATCTGCAAGGCACCACATTAGCTACCCCAAAGCTTGGTAGCAGAGCTAAGGAGCCTCGGCTCATTACTAGAACAACGCATCCCAGAATTCCTTGTTTAGAGCTAACAAGCTTTGGAATGGATCATACTGACGGTGTTTGCAGAGACATCTTTTGTCTTTAGCATCTTTCCCCAAGTCTTTTGTTTCTGAAGAGGTGGCTGCTTAGAGGAGGCTATTCAACAGGTCCCTGTTTGTCTTTGCAGAGCCCACCATCAGCGTCATCCAAGAGGCTCGTCTCCGCAATGCTGTCTACATCCAAAACCCATACGACATGCCCAGGAACAGTCACATCCCCTGTCACTATGATGTTCTCCCTGTAAGACACAGCCCAACGCATGGGACACTTTGGGACAAGCAGTCTTAGAGGGCTGTGCGTGCTGCTGCTGCACTCATAAACTTCGTTCCCCGATGCAATGACCGAAGAGAAGACAATCCTTTCTGTTTTGTTCTGCTACATGCTGGATAAACAACAACACAACCCAAGGAACCCGAAGACGAGACTTGTATTGGGCCAACTTCCTTCTGCATGAAACACTTTCTTTTTACAAGACAGTTTTATACCGATCACAGGAGAAACCAAGAAAAACTGCTCTATGTACAAACTGGGAGGGGGGGAAGGCTCCCAGAAGCAGTTTCTCATGCAAGTCTAGTGTTGGACAAAGTGTATCTTACTGACTTGACTTTGCTTTTTAAATTGGAGGGGTGGGGGTGGAGGGGAGAAAAGAGACAAAGATCCCTTGCTGTAAGTTCTTAGAGCTGTATGTACTATACTATCACTTGCTGAAAAAGAGGGGTTTAAAAGAACTTTTAAAGACAAGACAGTAGAGGAGAAATAAGCTCTGCATTGAAGAACCACAGGAGGGAGCAGGGCTCAGGTTGCTTCTGCCATCCTGGCTAGACAACGTGCTTGAGCTCAGCGTTCGTTTTGAGTGTGCACCTGCTATTCTACAACTGTGTGTGGAAGAACCAAACTATCTGGTGCTCATGCACTTCCACTACTGCTTCAAAAATGCTTCTTGCTTGCAGCGGTGGAGAGTGCCGAAGAGGTGAATTTCAAGTAGAGAAGAAACGAGGGTACTCCCTTGAGGTGCTTCTGTTCTCATACTTCAGCATTCCACTTAAACAAGGTTCAGAGGCAGAGAGATACTCAGCCACATAAAGAAATGCCAGAGGTGGCAGGATAGGTGCAAACATAGGAAACTGTTCTATATTGTATCAGAACATCTAGCTTGGTACAGTTGATGGTGTCTGACTGCAGCTCTCTCCAGGGTTTCAGGAAAAGGTTTTCCCAGCCTACCTGGGGATGCTGCTAGGGATTGAACCTGGGACCTTCTGCATGCCAAGCAGCTGTACTTAACACTGATCTACGCCCTCCCTTCAAGCCATGCCACCTAATACAGTCAAATCAACAACATACAATTTCCAGAAGATTTTTTTTTTTGTACAGGCTCACTCCCCACCAGGCAACTGCTCATTCTATATACAGTATTTTGCTGTGATGTTTCCTTTTGCGCATAAGATGCCATGGCAGCAGACACAGAAATTGTCACTGTTCAAAACTTCCATTTTTTCCTCTAGATTGTTTTGAGCGTGACCTATTGTTGGGACTCAATGTATTTATTTATTTTTAGGGCACGTGCAAAGAGGGGTTGCAAAGAGGAGGCTGCTTCACCAGGAAATACCAATTTAACAGTATTACAGTTCAGTAGGAACCAGATATGTGGGGGAAACGAAAGGAGTTTCTAGAAGAGGATTGAGTAAAACGACAGGCCCAGGAAGACTTGGGTCTGCGAGAATTCCCACACTCCAGCTAGCTGTATTTTCCCAAAGAGGGTGGTGCAGTAAGCCAACACTGCTTAATAAGGAACATGCGCGTGCCAGGTGCGCAGTTACATTATAAAACATGGCCATGGGTGCTATTTATTTATAACACTGTTCCTAGGAACACAGTGTGGAACGGCTGCAGCTCAGTGGTAAGAGTACTTGCTCCGCTTTCAGAAAGTCCCGGGTTCAGTCCCTGGCATCTCCTGGTATGGCTGGAAATGTCCTGTGTCTGAAACTCTGGAGACTTGCTGCCAATATGTGTAGGCAATACTGAACTAGGTGGCCAATCATCTGACTCAGAACATGGCAGCTTCGCACACCCACATTCTGAGAGCTTCAAGCAAGTCCCCAGCTGGAGTGGTAATCTGATAACAAATAGTTCTTGTTGTAGAAAGACTTGTTGTAGTGGTATCTGAAGAAGTGTGCATGCACACGAAAGCTCATACCAAGAACTAACTTAGTTGGTCTTTAAGGTGCTACTGGAAGGATTTTTTTTTGTTTTGTAGAAAGACAGTTAGTGACCCACCACACTCATTTAGGAAGTCTTCCTGTAATAGCTAACAGGCTCCCCTTACGAAGACAATTGCTTCTGATTTTTGGAGATGGGCAATGCCGACGAGATCCCTCTTTGTTGCCTTCAGTGTGTGAGCAAACTGTACGCTACCTGTCCGTGGCTGTAGGTATGTGCTGGCATGGAAACAGTGGGCAAATTGCTGCCACTCAGTGGCAGAGCATCTGCTTTGGTTGCAAAATCCTAGGCTCAAGCAGCAGCATCTCAGTCACCAGCAACTAGGAAATACCTCTCTGAAACCCTGCAAAACCAGGGACTTCAGTAGAAGGCAAACCCCTATGTCCCTAGTGCAAAAATGCAGGACATTACTCCTGAAGAATGAACTTCCTATTGGTGATCACAGACGTACTGATCTTCTACATGCAAAATGAAATGGCAGACTCTTTCTAAGCCAGGCCCAAATGCATCTGAGGAGGATGGAGTAGATGTTATTTGCACGTAAGGGGTAAAGTTGCCAGGAAGAGCTGCAGCCTAAGCAAACACACCGTTCTCTTAAAACTGAAGCACCTTTTGTTTTCAGTGTTCCTGAATGCTTATCTTTGGAACACAGTGGCCAAAAACGTCCCCTTTCATGCTGATTGGGCGGCTCGAAGGATGCTGGAGACAGTGACCCAGCTGCAGAAATAGTAAGGGGTCTTTGACCCTCTGTGACCTCAGACCACTACACCACTGAGGTACAGGATTAGTTTCAGCCAAGTAGCAGACTTGGGTAGACTTGTTGCTGGGTGTAAAGCTCAGCTGAGTCAGTGCCAGACTTTAGCCCAAGAGTGGGGGACCTTATTGAGGCTGAAAAGTTTTCTGAGGGCCACAGGGCAGTGGCAGACGTGGCCAGATGTAAAAGTGTGCGGAGCAATGAATGTCAATTTTGCCTTTGTGCCATTGGCTAGATTCTGCTCAGTCATTCATCTGGACAAGCAAGAGGCATTACTCAAGTTCAAGGACACATTCTAGCCAAGCAATAATAATCTAGGTGGAAAACAGGGGCACCGAGGGTTCTGGGCCCTGGGGAGAGTGCTAAAGGCCAGGGGCAGAGGCCTACGTTTAGCCTAAGGTTCCCCACCCGTTCAGCCCATTGACCTGTTCAACATCCACCGGTAAGTTGAGATAACTAATGGCAGCTTAATCCCTCTCTAGAAACAGCGATGAAGTACTGAAGGCCTCTCTCTCCTAAAGCAGGGAGGGGGATATCTTACGAAACAGAGCAAGGATGTTCTCCAGGAAGGATGACACGATTTATCCACAGCACAGGAGGAAATGTAGTTATTTACCCGAATGCTGCATGTGTGCATGAGGGGTGGGGGTGGGGTGGGGGAGGCAAATGAGCCATTTTACTTTCCAGGAAAGCCTTATGCAGATGACGAAAAGTAGCAGAACCTTATTTTGTAGGGCCAGTGGGGATATATATTTTAATTACGTGTATAGAAAGAAAAAAGTCTTACCTCAGAGTTAAGCGATGGGAAAAGTCCTCCATGAAGGCTTTTTTTCAGACAGGGTAACTTCCCAACTGTGTTCACGTCTCACTCGGAAGTTAACACATTTAACCCAGATGGAGCGAGGAAACCGCTGCACAAATTTGGAGGGACGTCATCCTGCCTCTGCGCCGCATCCTGGACTGTAAGCAACGCGTGTTGACTGGTGAAATTGTCCCCACCGGTGGTTTGGGCACAATGGAGGCATAGATGGGGGAAGGCAACCTAGTGCTACCCCATCAGAGGGTGCAAGCTTTCAGATCACACAACTCTCCCTCTAGTAGCCACATGCGTCATATTGCTGCACAGTTGAGACTGCACCAGGTAGCTGAACGTCCTCTGGCTTTTAAAAAACTGGATGGTTAAACCAAATTGAGGGTTGGGGGGGAGGGAGAAGAATAATACTAAATCCAGCAGGAGACAGTGAAAAGCAAATCCAGTTCCACACACAAACACACACATATATATACATATAAATATTATATATATATACATACATATATATATATATATATAGCATTCCTTTAAAAAGGAATCTAGACACTGTAATGGCAATACTTTTTTTAAAGCAAGACAGATTTGTAATATTTGTTGACCGTATGACGGTGGTCTACCTTGTAAAAAATAAACTGAATTTCTCTCAGCTGTGTACTTCTGTAACACGATCCTTTGTGAACCTTGCAATGCTGCTAAAGCTTTGTCATTCATGAAAACCTTACTGGGTCAACTGGGAAAAACTGATTTGAGCCTCCCTTCTTGCTAGTGTTCTGGAACTGAGAACAGTTATGTTTAAAAGCAAGTGAGAAGTATTTTGTTGGCAGTCATCAACCCAACAGATCTCACTCCTGGGAGGAAAGAAGAACTAAGACCAGTGGTCAAGCTTTCACTCCTCTCTCAAAACAAAAAAATATTAATTCTGTGCATGCGCACTCAATCTCTGGAGAGATCTTGGCTTATGTACTGGGCCCCCAACAAGCCTGGCCAGCTGAATTTTCTCATCCAACCTTTTCTCGCTAGTGACTGTCAAAAACTCAGCACCTGCAAGAGAGTTTCAATGTGTTCAGCAGGAAGGAGCTTTTTGTTCAGTGCCTGATTTTCACCCTCCTTTGTGATCTTACATACAGACCCATAATGCATGACGATCCAAAACGCACTTTTTCACACACACACACACACACACACACACACTGTAGCATGCAAACTGAAATAGCAAACAGATTCCGATTTGCATCTCAAATTGATTTGCATAATTTATTCCGAGTAATATCTGCACTGCATATAACGTTCAGGTTAATCATCTTCATATACTTAAGTGCCATGTGTTAAATACCGGAATGCCCACAGCAGCATAATTCCAAAGAAGTCCACTCAACAACAGCTGAACAGTCCCCCTGTGATTCTTTTATTAGAATTCCAATAATGAATAATTTCAAATCAATCATAAAAAAATATTTGAGGTACAGAATGTGCATACAGTACAAAGCAAATTTACAAAAAGGTGGGGGGGGGAGTTTGTGGAACAAAAGATCAACAACTACAGGAGAGAAAGACACAAACATGAAGGGACTACAGCAATGCCTTCTGTGCTCCTCACACGTCATGAGCACCGCAAGACCGACAGGCTGGCTGAGAGATTCAGCACTCTGTACGTGCCCTTGTGGGGGGTGGGAGCAGCAGGAAGGAAAGGACACCATATGGGTCTATGGCATCTTTGTGATAAGCCTCTTTCCTTCCTGTCCACTCCCCCCTAAATATTTCCTGGAGCCATTTCCTCTTCTGGTTGCAAATGGGCTTTCCAAATACCACAGTATTCTATGCGTGCTTGTATGTGTAGATATAAAAAACACTGCTTGTTTGAACAGTGCTTTAGAAGTAGGGACATCCACAGTTGGCTTAAAAACTGCAAGAATCCAAGAACAAATCTTCTGGCATGTATTTCTGGATTTCTTCAGCAGGGCTCATGCGCATGGCCTGAGCTTCTCTAAATAAATGAGGAAGGGCAAGGAAGAGGCCAAGCACGCTCCCTGGCCAGTAACAGGGAGGTGCAACAGAGGCCTCCTGCCAAAACTGCAGACTAGATTTAATCCCATCCTGTGCCTTGAGTGGTTGCTGGAATCAAACCCTGCTTTCACAAGGACTCGAGACTTAAAGAGAAGGAGGTGCAATGATGTCCCCATCCTGCAAATATTCTCCATGCCTTTTTGAGAATGACAGCAAGCATTGCTGCACAGGCCAAGGTGCAAAATGTACCAGCGGCCCAGGGGTGCATGAAACGAAGTACTGCAAGCCATAGGCACTTGCAAGAAAAGCAGATGGGCTACTGAGCTACGACTTACTGCTTCTTCTACAGAAGGCACCCATCACCAACTCTTTGGGCCTTAAGACAAATGGTACTGCATTGGCTCAGTATAAAACTACACCCACCCTCCCCAACATGCAAAGCGACTAATCCCCCACTTGCTTGCACAAAAATGGTTATTTGAATGCTGTGACTGGATAAACATTTACCTCGCTCCAACTAGCCATCTTCATGAAGTGGCACTATTGGCTATTTGGGGACACAGTAGGTAGGAGGAGTGAGCAATTTCTTCTGGGAATGTTACGTACATACAACTCTAATTCATTAGATCAGCCTCCCCTAACCCAGTGGTCCAGATGTTTTGAACTACAACCCCCACCAGCATTAGTTTTGGCTCATGGGAGATGTAGTCCCAAAACATCTGGAGGGCACCAGGTTACTCAGAATGGATGCACCCACCGATATAAGGAACTGAGAAAACTCAGCCTCCTGGGCCAGGATCCCTCCTCTTAGCAATAAATTAGTGTAGTTCCTGCGTACTGTTAACTGTGGGATACTGCTGGGAGCCACAGGATAAGCCACACGAGATGCTCATTCCATGAGATGCAATATTGAGGCTGAAAGGAGGTTTAAAAGGCTCAGTCAGACTCTCAGGAGTATCAGAATTGCAAAGACTTAAGCTGCAGCAATCTAGTTCTTTGCTGAATGAGCCAACCTGTTTGGAAAAGAGATCAGTCATGATTTTTTTAAAACTGCCCTGCCGGGACTAGCATTCTGATAATGCTGCAGCCACATGCAAACAAACTGATGATTTGTAATACTGAAATAAAGGGGAAGAGTTAAGACATGGAGAAATCCAGAGAGAATAAAAATAAGGTTTCATGGAGAGGGAGAGGGAGAGGGAGAGAGAACTAAAAAGAGGACAATGTGAACTCAGAATCTATTTCCATCTCAGACCTGGGGAAATATACACAGCTTTCGAGGAATGGAACCTGCTATATATTTTGACAACACTGCATCTTTGGTTTATTTTCCGTGGTCGGGGGGACGTGGATAGGGACCACATTGTTGCTTGGTGACATGTCATTCTCGCGTCTGTCAGACATTTGCTTCTGAGACACGATGCGATAGATTTCTGAAAGAGGAGGAAAGGTGTCACTAACAGAGGCAGCACCTGCCCTATGGCTGAAGCCCCTCCATCCCTCCCATGGCAAGCTGGGCAGTCCTGGATTGCAACATGCTGCCACCTCACTTCACTCCCAACTCTGACCATTTTCGTGGGCAAGCAACCCAACATTCCCACTTGCAGAATTTGGGCATAACGTATGCAAGTTGTCATCAATTCCATTCGTGCAGTAATGAGTTCTCTCTTTTGTAGAATTTGGAATGTATTTTATGGTGTGCTTTAAAAGCAAAAAAACAAAAAGGGTTGGTAAAACCAAGTACTGTAACAGTGGTGGGACACTTGCAGCCCTCCAGATATGACCGGACTTCCATCAGCCCCTGCAGTCAACTTGGCCAATGGTCAGGGATGATGGGCACTGGAGTCCAGCAACAGATATGGGGCTGCAGGTTTCGCACCTTGCACATCCGCTACAGATAAGACTGCCTCCACTGGGCTTGCCTCCCGCAACTTTCACCTGGGACGGCACTCCTATTCAGCTGCCCCACGGGGAGTGAGAAGAAACAGGACCACTCTGTTGACTGTGCTGAGACCCCCAGCTCAACAGGGATCCTCCTTTCCCTGAACGGTCACTTGGCAGTGGCCATGCCACTAACTGACAGCAGAAGGAGAGAAGAGAAGCAGGACAGCTCCATCGGCTCTGCTGAGAGACGAGCTGCCACTGGTACCCAGTTGCCACCTATCAGCAGCCGTTCTATGAGGCTGCAGAACAGAGAAATAGATGAGAAAGCAGGGCCACTCCACTGGACTCGCGGAGGGGCCAGCTGCCTTCAACTCCTCCTCTCCTTCAACTGCTTCCATCCCAGCTGGTCATTATGAGAACTTTGTAACCTAAAGGACGGGTGCCCAAGTCTGCTCGTTTTCCTCTTCCCTCCCCATCTCTTTCGTTTTGTGTTGCGTCTTTTAAGATCATAAGCCTGAGGCTGAAGACTGCTTTTATTATATTGTTGTTGATCCATAAACTGCTCTGGGAGCCTCTGAGGATAAAATGCATTAAACAGAGTCATTAATTCCCTGGCCTATCTGCCAAAACATGCCTGCATTGAGGACATGGGGAACAAATTGTACACTGCAGCTTCTGCAGAATCTGGCACTAGCTACAATGGGTAGGATAAGGGGACAGAGAAAACTTCCCTGCCTCATTATTAGGTTTTGTAGTTTTCTGGATATACTCAGGTGTGAGGACATGGCTGGATAGCTAGTTGTAAAAACACATTTAAATAATTTGGTCAGTGGAGTCTCTTCCCACCATAAACTTGTAAACACCATCATAAATGCTCATTTCTAATAAGCTGTACTTGTTCACAGCTTCTTTCAATTAAAGTGGACACATAATTGGATTTGATCCGCTGAAGGGTCACTTTCTAACATTCCACTGAGGATACTTTGCTGGTAGCTGAATAGTTTGTGCAGGAAAGACCCACTTGGTACTGCTATTCAGTGCCTTAGGCAAAATGAAGAGGAATCATAGCTCAGTGGCAGAGGTTTGTATGCAGAAGGAAGGTTCCAGCTTCAATCCCTGGCTGATCTAATTGAAAAGAGATCTTGGGATAACAGTTGCTGTTAACTTTCACTGCAATGAATGTAGACGGCACTTGGCTCGAAAGGCCAAGGGTCTAATATCAGGCAACTTCCTATGTCTGCTCATTTCCACACAGAGGAACTGAGCAAATCTACAGTGATGGCAGGAAGCAGAGGATGTGCTGTTCCACACAGAGAACAAGTGGCTCTGCGGTGATCTCAGCACCGAGGGGACCAGGAAAATGTTGCTGCCAACAGAGATCAGCAGCCTCCCTTGTTCCTCCGCCTCTCAGCGACAGGACACAAAAGGTGGCCAGTTAAGAGTTGACTGCCAGGGGCCCAAGAAGACATCAATAGCTGTCTATCAGCAGGGCTGCTATGTACTCAGTGTGCTTAAAGAAAATTCTGTGCCCAGGAAACCCCAGATGCTGTAAACGAACTGGATTCTGCAACGAGTTTCAATTATGTTTCTTTTCAGGTGCTTGCTTACTCTGCATAATTTATCCTGCTTTTCTAGATATGGGACAGGCAAGGAGCTATTAACAGTGGTAGAGCACCTGCTTTGCATGCAGAAGGTCCCAGGTTCAATCCCTGGCACCTCAAGATAGGGCTGGGAACACCTCCTGCCTAAAACCCGAGAGAGCCTCTGCCAGTCAGTGCAGACAACAACAATGAGCTAGTTGGACCAAGGGTCAGACTCCATATAAGGCAGCTTCCTCTGTTCCAAAGAAGTACCGCTCCTTAACTGCTGGAAATCAGTTTATGGCTTCCACTATTTTGGCAGGCGTTGCCCGCCCCAGCCTTCCCCAAGCTGGTGCCCTCCGGGTGTTGTTGAGATGACAAGCCCCATTCTACTTGATCACTGGGCCACAGGGCTGATGGGAGCTGGAACCCTAAACATCTGGAGGGCAGCAGATTGGGCAAGACCAGCCTGCACACTTCCAGACATGCCTATCAAGGGAGAGAAAGCAAATTCTGCTGACAGGCTAGGGAAGGGGCCTGCTCAGAACAAAGTAGGATCTAGGGAAGAAGTGACGGATTTGCTTCAAAACGCAAGATTATCAAAAATGTTGCCACAGCAATCTTTCCCACCAAGTAGGTGCATAGCCAATCTTGCAAAGAAAAGACTCAGTCCTGGGGTAGGACTTTCCTGGAAGAGCCTCTCTGATCTACACACATATTATGTGCCCCAACAGGGAGGATCAATAGAGGCATGGAGGAAGATCCCCAAATCCTCCTCTGTTCCCTAGAGAAAAAAGCAGCCCTAAGGTACCGCCTCCCTGTTTGCCTCCAGCATCGAAGACTCTGAGGTTTCCCAATTCACAGCTCTCCCACATCAGTGCCAAGTCACCTGTCAGAATGGTCTGGAAAGCAGCTTCCACATTCGTCGAGTCCAAAGCTGAAGTCTCAATAAAGGAAAGGCCGTTCTTTTCTGTGAGAAAGAGCAGGAAGTTGATTAGATCTGCCAGTCCAGTGAAGAGGCCTGAATAAAAGGCTGCCTTGCTTCAAGCTCAAGAGCTTCATAGCTTCCCATCGCAGCCACAGAAACCAGGAGCCCAACTTCACACCCGTTTTTGTGCCTTTGGCTGTGCTGCGTGTGGCCTCCCTAACACTATGTCTCCCTCTTCCTCCAAAATGCTCCCCAAGCCTTGCTTTCCCCCATATTTTCTGCCCTGCCAGCTGCCATTTTCAAAACTTTGCACGAACTCAAAAACCTCAAATTACGAACATATACTTTTGTCACAGTGCAAGCTGGTCAGTAAATCACACAGTTCAAAGCTGGAGTTAACTCTTTATTAGCAAAACATGATCTTCCCAGACTTGGATGAGTGTCAGATGTAATGAGCATAGCAGCTCAAGCCCTGTGGGTCATAACATCAGTTGCCGAGACTAAAAATCCTTGCCTCCTCACAGCAGCTTATGTCTCCGCCTCTCCAGGGCTTCTTGCAAGCAATCAGACTGCAGCTTGTTTTTGCTCCTCCTGTTTCATACCTCTCCTAGTTCTGGAGCCAGGGGGGTGGGGAGACTGTTGCAGCAGGAGGGGGAGACCCCCTGGCTTCTTCACCAGCCTGACTCATCGCTGCCTCTTGACCTCCCTCCTTCCACTCGCCTGCTTCAGCTTGCTCCTCAACTCACTAAGCCCTGTTACCCCTTCAGCTTTCAACACTTCCTCTTCCGAGTCTTCTCCCTGTCCCAGCACCACTCCCCGGGCTCTGAACCTTCTTCCTTTGGTGGTTCCCGAGCTGGTTCCTCCCATCATTCCTCTGTTCCCAACCAGACCATGATAACTATATCGTACTCAAGAAACATACGGTGGTACCTCGGGTTAAGTACTTAATTTGTTCCGGGAGTCTGTTCTTACCCTGAAACTGTTCTTAACCTGAAGCACCACTTTAGCTAATGGGGCCTCCTGCTGCTGCTGCACCACCGGAGCACAATTTCTGTTCTGATCCTGAAGCAAAGTTCTTAACCCGAGGTACTATTTCTGGGTTAGCAGAGTCTGTAACCTGAAGCCTATGTAACCCGAGGTACCACTGTATACAAAACAAAATACACAAATAGGATACTAAGTAATGCACAATGGAAGACAGGTTGTGAACCTGTTTCGACTGTTAAGTCTTTTCCCATCCTGTCACAATAATCTTCACTCCTTGGGAACAGTGGCATGAAAAGTTTGGCTGTCTCCCTCTCACACAGCGCAGTTTTTGTGTGTCATATGCTAGAAGTCAGAAGTGGGTTTACGAAGAACTTAGATGAGGGTGCTGTATAAAACAGTATTGAACCCCACAAATTTTGTGTGTATTTTAAAAAGCTCCTTCCATCACATGGATGAGAGGGCTTTCAAACACTCCTCAGAGAGGAGAAAGAAGAAAGCTGGCTCAGGTTCAAGGTTTCTCTGCAGATCCTCTCTCGCTTCCTTAAGTGATTAGCAAAGTGTCACCTGACCAAAGAGGAGGAAGTCTTGCAACCATCAGAAAATTGCACCTTAGCTGCAAGATATTTAATGACTCCCAGAGAAGAGGAGGGGAGACGTTTCTCTGGGACTGAGGCCATGAAAACCAGCTGCCAACTTTCCCCTCCTCCTGCAAAATTCCTCTCTGAACTGCATGTGGCATAAATCAAGCATTTTTAATCATGATTAGTGCAGAGGACTCAAAGCCACATTCCAGAGTGGAATGAATTTACCCTGAAAACCAACCAGATTTATGAACAAGTCAATGTCTTGAGGTCACAGCGGATGCCTCCACATTGTTAATTGCTCCTAGCCTTGGGGGAGTGAGGGTGAAGGGAGAGAAGAGGGGGCACTCTCATTTAATTAAAGAAGAGGCCAAGATGCTGCTTAGACTGCTCGCTGCCCCTGCCTCACATTCCTACAAGTTACACACAAGCATAAAAATCCACAGGTGGCATCTGTCAAAGGAAAACAGATGTCAGGAACTCACAAACTCGGCTGGTACCAGTCACCGTTGCCGGGCAGCCCAAATCCAAAACCCAGGAGACAGTGAGTGGGATGGGGTGCAAAGCGGTCATGCAAAACTCCAAAGCTATTGCCTCCTGCTTCTAACTAGAAGCAGGAACGTGGAAGAAGATAGGAAGCTGCCCAATACCCAAGGGCAATGGGTACCTGGTTGTTGCTGCCGTGAGTGCTGGAAGGAAGGCCTGCTCCCTGCTGGAAGGCCTTGGCCTAGGAGGCAGGGCCCAGACTCACCCTGAACAGCTAAAAGGCTCCTGGGAGGCCACTGGGACATTGCTGGAACAACACTGGGGTTGGGGCAACAGGCTAAAATGTTTTAAACGGTTCCAATTTTAGTTCCTCTGTTTCATTTTTGTCAGGTTGGTGTTGGTTAAATGTTTAGTTGGGGTTGGTGGTTACTTTGATTTGGGTATAACTGTAAACTGTTTATTATTGTTGCTATTATTGCTGTCATTGGTTTTTATTGATTTATTGGTTTGTTTGTTGCTTGTATGGGATACTTTATTTTTCGCCCTATCGGACACATTTTTCCCCTCCAAAAATGAAGGGGAAATGTGTGTGCGTCCTATGGGGCGAATCCAGGCTTCAGGAAGCTATCCACAAGCTGTGGGAGCCCAGCACGAAGTCGCGCAGCTCTCCCAAAACTTGTGGAGAGCTGCCTGCAGGCTGAAGCCTGGGGCGCGCTGAGCTCAGCACACCCCAGGCTTGGAGCTTCACACAGCTCTCGGCAAGCCGTAGGAGAGCTCCCGGCAGGCTTCGGGCTTCGCGCAGCTCTCAGCAAGCCTGGGGAGACCAGCGCAACTTCCCGCCGGGCTCCCTAGGCTTGCGGATAGCAGCCTGTTCTGGGGTCGGGGGAAGCTCGGGCTTCCCCCGCCCCAGCCCTGTGCCTGGGGGGGGGGGAATAATTTTTTTTTTCTTTATTTCTCCCCAAAACACTAGGTGCGCCCTATGGGCCGGTGTGCCCTATGGGGCGAAAAATACAGTATCTTGTTTTTTAATATTTGATGTTTTGTTGTGTTTTATATGTTGTAAGCCACCCAAAGTGGCTGGGGAAACCCAGCCAGATGGGTGGGATATAAACAAATTATTATTATTATTATTATTATTATTATTATTATTATTAAGCTCTAAGTTCCCTGCCAGTTCTGCTACTCTTTGTCTATGGACTGGATCTTGGGCCTCTCGTATGAAAAGCTTCATGACTAAGCTTTGCACAGGACAGGCTGAGGAGGAAAGGTACCGTATTTTTCGCTCTATAACACGCACCTGACCATAACATGCACATAGTTTTTAGAGGAGGAAAACAAGAAAAAAAATATTCTAAACGAAACAGTGGATGTATGATATTTGTGGTTCATGCTGTGGCCACAGACATGTGATCTGACGGTGAGTTTGGGGTAGCCCAATGCAAAAATCCTGAGGATCCATGTGGATCCATGCTTTGTAACCATGTTTTTGCACCACTGTGGCCCCAGGCAACAGTGGATGCGTGATTTTTTTGGTGCAAGCTGTAGCCATGGACATGCTATGTGATCTGATGGTGAATTTGGGGTGACGCAGTGCAAAAATCCTGAGGATCCATGTGGATCCGTGCTTTGTAACCAGGCTCTCTGTCCCTCTCTTTTCCCCACTCAGCGAGCAAAGCGAGCCACGGAGGAGGGAAGGAAGGGGAACCATGGATCCTCTGCTCACGACTGCAGCAGATCCCCCTGCCATCCGTAGGCATTCGCTCCATAACACGCACAGACATTTCCCCTTACTTTCTAGGAGGAAAAAAGTGAGTGTTATGGAGCAAAAAATACGGTACTTTAGATAGTTTGACTTAAGAGCAGCAAGTACTGACATGACCTGGGAGACCAGAGTTGAAATCTGAGTGGGCGACCTTGGACCAGTCACTCGCTCTCAGTCTAACCTACCTCACAGGATTGTTGTGGGCATTCATTAAGGAGGAGGAGGAGGAGGAAAACTATGTATGCCATCTTGAGCTTCTTGAAGAAAAGGTGGGATAACAATGCAATAAATAAATTTTAGACAAACATTATCCTGCCAAGATGGAGATTATCCTGTAAAAGATACACATGGAAAGAACTTGTAGGGTATGGTTGAAAGGTGCATAAGGACACCTCCTTGCAGGTCTCAGCCTGGCCAGATAACCCAGGATTCAATGATGGGGGGGCGGGGGGGGGGGAGAAGCAGGAAATAAATGAAAGCAAGAACCATCCAGACTTCTAACATACCAAGGAGACTGGATCATCTTCCTCTTCCCACACTGATGCCTAGGAGCTGATGACCCAACAATTAGCAAGCGCCAGGTGGAAGAAGTGACAAAATCTCTGGAACCTCAATAACCGCTTCCCACCACACAGTTACAGAGAAATGCCTCTGAGTCACCTGTTTGAGTTTTTCCAGCAGAGAAGTGACCATGATGCAGGACAGGGCCTTTTCAGTTGTGGCACCCGCCTCTGGAATGCCCTCCCCAAGGAGGCTAGTCTGGTGCAAAGGCTGGAGCCTCTTGGGCTCCAGGTGACAAGCTCTGTTTCCACATTTCAAAAAACTTGGGGAGTTTTACAAAGTTTCAAACTGGCTCTGCTGTTGTTGTTTTAGTATTGCTTTCCATTTATTGTTAGCTTTAAATTTTCGGCAGCTGCTCTAAGAGGTTTTCCAAGAGAATCAGAAACTGAACAAAACAAAACAAAGCAGTATTCCAGCAGCAACACACTGGGGCCCCCCACCCACTCACCTGCAAAGGCTCGGGCCTCATCCGTCGGAACAGCCCTCAGGTGGCGCAAGTCGCTCTTGTTGCCCACCAGCATGATGACGATGTTGCTGTCGGCGTGGTCTCGCAGCTCCTTCAGCCACCGCTCCACGTTTTCATAGGTGAGGTGCTTGGCGATGTCATAAACCAGCAAGGCCCCCACGGCACCTCGGTAATAGCTGCAGGCAGAAGCACACAACCCACGTGAGCCCACAGCAAGCACAGAAAGGGGGCAGGGGAAGGAAAGCGCAGACCTCGCCAGGCTGCCCAGTGGGGCATCACGACACTCTCCAGAGAGCCAGTGTGCTGCAGTGGTTAAGAGGGCTGGGTCCTAGGACCTGGGAAACCAGGGTTCAAATCCTTACTCAGCCAGGAAGCTCACTGGGTGATCTGGACCAGTCACTCACTCTCAGCTTACCCAACCTCGCAGAGGATAAAATTGAGATAGCGAGAACTATGCAGGCCACCTTGAGCTCCCTGGAGGAAAGATGGGATATAAAGCAATACATGCATTTTAAAAATTGGCTCCACTTCGTACAGGCTGCATGTGTGTCACAACTGCCCCAGGACCACCCCAGCCCTCCCCTAACCTGGGGGCTTCCAGATGCTCTGGGCTACCAACCCCCATCATCCTTGACCAGATGTCAGGCTGGCCGGGACTGCTTAATGATGTAAAATTGTTGGATATTTTAATTTTACCAACTGGTGAGGATTAGCTGCCCTTAAAACGCTGATGTATTGCTGGGAAACCCAGCAAGATAGGCGGGGTATAAATAATAAATTATTATTATTATTATATATTATCAACATCGCAGTACATCGCTAAAGCGCAATGTTTGGCTGGTGATACATCGCCAGCCCTAGTCAGGGGCAGAGTACGCGCTGCCTTCGCCCAAGTGGGAAGTTGCTTGTGCTGGATTTACACTGCTTCTTACGTGAACTGCTCTGAGAACAAGCATATCTGTGGAAAATGCAGCAGATAAATAAACTGACTATGGTGAAATTGACTAGGATGGGAGTTGGTGTCCAAAACATCTGGAGGACACCAGGGCGGGAGGGGCTGGCACAGCCTCTTGCCCAATGCATAATTTGGCCTTCCGATAACCCCAACTTATTTCCAGTTTTTCATCCTGTCATGACTTGGTTTTATGAGTTGCCCTGTTACAGTCATTTAGAGAGAGAGAAGTAAATGTGATTATATGCATCATCACTACAGTTGACCTAAAATAAAAAAAAAGTGGTTAAAGCTCTTCCAACAGCAGCTGCTGGAAAAAACACATCCCTAGCTGGCCTGATTTTGGAGCCAGTTTTGGACTCAGTTATCCTCAGTTTGGACTCAATTTTGGACTCAGTTATCCTACAGCAGGGATGGAGAACCTCCAGCCCATGGGCCTAATCAGGCCTGCCAAGTCTCTCCCCATTTTGGCCAAGCCATGCTCACCTGCCTTCATCATATATGAAGCTACGTACAGGGCAGATGAGCAAGGGACTTGGCTAAAAGGACCCTCTCATAGGGCGGTTTTGGGCAGCACTTTCAGAAGGGCTGATTTTTCAGATCCTCAGAAGCATTGCTCAAAGTGCTGCGCAAAACAGCAGACAGAAAAGGTCACCTGATGTCATCGTAAAGTCAGATTATTTGACAGGTGGATGGTGGCTCTGCCTGCCAAGTGGAGGCAGATATCAATCTGGCCTGCCAGGCTAGAAGGCTATTGATTTTCAGCTGGTGGGTCACATGATTCCTGTATTGCAGGGGGTTGGACTAGCTGGCCATTTGAGTCCTTCCAACGCTACAATTCAATGAACATTGAAGACTAGCAACTTAAAGAATGCAATGGGATTCTTGAATGCTGTTCAATCTAAAAAGCAGTATTTTTTCGCTGCAAACACGATGTCTGCAAGGACCATCACATAGAAGACACACACACACACACACACACACTTGCAGTGCTCCTGCGTCCTGTTCCCATAAACTCCCCCACAATCCCCGGGAAGGCTCTGGCGCTGGTCCACTTACGCCGACGTGATCGCCCTGTATCGCTCCTGCCCTGCCGTGTCCCAGATCTGAGCCTTTATTGTCTTGCCGTCCACTTGGATGCTCCGTGTGGCAAACTCCACGCCAATGGTGCTTTTGCTTTCCAGGTTGAACTCGTTGCGAGTGAAGCGGGAGAGGAGGTTGCTCTTGCCAACTCCGGAGTCTCCAATGAGAACAACTGGGAAGGGAAGAAAGAGAGGAGAGTCAGAGAGGAACCCAACACACTCTTTGCTCTGATACTCTGAACCTCCTTTGCTGATTCACCTGGTCCTCTGTGAAGAGAAACTGCCCAGGTAAACATTTAAGGAAACCAGGCGAGGGGGGGGGTGTTACCAGAGGGAAATTACATTTTTAAGCTCCACATACTCATACTCATACACACACACACACACACACTCAAAATACTGGCTCTTGAACTAAATGGGCAAAGAAAGCAGAGGCTAAATGTGATCCTGAAATGTATTGTTCCTAATTAATCAATTAATCAAACATTGCTCATCTCTACATCTCCTGCATCAGTAGAAGGTTAGACTGGATGGCCTTTGAAGCCCCCTTTCACCTCTATTGGTTTTTGCTCATCCACCATGCTGCCTTCTTAGGTCTATATATATATCTAGTTGATATTGACAGCCACAATATCCCCAACTGCATAAAGCTAGAATGTTAGCTTTCTTTCAGAAATAAGACACTTTAACTGCTGTTAACATTGCAATACTAAAGTTCTTGTTACTCAATAAAATGAACTGTTAGATCTGGCTGCACCCAAGCAGCAACTGCAGAGAGCTCGCTTCTTTTCTCCCTGCCAGAAAGGCTACTCTGTTCCAGATGTTCTGCAGCTGGGACTGCAGAGCAGAAGAGAAGGGCCATAGTTCAGTGACACTTGCTCTGCTTGCAGAAGGTTGCAGGTTCGATCCCCAGAAGCATCTCCAGGTAGGGCTGGGAGAAACACCCTGCCTGAAATTCTGGAGAGCTACTGGTGGTCAGTGTAGACAATACTGAGCTAGATGGACTTGGAAAAGGCAGCTTCCCATCTTCCTACGCTCTGGCCTTTGCCAGCAGCCAGAGAAAAAGGGGACTCTGGGCTGTGTGTGTGTGTGTGTGTGTGTGTACATGCCAGCCAGTTTTTATATTACCACAAGCTGTTAAACAGCGACCTTGAGAACCATACGACTGCAAGCCAGGACACCAATCTTCAAATTTTTCTGGCTCCCTCTTGCATCCCATTTTATCTGAAAATATACACCTATGTTTACATGGTTACCATCTGAATGCTCATTTTGGTCTATGCATGCCAGAAAAGGATCCAAAGCAGAGTCTCATTCTTTTATAGGTCAAACCAAAGACTCTCCATCTGCATCACTTAAGAAGGGGGGGTGGGCAGCTTGATCCAGAAAACTAACATGACCCGGGTATTTATCCTGCAGCAATCCATGGCTTCATCCTTCCAAGACTGGCATATTTGCTTCTCAATCCTTTCCTCCACTCTGAAATTACGATAAAACAATCACATCTGGGATTTCAACTTAATTAATTACTGCACAAATCTCACTGTGCGGACAAAAACAACCAGCCCTTTTTGTCGTCTCTCCCCTTTCAGCTGATTCAGCAAAGCAGGAGCCAAAACTACAAAAAAAACAACAGGAAGAGGCTTGTTAACTATTCATGCCCATCAGGAGTTTGATGCCAGACTAAAAGGCATCAAACCTTCCCCAACCTGGTGCCCTCCTGATGTTTTGTTTGAACTACAACTGGCTGGGGGTGATAGAAGTTGTAGTCTAAAATATCTGGAAGGCACCATTTTGGGAAGGTTCAGCTTCAGGGGTTTCTCTGTTAATTCAGAGTAAGCCCATCAGAGCTAGCACTCTCTGACACACACACCGGAAATTAAATCCTATCACAAGGTGTTGTTATCCAACCAAAGTCAGGCAAAAGAGAAACTGTGAAGTCCAGAAGAGAACCTGGCATTTAGATGCTTCCTTTTTTTTGCACAGAAAAATCCCTAAAGTTTTTCTCATGGCCACTGAAGCCACATCTCAGCAACTCGCCAACTATACTTGTCTACTCAAGCGGGAGGGACCTGCAAACCTCCCATTTCTGCTTCCTGTGCCTGGGACCGTGGAAGTGTGAGCATGGAGATGGGGGTTAAAATACTGACCAGCCCACCATACATAGCCACTGGTTCAATGTTTATGTGTCCCCTGCCCTGCCAAGGTCAACAAGTGCATTTCATGGCTGAGTGGAGGTTTGAACCGCAATCTCCCCACTCCTAGTCAAGCACAAAGCACCCTAACCACTATACCACCCTTAACAAGCACCCTAACCACTATACCACCCTTAACAAGCTGGTGGGTGGCATTCAGTTTGGGCAGGCAGTTTTCAACTCTTTATTGCTCCTACTCAGTGGACGCTGAGGGAGGGAGGATGTTAGTGAAAGTTGGGTGGCTCTTAACCCAAACCCATAACATCACAATTATGCAAGCGAAGCATAATTATGCAAGCGAAGGGAAATGTTAATTGGGTGCAAATTCAGAAGAGCTGTCTGAGACACATTTCCCCCCTTTTCTGTGTTTGTTAATATTATGAAATTCATTTTTTAAAAAAATTGTTAGAGAAGAGCTGTCGAAGTATTTTAAGGAAAAAAATGTGTCTTTTCTTTGGTCTCATGGAGCAAAGGGAAGAGTGCCCTTGTTTCCAGCTTGAGTTTCACTGTTAAGTTTAATGCATGATTTAACTGCCTTGAGCAGGTGACAGGAATTTCCAGGGTACTGTTTTCTTCCAGGGGTGGGAAATTAGGCCCCTTGCAGTAGCCAAGGGACAGCAAGGGCAGGCAGAGATTTGGTTGGGCATCATCTCACTGGTAAAGAGAGGGAGGACTCTGCAGAAGGCTTTGGAATGCAAAGATGCCAGCAAGTAAAAATAAAAAACCTAAACCAATGGTATGGCTAGAACTTATCCAAGGACACTGATAAGACAAGCCACATGTGAAAGCCCCTGTTCATAAAAGGAAAGGAAACCAGCTTCCCCAAAGGAGAGTGTAAAAAGCATATGAGAAGGTTTACAGCATTTCTAGGTGCACAACTCACAGGACTTGCGGAAGGCCTGAAAGCCAGACTAACCAGATTGCCCAGTCCTTGTGGTTTTTATTTGTTAACAATAAAGCTGGGGAAAGCAAAGAGTCCAGGGTACACTGGTAATCAGCTGGTCTCAGCAACACCCAAGGACAAGCAGGGAAGAGACAAACTGAATTACCTCACCTCAGCGCAGTCAGGTGGCTCAAAGCTCTGCAAATACAAGCAGCTACCTCAGCCCCAATGTGTGCAGCACCTCTCCTCTTCTATGCAAACTTTCTCCAACTCCAAAACATCTGCAGGACACAACTCTCCGATCGGCAAAGCCATGCTGGCTGGAGCTGCTGGGAGTTGTAGCACAAAACAACAGGATGGCTGATGTCAGCCATTCTGAATAGGCCAGGGCTATACAAAGACCCAGAAAGGAAAGGGTGGAAACTGGAGCAACCCTGAATCAGTATGAAAGCAGGGATATAACGGAGGAGCTGTAGCCAATCAGATTTTAAAATGCTCAGTGGGAAACCTTTGTCCCTCCAGATGTGCTGAACTACAGCTTCTATAAGCCCTAGAGATCTCAAACGGTTTGTTCATATGCATATTGCCAGAGTGGGGTCTGTACTATGGCCTTTTCTAAGGCCCCATTAGAGAGCAGAAGAGCATCTTCTCCAGAACGCAGAAGAGAACTCTTGGACTTCAATAACCACAAGTCACGCACAGAGAGATACTTTCCATACTTTCTTTCATTCCTCCCCCTCTGACTTCACTATTTACAATCCCCTCCCTCCAACCATCTGTTTGTGTTTTATCCTGATAACAACCCTACGTGGCAGGTTAGGCTGAGAGGCACCATGACTGGTCCAGGGTTACCCTGTAAGCTTGATGGCTGAGTGAGGATTTGAACTCTGTTCTCCTGGGCCCCAGTCCAGCACTCTAACCACTACATTACACTGTGATAGCAATTTACTGGCTCTCACAGTAAATCAGGGTGCTATGGAAGAGATTTCTCATCACCCATCTTACAGAACTACAATTCCCAGAATTCCTTGGAAGAAAGTTAAACTATGTTTGCTACACAGGCTGTGCCCTGCTAACATCGTAAGGATGGGAGTGAAACTCAGAATGGAAGAGTGCTACAGAAGCTACTGTTAGGATGAAATTAACCAGATTGTTGCAGATGTTGCATATCAACATAATGCATGTGAAATGCACTAGAAAGTACAGTATTGAATGCTTCTATGCAATTACCATGCAAGTATTTAAACCTAAAAAATGCAGATACTTGCAATACATGCCACAGGTCCTGGACTACAGAGGGTTATTATTGGGACTAGTCTGCAGAGAAGTGAGCAAGGAGGGCAGGAAGCTGGGCTGCCACATTAGCTGCTTCACTGGCCTTTCCTGCTGTCTGAAGATGGCAGGAGAAGGTACACATGGTCAAGTATGTGACATGTCTAGCTGCTGCCTCAGCAGAAACTGCTGTTCACAATGAAAACATGGCACACCTAAGCATTTACAGGCCGGACAGTACGGAAAGCTGGCCCAAAAAAGCAAGGAAACAGTTCAATGTGTGTTCCCTGCAGCCTTTGTCTCTAAAACCCAGATTTATAACCTCTGCAACATTCCCTCTCTGCCCTGTTATCTGTGCAGCCAAGCATGTTATTTCCCAACACATCCTGCTCACTAGGGGGGGGGGGGACTCTGCTGGGAAGAATGCCTGCACATCCAGGAGGAGGAGTAATGCCCTAATGGGCTGGTAAATGTTATGTAGTAACAGTAAGACCGGAAGTGAGGTCAGTGGAGGGATGCAAGTTCCATGTCGCCTAGAAGGAGCCACTCAAGGAGGGTACAGTTGCAAGCAGCAAGGAACAGCCAGTCTTGTTTATGCCCTGATCAGGAGTTTCACAAAGCAACAAGGCTAGATCTTGCTGCTGCTGCTAACTAATCTCTGTTGAAAAACCTGTTAATAAGTCCCTTAACTCTTCACATTCAGCAGAGTCTAGGCAATTAACCACCATCACCCTGCAAGCTCAGCCTAGCTAAAGCATGCCAGGGCTTACATTCTTTTGTGTGATAAGAACCAGACAACCCACACCACCAGCACCACCGCCCCAGAAAGACAGATAAACATTCCACATTGAAACAGTTGGCTGTTATTTTGCCTGGTTTATCCCCACAGGAAAATGCACTGCATTAGAAAACAAACAAGCTCAATCTATAATACATTTTTTAAAAATCCCACGCTTGCAACATTCACCAGTTAACCCTCTCCGTTTGCCACCCCTGCCCCTGCAAGCTGGAAGTTGAGGTTTCAACATTAAATCACTTGCTCACTGGTTGCCATGCCTTCCTCAGTCACTTCCTTTATCTCAAAGTAAAAAGGGGGAGGGAGGGAAAGCAAAATTCCAGAGGAAAACCACACCAAGACCACAAAGCAGTGGATCAGGGTGATACTTTTACAAAGATTTCACACAAAAGCAGCGAAACACATAGAGTAAACCAAGTTATCAAAGGGAAAGTTCATCTCGAGACAGTAGACATTCTTTCTGAAAGGGAAGCGGTTCTCCCTGTACTGTATTAAGTAAAAAGCCCACAAAGTTACTAACTAGCATTATTCATCACCACAGTGACTGGAGGCCACCCCCACCCAAGAGCTAAGTGCTGATCAAAAGTCCAGCCTCAGCCCTGAAGAGCTATTTCCTAAGCCACTGCAGCAGCCAAGTAGGGCAGAAATGCTGAACACACACAGCAAGAAGGATGACAGATTTTTAACAGAACTTGGGAGATCAGACATGCAAAGGTGAACTCCAGGGGTAGGCACCAGAAGGGCCTGGCCATTGGTTTCTATGAGAAAAGTCTCAAGAAAGGGATAGGGAATAGGACTATAATTACAAAACAATAGGGGTGGTGGTTAGGGCGAGGAATATAATAAAAAAGGAATGCAGAGAAAACAATTTGTTCAAAGTTACTTGGCTTCGCAACAATAAAAGGGCCAAATTCTATAGTAGCCAACAGATATTGCCACCAGTCCCCTTTTTGCTTTGTGTCACCTTTTCACTTACTGGGGGAATCTGATATAGTAGCCCCAAGTTATGCCTTCCCCACTTCTTCTTTTTTAAGGTTTTCCAGCTGCACTGCTCTCTTTTTATGGTGAGAGGATGTGTTCTGGGGTATGCAAAGAGAGAGGGGAGGAAAGAAGTCAACAGAGGCACACACAATAAGAAGAGCTTAGTGTGGCACTGGTCTTTATCGGATAAGTCGGAACCCATCACTGGTCCACCAACTCTGTACTGTCTACAATGACTGGCAGTGGCTCTCCAGTGTTTCAGGCAGGGAGTCTTGCCCAGCCCTACCTGGAGATGCTAGGGGTTGAACCTGGGTGGTTCTGCATGCCAAGCAGGTGCTCTGCTGCTCAATTGCAGGAAGAGAGGTTGTGGGACTGGATCTCCTGTTTAGACTGGTGTTCTTCCCTATATTTCTGCTCCAATCAGCTGCTGTACTCATTTTGTGTTGAGGCAGATACCGCCCCCCCTTTTAGCCTCTTGTTGGCCATCACAACTAAATAGAGCCTCCATGTCCCGATGCATTATACCTCTCCGAGTATGACTTGAAGCATTCCTTGGGGGCTTTCCAGAGACCTCTGGCCAGCAGCTAGAGCAAACTGGAGGATGGAGACTAGAGGGATCCTTATGGTTTGATCTAACCAGGGTCTTTCTTATGTTTAACACATACCTGCCCATGTCTTTTACTGGATGTTGAACAACTCACTGATTTAGCACACTTACGGACATCTATTTTAACTTCACTTCTGGGAAGATGCCATTTTCCAAACTTTCTCTTTAGTTGCACTCCGAATGAAAGAAGGGATGGAGGAAAACTGGTTCAGGGTTCTCTTTGTAACCCAGCCCAGTAAGCCCACTGTGCTGACTAAGCCTGATGTTTTGTAGCCCAAACCTCTGAAGAACACAAGGTTGAGGAAGGCTGTTTTACTCAATAATACACTGTGTCCTGCAAGATGTCCAATCTTCCCCACCCACCCCTCTATGTTGTTGCTGCCCTCACTGGGCAACACAGCATGTCAGTCTCATTAAGCAACTGCTGGTGTTGAAAGGCACTTGGGATAATCTTAAGCAAGAGTGCAAATTCAGGATCACACAGATTAATTACACCTTGACAGTTAGGATTTCTTATATCTACATTCTTATTTTATATCCCACTCCCTCACCCAAGTAGGTAAAAGTAGCACATATGGTCCTTCTCCACATCCTCTCCTTTTATTCTCACAACAGCCCTCTGTGGTAGGTTAGACTGAGAAATCATAACTGGGTCAAGGTCACCCAGCAAGCTTCATGGTCAAGTGGAGATTTCAGCCTGGTCCTTTTAAGCCATGTCTGACACTTTAAACTTGGGCATATAAAAAAGAGAACAGGATCACATGTGCTGCCCTGACCTCCTTGTGGTAAAAGTGGGATATAATAATGCAAACTGAAGAAATCCTAACAGTTACCCTGTGTGTAGCAAAAAGAATATGGTAGCTTTTAACCAAAGTGTCAAGACTGTCTTCACCCCACTTTAGAGACATCCCAGATTTCAAAGCCCAAACACAATTCAGCCAACAAAATACAACAGACATTTCACAACACTCCATTGCAAAGTCCCAATACAAAGCCCGTCCACTAGTCTGGTGAAACAAGTATTAAGTATGAAAATCATTAAACGATTTTTTTAAAAAAACAACCCTGTCCAGCGCCTAGCAAAGGGTGGGTAGGCTTTCTGACTAGCAAAGGGTGGGTAGGCTTTCTGATGTGCCAACAAGGCCTGAGATACTTTACTGAGAAGGACTGGGGGAAGGGGAGCCAAGGCTGTGGACTGTATCCAACCACATTAGACTCGGAGTAGGCCCACTACAATTAATGGGCCTATGCTAAGCGCGTTCATTAATGGGTCTACCCTTGAGGAGGACTAGCACTGGATACCACCCAAAGGGCTGGGGCGAGGGAGAGGCAAGGCGGTCGGCTTCAACCAACTGCATTTCATTCATAGAGGAGGCCCCTGGGAATTAATGGACCTTAGTCAGTGGTGCTCCTTAAAGGTCTATCGGCCTCCTCTCGAGTAGGGCCGGAAACCATCCAAGGAATCCTGATCGGGAACCGGGGGAGGGGTGGGGGGGTTCTGAAGCAGCCCCCAGGGAGCGGGGGGAAGAGGCGCGGCGGGGGACAAGGGATGCAGGCCCACCTTTGAAGAGATAGTCGTACTCGTCGTCGCGGGAGCCCCCCATAATGACGGCGGCAGCGGCGCCTCCTCCGGCTTCTCAGCTAACAAGGAAGCGATAGCCAGAGAGCCCCTCCCTGCGCCTCCTCCTGCTGCTGCTGCTGCTGCTTCCTCAGGATCAGCCGCACTCCGGTTCCGCCCACTAGCCGGCCCTTCCTTCCTTCCTCCTCGCTCGCTCGCCGACCAGATACAGCTTCCGGGAGCACCGGCTTCCGGCTTCCGGTTCGCATGAGAGAGAGGCCATTTTCCGCAGAGGGGCCGCTCCGTAGACACGTATGACGACACTTCCGGGCACTCAGGGCACCAACGGAGGGACCGGGAGAACGACTTGAAAAACGTACGGAGCGCTAATTATGTTTAGGAGGGAAGGAAATCGGAGACTGGCGGGTTTCTGAATACACTTCCGGTTTTAAACTTGGACTTGTTTTCTGAGGCAAAGGCTTTCATCAGAGAGTTTCCAGATTCCTAGAGCGGCGCCGCACGAAGTCCCGAGAGATGCGGACTTTCGTTTCTGTGCCGGAAGTTATCTGTAGCCTTCAGCTCCCACTTTAGACGCTTTTCGTCTCTGTATTCTTTCCCCGCATATGACGGCGACCGAATGGAAACCGGAATCGATACCTGAGTGCGACACCTCTTGACGTTTTCATCTCTATTGTTGTGGAGGGCCGAGCCAAGCGGGCCGTAGATCAGCCTTCGCCCGTCTGGATCCCCTAGAAATTTCGCACTACAATTCCCATCAGCTCCAGCGAGCGCGACAGGATGGTGCTAGGGCTACTGGGAGTTGTAGTCCAGGCTGGACCGCAGAGGCCTCTGGGAAGGGTGGTGAGGTGTATCCCCATCGGGAAAAGCTTGCCTCTGAGCATGTGCAGAGTATTTCTCCCTCCACCTCCCTTTTCTGCTGCTCCGTGTCGTTTTCCTCCTCTGCCTGCCACAGTGCTTTGACTTGGATTTCAACTCACGCCTGGGATGTGGGAAGGGGAGCCCTTCTCAGCCTTGGGCCACCAGATGTTCGTGAGCTACGACTCCTATCATCCCAGTGGCCATGCTGGCTAGGAATGATGAGAGTTTTAGTCCAACAGCATCTAACGACCCAAGGTTGATGCAATATTAAAAGAAGAGGATGCCTAGCCCTAGAGGCATGTGCAGAGTGCCATTCGCTCAATGCCTCCTTTCTTCCTGGACTGCAGCGCGGGAACCGAGAGGAATTCTGAGGAATGCAGCTCCGCCTGCACGTCTGCATGCCTTCCCCTGACTGAATGCGTGTCAAGCGTCCTGGTAGTGCAGTCCCAGTGCAGTCAGGTATTCACACATAATATAACCAGCAGCTTGTTGCTCAGACGTTCAAAAGGCAGAGACATTCCAGGTTTAGGGCGGTATATAAATTCAATTAATAATAATAATAATAACCAAATTTCCATATTGGAACCTTCCACCCACATCTCTCTGACACCTTCATTGCAGACAGGCAAGTTCACTTATAAAAGAGTCCCCTGCCTGCCCCCCACCTCTTCTGAGCTGCCGCCTTGGTGTGTGTGAGAGACATGGAGCACGTGCAGAAGAGTTAGTTGTCAAATGCGCTCTTTATATGCTCACGGGCACTCTTGCGCCCGTCGCAGTAGAAGCTGCAAATACGTTCCGGGGCTAAACTTTAGCCTCGACACCCGCTCGCCCCACTCCAAATGCACGTGCAGTGGCAACGGGTACGTGTCCAGTCTAGCGCCATCGTCCTGCTTTCGCATGCCAGGCTTTGCAAGACTCCTAAATGCGCACGTGCAAACGCAGCCGCTCCCCGAACCTATTGCTGCTCCAAGCCGGAGAAACAGAAGCTGCAGGGGAACATCCGATCCGGGCTTGCAAGAGCAAAAGGCGTCGCTTGGGAGCGCCGTGGGGGCGCTGGAAGTCAGCGCAGAAGAACTGCAAGGCTTTAGTGGGAGCTGCTGCAATATATCGTCAGGGCGGTTCCATGGTGTAATGGTTAGCACTCTGGACTCTGAATCCAGCGATCCGAGTTCAAATCTCGGTGGAACCTGCAACGATCCTTCCTTGTTTTTCCCTTTAAGGCTATTTTTATTTTATTTCTCAAAGGCGAAGGTCGCGTGAACGCAAGTTATTTTCAAGTGCTCAAAACATTTCCAAGCGAAACTCCCATCAGCTCCGAGATCTTTGAATTGCTTTTAGAACTACAGCGACTGGAACGCTGAATTTTAAGGGCTCGCCTCTTCACACATGGGAAAGTATGACCTGCCAACCTGAATAGTCCTTGCGACGCACTGAGATGGGCTGGATCCTGTACCCTGGGCTGCAATAAATGCTCTTGGCGAAAATGATGTGAAATCAAATAGGAAACATATGAATAAGTATTTCCTGAAATACACTGGGTTAGGATGATGCAGCCTCTTGAGTCATGCATCAAGATGGGTCGTATCCTGCACTCTGCTCTGCAAATAACCATCGGAAATGAATGCAGATCCTGCTCTCTAATAAAAAGCATACCGACAAGCCAGAGTGCTTATTAGCTCAAGTGCAAAGTGGTATGTTTTCTTTTTATTATTATTACATTGCATTCAAATCTCACTTTTTCTCCAAGGAGGTGTGCAGAGTCCACCTCATTTAACCCCCCACAACAACCCTGTGAGGTACGTTAGGCTGCAAGGAAGTGACTGGCCCAACTCACCCCAGCATTGGATTTAGGGCTGGGCAAGCAAATTTTCCCGGACAAGGTGCCTAGCTGAGGGGGTGCAAAATAATAATTAATGAATTATTGTGAAAATAATAAATATTTAGGGGGCATGCCAAATTTTGTCGTCGCTCAGGGCTCCCCTGCTTACTCTACAATCACTGTGTAGAGTCATGATGGCCCTTAATTCAAGAGTACCTTCGACCACCAATGGTCCATCACCAGTGATCCACAGCATATTTGTGGTTGAAGATGGGAGACAGCACATCCATTCAAAGTGGGTTTATTTGTGTTATTACAGCGAAGTGGAACCAAAACTGACAGAGTAGCACATTCCTTAACACTGCAACATGATGTTGTGGATATTACTCATGTGTTCACAGTGGATAACTGTATACCTTGTGAGATCCTACAGCTAGCAGATGAAGTTAAAGAGGAGTTCAGGGAGGGAAACTTAGATGTCAAGAGGCCTATAGGAGCCAACTCCTAGGAGCCAAGGTCCCTTCGCACCCCGCACCCCAAAATATATATAAGGGGGCCAGCCACCCCAAATTTGATGGGCATTGTCATTCAAATAGAGTGTGTGTGTGTGCGCGCTTGTCTGTTTTGTGATTGATTATGCAGGGCTGGGTGAGGCGGGGCTTATCCGCTCCCCACCACCACCCCATATTTTATTCAAATTAACAACCCTGCAAGCAGGATCAGATCACAGGAGTGATTGCTTAAACATAGACACACACAAAAGGGGAGCCCACTGACATCACCAAAACAAACCACATTTAGCAGATGAACAATGAAATGGCTCAGATTGTTAGTGGTACAATATCATTATCTCTAGCAGATCACAATGATCTCACACACAGTGAATCAACCACTTGAAGGAGAGGCAGATCCGTCCTGCAAATAACTAGACAGAGTTACTAGCTGTTTTACTCTGTCCATGAAAATGAGCTAGAGTTTTCTAATAATAAAAAGAAGGGTTGGCAAAGCTCTGCTTGACACAGGGAGCTATATTTTAAAAATTCCCATTATTTGGGCGGTTGGAAGACATGACTGCTAAAGGTAGTATCACAGTGCTTTAAAGGTAAGGAGCAGATGTTGCCTCTGTGCCACACAAGACTCTTCTAATGTTTTCTTGGCAACTAACACAGCTACCTCTGATAATGGATATTTGACCTTTCATCTGCCACAAGGCTCCAACTTTTCTACAGAATGTTAAAAAAACAAAAACAGGACTTAGCAACAAACTTTTGCAGCTATTCCTATCTGAGTCCTGAATGGTTGAGCACTCAGATAGGAATAGCTGCAAAAGTTTGTCAAAACTGATCAGGCTACGCTATGGCAACCTCAAGTTTCACAAATCAGCAAGGAAAAACAGTGTCTTGGCCTTTAGTTCATTGTATGCTGTCAATGTGACATTCAGATGTTGCTAATAGATCATTGGCAAGATATATATATATATATATATATATATATATATATATATATATACTCATTAGGCTTTCTGAGGAAAAGGGAAATGGGATTAATAGGGCACAGCCCCACCAGTCTTCTTACTAGCAACCAGCCCCAAAGGTAGATCACATGCCTGGCATGCAAAATGATAAAGATTTCTGGAGATCCACTGCTGGTCAGTCAGCTAGATGGACCAACGGTTTGACTTGGTATAAGGCTGCTTCCTCTATTAGAAAAGAAGAATTACACATGCACAGAATACAACATTTGATTTGATTTTGATTCTTTATATTGCTATGCTGTTTTTCATTCAATAGAATCACAAAGCGGCTTACAAACAGTAAGTAACCATTACGTAAGAGAACATCACAAATACAGCATAAATCATATAGAATAATTAACAAATAATAAACAAAACAATTTGTTGTTCTTTAGTCGTTTAGTCGTGTCCGACTCTTCGTGACCCCATGGACCAGAGCACGCCAGGCACTCCTGTCTTCCACTGCCTCCCACAGTTTGGTCAAACTCATGTTTGTAGCTTCGAGAACACTGTCCAACCATCTCGTCCTCTGTCGTCCCCTTCTCCTTGTGCCCTCCATCTTTCCCAACATCAGGGTCTTCTCCAGGGAGTCTTCTCTTCTCATGAGGTAGCCAAAGTATTAGAGCCTCAGCTTCATGATCTGACCTTCCAGTGAGCACTCAGGGCTGATTTCCTTAAGAATGGATAGGTTTGATCTTCTTGCAGTCCATGGGACTCTCAAGAGTCTCCTCCAGCACCATAATTCAAAAGCATCAATTCTTCGGCGATCAGCCTTCTTTATGGTCCAGCTCTCACTTCCATACATCACTACTGGGAAAACCATGGCTTTAACTATACGGACATTTGTTGGCAAGGTGATGTCTCTGCTTTTTAAGATGCTGTCTACGTTTGCCATCGCCTTTCTCCCAAGGAGCAGGCGTCTTTTAATTTCGTGACTGCTGTCACCATCTGCAGTGATCTGCAGAAACAAAACAATTACAATCTATTAAAAAAACAACTAAAACAAATAAGCTAAACAGCACAATTACAACAGAAGTCGTATTATAGGATTCACAAAGTACTACAGCATTCATAATCTATAAAATATTGTAATGCCGGCATTATAAATTGTACAGATTTCGTGTTTGTTTTTCTTTTTCTTCCAGGGGAATGCTTTGAAGCTCCATAACCAATCTGCAGCAAGCAACATGTCTGACTGTTGATGATAGTGATGGTTTGTCAGCAAGGTAACAGCATATGGCTGGAAGGGATTTGGGATGGTGCAAAGTCTCACCTAAGACAGGTACACATCTGTTCCCCCAGAAAACGAATTATTGAGGTTTCAGGGAACCAGCGGCAGTTTCATTGTTCCATGGTGACACTTCTGATAACAGATTGTTTCAGAAGCCTGGCTCTCTTCCTAGGCATGTTGATGAGATATACACAGGCTAGGATGGGTCAAGTATTGAGAATGATGCAGACTCTTAGCAGCAGATGTTTCATTGTGAAGTTTGATAGGTTTGGGGGCAGACGACAGTTCTCTGGACACCTTTGCTAAGTTACCCTCCACTTCCCCCTTGTGGGCTGGATTGAAAGGGAAAAAGAAAGAGTTCAGTCCTAAGGAATCCCACTTGTTCTTGTTGTCTCAGCAAAGCTTCATAAAAATGCTCTCTTTGCTGCAGTTTGGTTTCCCAAACCAGTTGACAAAGCAACTATTGTTTACCATTCCTTTGCATGGGAGAAATGCAGTTCATTTCAGATGGCTTTCAACCACCCGTCTCCAACCTTGCACCCTCCAGATGTTTTGGACTTCAACTCCCATCAACTCCAGCCCTGAATGGCTGGGACTGATGGGAGTTATAGTCCAACATCTAGATGGTGCTAGGACCAGGTTGGCAAAGATTGGTTGAAAGCCATTTGAAATGAACTGCGTTTCTCCCATATCAGTGGTTTAAAGCTCAATAGCTTTAGGTGCAGATAGAATACCATAGCTTACTCCCTTATATAGGTGTTAGGCTTATATAGTTTATCTGTTGAACCAGTTTAACAGCTTTCTGCTTACTGTACTTGACTAAACCAAGTATTTGGTTAGTTCTTGGCTGGCATAAGTGTGTGAATGCCAATTAACATGCATGTTTTTGTTATGTAAATAGCAGTTCTTGGGAAACCTGACTAGATTTAGGATTATGGGATGGAGAGTTTGATTCCTGCTATCCCTGCCAAGTTCCCAGGGCAGGGAGGGGAGATTACCTCTCTGAAGGCATGGTTTGCTATTGTCAACATCATCCTCAACACTGAGGGAAATTGTACTTAAAATTAAATTACATACATTACACACAGTAACCTGTACTTGATGTATATGACCAAGAGTCTTGTGCTACCTTAAAGCCCTAGACATTTACTATGACATAACCTTTTATGGACAAGGACTAACCTGTTGTGGATTATTATTATTATTACTACTACTACTACTACTGCTTTATTAATTGTCTTCTAAACCACCATCTCAATGTGATTCACACAAAAGATAATTTTAAAAAGTTAGAACACAAAAAAAGTAAATTTATAACAAGACTAAAACTCAAAGAATGGACACTTGTGGTAAAGACCCACGGGTGGCACTGTGGGTTAAACCACAGAGCCTAGGACTTGCCGATCAGAAGGTTGGGGGTTCGAATCCCCACAATGGGGTGAGGTCCTGTTGCTCGGTCCCTGCTCCTGCCTACCTAGCAGTTCAAAAGCACGTCAAGTGCAAGTAGATAACTAGGTACTGCTCTGGCGGGAAGGTAAACCATGTTTCCGTGCGCTGCTCTGGTTCGCCAGAAGCGGCTTAGTCATGCTGGCCACATGACCCGGAAGATGTACACCGGCTCCCTTGGCCAATAAAGCGACATGAGCGCCGCAACCCCAGAGTCGGCCACGACAGGACCTAATGGTCAGGGGTCCCTTTACCTTTACCTATCCATCTGGGAAAGCCTGCAGGAGCAACAATGCCTTTGGATGCTTCTGAAAAGTGCAGGTGGTAGATGTCATACACAAAGAAAAAGTATTGTCCAAGTCATCTTGGAATTCACCGTTCCAAAACACTGCAAACAAATTCCATATTCCAGTAAACTTGTTTGTCTATTAATTTCCACAGCAGGTTAATTTGGATAAAATTGCCCTGTTCCATCTTCCTTGATGCCATTCAGACATCAACAGAACAAGTGCTTTCTTCCAATTTGCTACTGTAAACATGTTGGCAGCCGTAAAGTAGGTTTACAACCACTTCAAGATCAACATCATTAATCAAATCCTTAAGATAACTCAGAAACTATTTAGGGATTTTGTGGTATGAAACAACCAGCCGTTTTATCAATCACATTTGGAATCAGAGCCCAAAAGGGTTGTATCATTGGACTTGCATAAAATGCAATATAAATTACCGTATTTTTCGCTCTATAAGACGCAGCAGACCACAAGACGCATCGTTTTTGGAGGAGGAAAACAAGAAAAAAAATATTCTGAATCTCAGAAGCCAGAACAGCAAGAGGGATCGCTGCGCAGTGAAAGCAGCAATCCCTCTTGCTGTTCTGGCTTCTGGGATAGCTGCGCAGCCTGCTTTCGCTCCATAAGACACACACACATTCCCCCTTACTTTTTAGGAGGGAAAAAGTGAGTCTTATAGAGCAAAAAATATGGTATGTGAATGCAAATTTACCAAGCACGTTGTTGTTGTTGTTGTTGTTGTGTAAATAGTTGCCCTGGAGAAGCCTGATCAACACTGGAACTGCTGGGGAGTAGAAGTTCAATTATTTCTACCGCTATCACAATCCTTCCCACACACTTCTCTGAAGCTGTTATTTGGTCTGACTCAGTGCAAGTCTGCTTCCTATTTTCCTGTGTCTTAAGGGAAGGACCAAAGCTCAGTGGCAAAGCATTTGCCCAACACTTTCTTAGATGCAAGGAACTTCTCACCTCTCCAGGAAGTGGTGGGAAGTCCGTAACTGGATTTACACATAAAAATCTGAATTTATCTGTGACAATTAATATTACAAAAGCACAGGGGAATGTATTGTCCAAAAATTTGGTGCTATCACCTTGCACAAATATCCTCTCATGGGGTACCTCTTGAGGGCCCCCATGCCCTTGAGGTTCAGTTGTCCTTCAGCAGAGATTTGGCAGGAGTCTCCACTCTATTCTTTTAAACATCCTTTGGAAGATACATGCTTTGTTGATATTTTTCACGATGTTTTATGGATGCCTTTGCTGATTTTATTATAACATTGTATGTTGTATACCGCCTTGATATAAATTTATGAAAGTGTGGGTTATGAATACTTAAATAAATAAATAAAGATCTTTTAATTTAGATATTCCACTAGTACTTGTCTCCGCTTTGCCTTGCAAATATGAATCCTCATACTGGTAGCGCATGCTGGAAATCTGGTGCAAGGAAAGCAGCCTTTAAACTTTATACATGTATGATGGATTTGTGCAAAAATCAGTAGTTTGTGGGGCAGTATTAACATTATACAAAATATGCTAGGCTATTATTTATTGCCACTGAGGCCATTACAATTCCTTTTAGAGTATCTTAAAAATGATATACATCTGGAATGCCATAATTTGGTGGGAAATATGTTAACTAAAGCAAAAAAAAAAATTTTTAGCAACACTCAAATAGCATACGCCAGCAATTCCAACGGAACAAAAGTGGATTAATAAAACATGGAGCGCTGCCATGAGATCTAAGCTGACTGAGATGGCACAATTACGAGTAGGATGACAGAATGAAGAACAGTTTGAGAGAGGTTTATGCCTCTTCAGTGATAATAATTGGAGCTATTTAAAACACAGGTAGGAAACCTCTAGGCTGGGTCTCCCCTTCAAATGTGCCCCCCAGGCCTCACTGACCCTCAGGACAGTGGTGTTGCATCCTTTGTTGGTGTCCGGGGCATGTGTGTGCGCACACCAGGTTGGGACCAGGTTGGTGTGGATGGTGAACAATTCAGGAGATGGCAAAGAGTGATCAGGAGCCAGTCTTCTTATATAAAACAGGTGCCATCTCTGCAGATAGGAGCAGACACTCCCCCTGGAGAGCACATTTGCAGTCCCGACATTTCCGCATAACAAGCAAGTGAGTGTGTTGTGCCTTATCTTTAAAAGCTTGGCATGTGTGGAAGCTGTTGGGACATCTTTGTTGCTTCTGTCCAGTTCTGAATATCTCGCCCGTTTACTGAATCCCTGATTCATGACTCCTGAACTCTGTCTGCTGCCAAGCCTGTGCTGTTACTTTCCTGAATTAAGATCTCTTTCTTACTTAAGATCCTCTGTCTGCATTTGCTGGGCCTGAACCAGGACACTTACTCACGGGAATCCCATTAATACGGTAATTAAACACACATGTAATCCAATTGCAGTAAATAAAGAGTTGGCAATTCGTCAGCCTAGTTTTCACTTAAGAAACAGTTTACGACTTTGCAGTTATTCCACAGGGCTGTTGTGAATCAAAACAAGAATAGCAAAGCATTTAGTTCTCTGAAAGGGTGCTATTAAAATAATCAATTTCAAGAACACATTTCTAATATCCAGTGATCAGAAACAGGGAAACCTTAATACTGAAAACTTGCTTGACATTTAAAGCTTAAAAATAAGTACATTTGCATGTACAGGAGGTGTTAATACCCAACGGTCTGGAAAGCAAGATATGAAGAACAGTCACCATGAAGTAAGATCCTCTTTTTTTAATGTCACGCTTGCTAACTTCTTCCTGTACGTTTATTGGCCGCTTGCACAGATGTTTTTCTGTGTTGCAGTAACACAGGACATCACCATGGAGACCCAACACAAATCTACGCAACATGGAGAGAATCTGAACATTTTCTGTGAGATGCTACTTATAATAAACCATCTCCGTTCTACTGCCTCTGCTTCTCTGGACATTTTGAAGAAATGCATGTCTTTATTCTATTTAATCTGTCTATTTAGTAAACAAAATTTATATACTGCTCAATGGCACAAGGTCACTCAACAAGTTTCACAGCTGAGTATCTGAACCCTGATCTCTCAGTTCCTAATCCAACACACTATCCGCTACTACACCATACTGCTGCAGTCCACCCAGCTGGCCCCATACATTTTGCTGCCTGAGCTGCAGGACAAGATGTTGCCCCCTCACAATTCCAAGTTCAGAAGCTGACTGCACTGGCGATTGAGTCTTACTTCAACACGTCTGATCGGGTAACATCCTGCACCATACCTGAAGCAGCAGTCCCAAAAGGGACTATGTGGCAGCAGAAGGGGAGTCAATAGGAAATTCTGGAGGCTGATACTGCTGTCCCTGAACAGCTACTACCTAAGGCAGTTATCTCACTCTGTTTAACTTAGGGTTGGCCCTGCAACCCTACAACGCTGAAGGTATTAGAATCATATGCTAAGAGTCTAATCCAGAATGCTGGATGAAATGGATCTTAGTCTGACTAGTCCAGCCAGGGCAGTTCCTGCCAAATGAGTAAAACGCAGAAGTTGGAAATTTTGTTCTTGTCACAATGCAAGAACTATATTAATTTTACAGGTTTTACTAGATTCTCATGGGGGAGGGGGGAACAGTTTGAGGGGCAGATTGCAACCTGGAACATGTGTCCATATAGTGGGGTGCAAGTGAACAAATCAAGTGGAGTGTCCCCCACTCCCCAGATTCAATGGGATTTTCCTTAAAAGAGGTAGACTTGATTATTTATTCCCCTTTTCACATTCTTTCCCCTGTATGCCACACATTTCTGAAAAGTTGCTACTCCCCAGGGCCCCGGTTTTGTGTTTTAGCAGCTGTTTCCTATTGTTTTCTCAGACTGGGGCCAGCAGCCACATGGAACACATTACTTGTGCCCAGGAGTGTTTCCTAAACTATTATTTAGTCAAAGATGCAAGGCAAACTGTGATTGTGAAGAGCCTGACAACTTGCAGAGCTACTTTGCCTCTTTCCAGGGCTGGATTAACTGTTAGCTAGGTACACTTTAGTGTATCGCTCCAGGCAAATTTGGACCCTTGCTATGGTCCATAGCTATTTAGAAATTTCCTCTGCAATCAACCAAATACCATCTTTTCCATGCTGAGTTCTCATAAATTCCTGGGGCTGTTTGTATATGGAAAGAGTGGGTATTATTCCAGACATATTGACATTTTAAACACCTGCACACCCTTGTGCAGAAAAAAGGTCTATCCTTTTTTTAGCAGCTGCTGGGACTGAGAGGTGATATTTCCTTAGGTTTGGAAAAGCAGGTACAATTTATTGGCAAATACTAGGTCTTCAGCTTGAGATGGGCTTAAGTTCAAAATCAAGGAAGGGGCCAGTAAATGCTACAAAACTCCTTTCCCATTACAAAACTTATCAATAGCCCTTAATTTTACGCAGAAATGAAAGAGAAACTGAGCCTACCAAAATTCTCTCCTTTGCTACACTTGTAGTCACAGGAAATCTGTATCATGAATGCTATCTGTGGTTTTATCTGATGCCCATTACTTTGATTCTAGAATATATTACAAATGCCGAAGTGTTCGTGATCATTAGAATAATTATAGGGAAAGCATGTGGATCTGGGGTTGAGCGTGCCACGAGAGACAAAGCTTTGTAAACCTTCCCAAATGATTAGTCAGAGTACCTGGTGTTTTCTCCAATATACAAAGCTAGTTCTGAGATGTCACTTGGATCGAGTACTGTTTGTCTTTACAATGGGGTGTCCTGATTGAACTTGGGGGGGGGGTTACCCAAACATAAAACTCTTTCCCTCCCTCTGGGAACAGCTGCAAACAGTTAACCCACATCAGCTTCTGCTTCAGAACTCTTGGTTGAGTCCTGACAACTCTGTCTATAGGTCTTGCGTGTTTCATTTTGTGTGTAACCCAATATTTTAATTTCTTTTGTTTCTCCCCCATACCTCCGCCCAACTAATGGATGTGAAAAGAAATCAGATGGTTTCCCCAGATAAATAAGGGCCTTGGTCCTACAGAGTATTCATTAGAGGCTTTGTAGAAAGAAAAGTGGATTAATCAAGAGCAGCTGGTGATGTGGGTGGCCTCATTGGTGCTGCATTTGTAGCTGAATTTCAAGTTCTGAATTATCTTAATGCGTGCTCCATTACTGGAGAATATTAGAATAATTCAAGGGAAAATATGCTTTTAGTAATTGAGACCAAACACAAGCATCACATAAAACCGGTTATTGGTAACAGTACCGCAGACACTGATTCACTTGTTGCCCTTTTCGAGATGGTAAAAACCACATTGCAAGAGTATTTGAATATTTATTTCAAGTGTTTATAGCCAACCCTTTCCTAGATAGTCACAGAGCAGGAAATACATATATATTAAATACTGTGGCCAGCTCTCTCTGTCCAGGAAAGACTATATTCGGTGAAGGAGCTACAGCTGGGAAGATATTCCCAGCCACTGAATCCACCTGGGCTTAATGTGACAAATGTGGCCTCAGGAGCACCCCAAAGGTGATCTTTCAAATCCTGGACCAAGAACCCATCAAGTCACAGTACGTCAGTGTTGTCTGGGTTCAGTTTCAATTTACTGGCCTACATGCAACCTATTATCACCACCAGACCTCAGTTCAGCACCTGCATCTGGGCATCTTCTATATATTGATGACACCTCATTCCAATTCCCCTGATGCTATATGCATAAACTAGGGTCACAGTTCTACATCTGCACACAAGATCTGTTGTAACTGCTTAGAGAAAAGCGATTGAGAGTTCTAGGGCTTGGTTGAATTGCACCTCCACTCTCAAATACAAAGATATGCTGGACTTGCTGGTCTGTGCTATTCACTTGCTAGCCCACAAGGCTGATAGTAGGCATGGATTAATCTGTCAATTTCATTTACTCATTTTTGGCATTTTCACTTTTTGCATCTTTAAATGCACTTGATAATTTGCAAAAAGTAAGGATTGCTGAGGAGTTTGGACATCTTCAAATAAGGTGCTCATTTATGCAGAGATTGGACTTCCCAATCCTTTAAAGTGAGAGAGAGGGTTTATCACTGCCCCAAATATTAAATAAAAACACTTTGAGCACTTATTCCACATTAGAGCACATTTCCATGTTTACATAAGCCCACAACTAAAAGCAGATTAGCAGCACAGTGAGAACACACTTAACAATGCACAGAGCTGGTCTAACTATAGAAGCAAACTAGGCAACTGCCTGGAATGCCAAAATCCCAGTGGCACCTGCATCTGCTGTGCAAATGGCTTAGCAAACGAACAGCTGTTTGCATGGTTCAGTTTATCTGGGGGGTTTTAATGGATGCTTATCTGTGAAATAGGGAAACTAATTCATTAATGAACTGAACCACTTTTTATTTTTAATTTATAAAATAGGGTTTCCAAGTGCCCAATAGCCAGCTGGCTGTTGAGCACTTGGGAATCTGCAACAGCTTCAAAGGCAACCCCCACACTTCCACATGAGCTCCCAGGAGCAGGGGGTGTCGGCGTCTGAAAGCCCTTTGCAAAAGTTATTTCAAGCAGCCCCTCCTACGTATAACATCACTATGTTAAAGGCAGTGGGAAGAGTGCTTAACGTGCTTTGCAAAATCTATTTTAAGCCATCTCTCCCCTTTAAATATTTCTCAAGTGGTGTTTGACGGAAGAGCGGGAAGCTGCTTCAAAGAGCAAATTTGCAAAGCGCTTGAGGACAGTCCTCCTGCTTCCATCCTACAGTCTCAGATGGGCGAACAGGGACTGTGTTAAGTGCTTTGCAGAAGTGCTTTTTGAAGCAGTGCTCAAGCAATGTTGGCGTAGGGAGGCTACTTCAAAGAGCACTTTTGCTTTATGATCCTCTGTACATTTTACAAGCTCCTTTACCCTCCTGTCTCCCCAACTATTTAAAGAAGGTGGTCAGCTGGGAGTGTGTGGGCATGGTTTGGGGAAAATTACCTAGAATGTCAAATTGGACCCCCTGGCAGACCAAGATTGACCTACAGGCTGGATGTTCCCTACCCCTGATCTAAGATAAGACATGTGAACAACAGCTTCTCATAATGCAAATAGCAGTTTTGGGAGGGCAGGTGTGACATACAGCTCAGAGCTTAATAAATCTCCTTCTCCCCTCTCTTGTCCTGACTCTTGTTGAGCTCTCCTGCTGCTGCTATTTAGAGATTATAAAAGAACCATGCAGCATCAAAATATGTGTTTATAACATACAGCTTTGCTCTGAACTTTATCCATTGTCCTCTGAAATCAGAACAACTTTCCCACTGGTTTCTTTGGTCTGTTGTATGAAAATATTTTGGTGGGAGACCAGGATTATATTTTTTCTTCGTTGCAATTTTTGTCGCTTTAGTAAGTGCCTTCTACAGAGAATTCATCACCACCGCCATCCATGATATTCAGTTTCCTCTTTTATAATTTACAGACAGCATGGGTCCCTGGAGTAAGAAATTCCTTTCCAAGACCTGCTTTGAAAGCAAAGGAAAGAAAGGCAAACACAATGTTCTACCGCTGCCTCACCATCATTGTTGCATTTAAATATGCTGCTTCTTAAGTTTAATCAATCCCTATCAGACATCATTCTTCTAAGCACAAAGGGATCAATGCTAAATTTCCTACTAATGAACAAATCAAAAGCTTCTGACTTCGCTGCCTAACTTTTAATAAGAACGTACCATGCCAAAAGCTCCATTTTGTTGTATAACATTTAAGATGTAGAGACATTACTGCATCATAAGTAAGCTGGACGAAATGATAGGGTGATTTGTCTTTTGGAATGAGAACTATTTTGTTGCCTATCAGTTTCAGTACCTGTTTCTGTTATTCCCAGGCAGGATAAACAGATGCCATACTTGAAAGAAACAAATCAAAACTGCAAGGGTTAAAAATGAAATTTTGGATGGAGGAAAGTAGTAGTATGTTAAACCTAATCACGTAGAGTTTTAAGGTAAGGTTCAATTGCATCTCTCCCCACTCCCTACTAAAACAGAATTAGCTTGCCTCAAGTCAGGTATGCTGTACACTACACTATGTTTATGAGCTGGTGGTAGCAATGGGAGAGATAGTTAATTCAGTTCACATTTAAAGGCAAACCTACCTAATCTGCACTCTCAATAGCAATACGCCAACTGAAAACACAGCTAGCTCTCAAAATATGCAAAATTCAGAGTAATTTTGCAACGCAGTTCTTCAGTAATATGTACAAAATGCATACAATGTGACAAAAGTGTGCATAAAAAAGAGTTTGTTATCAACAATAAAATACAAAAATGCATTGCATTAGGGGAAGCTGCTCTAGAAAAAGGCAAAACTGCAAACATGTATTACAAAAAATTCACACGAAACTCATGACTTTTTATGACTCCCCGCCCCCCTTAAATCACAAACAGAAATGTGGGAAACCGAATTTAAGTTCTGAAAAATGAGGAACTGAAGAAAACCTAGGAGGACAGATTCGCCCATCCCTAGCTGGCAGTAATGTGGGTGAGTCAAGCAGCAGAAACATTTTACAAAACAATAAAATTGGTATGTCCATCCCAACCCCAAGAATCACAGAACTGTAGAGTTGGCCCATCCTTCCCTCAGCAGCAAAGCCCTGGGCCAAGAGACCCCAACCCACTTGGGACCCCCCTCAGACGTCAGGGGTGCTGGACGGACAAGAGACCCCACTTGGGACCCCCCTCAGAAGTCAGGGGTGCTGGACGGACAAGAGACCCCACATGGGCGCTGGCTTTCTACACAGCCAAGAGGTATACTATACTGTATAAACCTTGTGAAATAAAAGGAACATAAATAAACTAAAACAACACACCCACCCCCTCATCCTACACTGGAAACCCTCGAGGGAGTCCTGAGAGCTGGCCACCAGGCCGTCGAGGGACCCCCGCTTGGCTCCCTTCCTCGGGCTCCCTCCTCCTCCTCCTCTTCCGTCCGTCCCCCGCCAGAGAGCCAAGATGGCGGCGGCTGAGGGGAGGCGGGGAGGGAATCCCGCCTGAGGCGCCCACACGGCGAGGGAGGAGGCGGCGCTGTTGCTGCTGCCGCCGCCGTTGCCTCTGCCGCGCGCGAGGGGAAGGAGGATGCCACAAGAGGCGATGCTGTCTTCATGATCGGCCGCGCGTCGGCGAGGGAAAAGCGCTTCGGGACCTCGAGGGGACCCCCCTCTCTCTGTGTCTCCCCTCCATTCATGCTGCCGCTGGGGAGCAGCGCCCCCGCCTGAGGTGAGGTCGCTGGGGCGAGAGATGGCGGGCTGCCTCTGTCTTTCGGGGGCACTGCTTCTGTTATGGATGCGCACCTCTCTCTCACCCCCACCACCAAATAACGGAGCCGAGGGAAGAAGGCGGCCGTTGCTGCTCTTCCACTGGGATGTTTGGGGCAGCGGGTTGGCGATGGCGAGGCGCGGGGGGGGGGAGAGAGAGAATAATACGCAATTTCGGGGCATCTCTCTGGCGTGTTGTGCGTGTGTGGTTTTAGGATGGGGGGACGGACGGACGACGAAATGATGCAACTGGCGCGTGTGAGACATGACGGCGGGGGATGCCAGATGCTGGAGTATATAATATTCAAAAGAAAGGAAAGAAATGGGTTAGCAGCCCTACTCGGAGTAGACCTTTTGGAATGAATGGGCTCAGGCCCATTATTTCCCGTGGGTCTCTTCCCGAGCACGACGTGGCTGGGGACAACCCGGTGTCATCGGTGGTTTTAATCTGTTTAGGAATGAAGCTGAAGTATTTTAAAAGAAGGGGGTGTCATGTGTGCAATCCCCCCCCCAATCTATGAAGTATTTAAAAGAAAGGGATAATCCATTCAGTTGTTTCTGGCTAGTCTTATTTATTTATGTTCAAAATTTGGCGAATGTTGGTGTCACGTGTGAATGTCGACTGTGCCTCAGGAATGTATGAAATGTATGTTTTCCTCTGTGGTTTTGGGGGTTTTTTTTGGACCTCGGTATATTCTGATGCTCTCTGCCCCGTGGTGAGCTGACCCGCCAATGTTCACCAGCCTGTCTCTTGAGTTTGGGGGACTTGGGAAGCGTCTGCTTGTGAATGCCGAAGTACACCAGAATTTGAACATTCAGTTGCATGTAACAGATGTCAGAGCAGTTCCCTCCCCCCCGCCCCCGTCACGCTCTAGTGTGACCAAGCGGCTGATGCTAAGATGTGATGAGGCAGATGGGTTGGTTTGACCCCACGGCTGGGCTCATCAAGAGCAAAGGTGATAGTTTAGTTACCTAGCGCAACGGGGTCTCTCAAGAGCATGTCTTTGCCTTTTCCCATATGAGCGAGTAGCTGACATTCACTCCTATGGAGAAATGCAAAATGAACACAGTAAACTGACTCACTGCAAGTCAGACCATTGGTTCAGCTAACTTAGAATTGTCAACACTGACTGGCAGCAGCTCTCCAAGCTTCAGGCAGGCATCTTTCTCAGGAGATGCTCGGATTGAAACTGGGACCTGCTTCATTCAAAGCATAGGCTATACTGCAGAGCTATGGCCATTTAAACTTAAGTAAGTACTGCGCTCAAAGACCAAACACACCTCAGTAAAAAGGGAGGAAAGGGGTCAGGCAATCAGGGACCTAATTCAAATTCAGGTTCAGATTTCCTGCACCACCCCATAACAACAGCCCTGAAAGGCAGGCCAGCAGTTATTACTCCACTGTGAAAGCAGCTTGACTCAAAGGAGATAAAGAAAAAACAGAGGTTTGGACTGGGTATTTCCTCTTCTTTTGGATTTCTTCTGTAGAAATGATACCTTGACATGTGGGATAATGCTACTGGGAATGATTTCTAGGTTTAACTTGTGAGGGTTGTTGTGAATGTGCAAACAGCCCCAAGTTTGAGGCTCCTTTATTTCTAGCTTGGTCCATTACTACAAAATCCATAGGGCCATTAAGATACTACCTTTATGGGACTAACCAATTTCCGTGGAAAGCCCTGAACTTTAAAGGTAAACAGAGCTCTTCTTCAGCAGAGATAAGCTTATTTTATTCTTGTTTAATTTGGGGAAATGTGTATAGATACATGCTATTACAGTGGTACCTTGGGTTACATATGCTTCAGGTTACATATGCTTCAGGTTACAGACTCCGCTAACCCAGAAATAGTACCCCAGGTTAAGAACTTTGCTTCGGGATGAGAAGAGAAATTGTGCTCCGGTGGCGCGGCAGCAGCAGGAGGCCCCATTAGCTAAAGTGGTGCTTCAGGTTAAGAACAGTTTCAGGTTAAGAACGGACCTCCGGAACGAATTAAGTACTTAACCCGAGGTACCACTGTATATAGAAGCATATTTTGGCTTGAAATTGTTTTTAAATATTCAGTTGTTTTATAAATGCAGTTGTTTGTGTTGTGTTGTGAAATTGCTTTGAGATGCTTCATAGGAAGTGATTCATAACTGAATTAAATTATAATGATGATGAGGATGTATGTGGGGCTGACTACTATTAGTGTGTGTGTATGTGAAGAGGAAGAGATGGGTGCTATTTGACAAAGATGACACTGGTACATTGGAAGGCAGGTTAATGGTAGAAGCCAGGCTGATCTTTGAGAGGGGGGAAAGAGGGAAAATACTGGGGTGTTAGAAAAGGTGGTTTTATAGTTGATTGGAATGTTTGGGGAACCAGGTTAGCAAGTAAGCTTCATTTGTGTACTTATCGAAAAATCACTGTTGAATACATATTAGTGAAGGAATTGGGGTATGGCAAAGGAAATGCTGGGGTAAATTTTACAAAGCATTGCAGCAATTCTGGTGTTTCCAGGTGGCCACCTGCTAAAATGTTAGGTAGTCTTTATAACTAACTTTCATCATGCACCAGCGATGTGGAACTTTTGGAAACTTTTGAATTGGAAAAACTTTCTGGAAAGTTTTCATTTGCAAGTTAGGGTAATTTATATGAGGAAGTTTTCTGTTGCCCTAGAGAGTGGTTTAATTTAGCATGTTTATTTTATTTGCATTTAGTAAACAAAACTAAAAACTTTCAAACTGCCAAACCTTCCTAATATTAATTTGCAGTTGGCATCCATTAAGTGTTTTTAATGAATTTATGAAATGCAACATTTTCTATGGGGGAAGAAAAGCACTGCAATTTTTTCTGCACCACATCATAGTCACACATTCAAATTACTCTTCACTCTGGGTGTTGGGTAGTTTGTGCGTCCATTATTTTCTGAGTTGGATTCTTTGGAGGAGGCATTATGCCCCCATCTTTATTTAGACACCTGGGATTTGTTTTATTTAGGAAAAAGTGGTTAGGTAATTTTGTCCTGCCACCTTTCCTGTTTCTAATTGAAATGATAGCTTTGCTTTATAATAGCAGAGTACTTGATATGAGAGGGAACTCTTTTGATTAAAAAAAAATTAGACTGTTGCCAGTAATTGTTAGGTGTTTCTGGTGTTTAATACATTTCCCCAATTATGGATGACTAATAATGTTTTCTTGCATGACAATAGTAATAGACCTCTGTAGTGGTAGAAACAGAACCTTGGGGTTCTATTACCATATATTTATGCTAAAGTTTTCATATCTACCCATCTGTCTGTCTCTGTCTAGCAAGCCTCTTTTTTAAGGCTTTTGGTGCCTTGAACTGACTTGAAGATGAAGCAAGGCAGTGACTTGCCTACAGCTATAAATCTTCTGCAGACACTGATTTTGAGCAAGATTCTAATGACCCTGCCATGTTACAAACATGGCAAAGAGCTGGCCTGACCACTCTGAATGAAGGAATAAATTCAGGTTTGTGTCCAGAAAGCATTCAGTTGATCTCAAACAGTACATAAACTGCCATCCAGGATGAATTGGTGATGTCCATTCTGGGTTAGCCCAACACAGCATGATGATGCAATTGGGCAATTCAAATGTCGCCCAACTTTCTGCTAAGTAGCAAGTATTACAATCTACCTGGAAATTCTCTTGCACCTAATTGAAATGAGCAGGAGCTATAGAAAGATTTGGTAGGTCAGGCACGTCCAACTCACAAGAGACTGCGAGTTACTCCCAGTAAAAAAATTCTGGAAGTGATCTACCCATGAAAGGAGGGTGGGAAGCCAAGGTTGTTGACCTTTCTTTAGGGGGGGCCAAGCCAAAGTTGCTGGGTTTTGGGGGTTTTTTTTGAAGGAATGTGGAAGACAAAGTTGTTGAGCTTTTTTTAGGGGGTAGTCACAGCAGTAACGTCTATTTTAGTTTCATAACAACAAAATACAATTAAAGAACACCCATTTGACGCAACAGAGGAACACAGCAATGGGGGGGGCAGGGACTTTCACTGCATTGCTTTTCACTACCGACAATCGGGAGGGGTCCTGTGAGCGACAGCGATCAACAGCGAACATCCGGGGATCGACACCTGTCAATCGCGGTTGACCGGTTGGACATCCGTGTGGTAGGGGAAGGGCTGTAGCTCCGTGGTAGAGCATCTGGCACATAGACCCATGCCAAAGGTCCCAGTTTCAAGCCCAGGCATCTCCAGGTAGGGCTGGGAGAAATTCCTGTCTGAAACCATGAAGAGCTGCTCCCAGTCAGTGTAGACAATATTAAACTAGACAGATCAGTGGCCCTACTCTGTATAAGGCAGCTTCTTGTAATAGTGCTCTGTGCAACAGATCCATTCGCCTCTCACTCTGCTGCCCCTAACAGCACTCAGGTTGTGCCAGTTTATGCTGATCTCTCCTTGCTTCATGGCAGGTCCGTCTTGGCTCACCCTCTTGTGTGTTTTGTTTTTTTGTTATGCATTTCTCTTTGTTACATACAGCAGGTGACCTTAAAAATGGATGGATTAGTGTACCTCAACTAACATAGCAACAGTTTATGCTCTGGAGGCTGAGACTTTTTGTTGCTGTCCTGTCTCTAATAACTAGAAAAGTCAGCAGGCTAGATACTAATAACACTTAACAGCTTGTTAATTATGTTGGTGGCCTTGGGCCTCTGCTAATCTCATGTTCTATTTAAAGAATGCACAAATGTGTATCTGACCCACTCTCAACCAAGATGCATGTTGATGTGTAAGTTGGAAAGTGAGTTTTTGTATGTGGCTACTCAAACTGAACATTTGAAGAAAGCGCAATTTGCTTTTTAGTAAGTTTCACATTTCCCCTACACTCTCTGTCAGTCTGCACTTAAATATTTCACTTTCTAGATGATTAAATGCAGAACTAATCTGCACAATCCTAGTGCTTACTACCTAACTGCAGTCCTGTCTACTCAGAAGTAAGTCCTATTGAATTCAATCATGGGCCTTACTCTTAGGTAAGGGGGGTTAGAATTGCAGCCTCTGGCAAATACTGAAAGGACAAGATTCCAAGTGAGAGGTGGAAAATTGATTTCAGTATTGGGCAGATAACTCATTTATAACTTTATATTTTTAATTGGCATGAAGATTCAGAACTGTAGTGCTAAATATAATCATTAATCATAGGAATTATTTCCATCATCCCTCTAAAGTAGGTGTCAGCAACTGGCAGCTCTTGAGTCAAATCTAGCTCCCTTAGGAGGCATTTTAGGCCCCCAGTTGCAAACTCAAAGCCAGCAGAGGTGTGTGTGTGTGTTATGGAAAGAACAGTGGTTGTGGTTGCAAGGTTTTATAAATGTGGGGAATCAGTTGAGGCTTTTACATGGTACTGTCAATAAGTCACCTTCTGGCAAAGCTAGTTGCAGACTGGAGCCCTATATAATGAGAGGTTTCCTTGGGATCTCTGTAATTTCTTATCAAGTCAGATTTATTTATAGGAAATAGAGCAAAAAATCTTTGTGTCAAAGTAAAACTAAGGGCAACGAAGATTGACTGCCCTGTCCCACTTCTGTGCACAAATCATTTGTTTTGCTGGTTCCCCCCCCCCCAAATTGATAGACTGGGCTCTTGCACTTTATAAAATCTAAATATCCTGAACTAGGACTAGCTGGGTCCTATGCATGCTTGCTGACAAGTTTGATCCACACAGTACATTTAATGCACATCCAGTGCACATTTAAAACACATAACTTCCTCAAAAGATTATTTGGAGCTGTTGTTTCCCTTATAGAGCCATAGTTCCTAGCAACCTTAACAAACTGCAGTTCCCCTAACTCTTTGAGGTAAGTTATGTTGTTTTTTAGTGCTCTGGTCTATGGGGTCACGAAGAGTCGGACACGACTAAATGACTAAACAACAACAATATGTGTTTTAAATGTGCATCAGATGTGCTTTAAATGTATGGTGTAAAACTGCTCTGAGTCCCACAGGCAGAACAATTTTATGAAGGTCCTTGGGGTGAATGGGGGGGGAGTGTCAGTGACGGAGGCAACACCACTCCCTCAGTTCTGCTAGGCTTGTGGCAGCCTGGATGGAAGCTGGGGAACAGCTTTATTCCTTCTGTCCTCCCCTTTTTAAAAGAGTTTTACTTTCTTAAAAATGTTTATCCCATTGGTTTTAATGGGAGGGGGGAAAATAACTATATGGTTGGAATGCTATTCTTTCTGAAGACCCCAAAGCCTTCTCAGAGTTCATGACATACTCCCTTTCAAACCATGCCACCATCTGAGCACTGATGATGGTGGAATAACAGTGGCAGACTTTGCTGCCACCATGACAAGCCCTCTGGCATCAAACCTGCCTCTTCACTGGCAGAAGGGTAGGTTTGCAACATCTAACCGCCCATCAGACGGTAGGACCCAAACCAGTGGATTCAGATTACAAGAACATTCTGACTGGAAGAACTTTCTGATGGAAAGAGCTGTTTGACAGTGGAATGGACACTACTTTGGGAGGTGGTGCACTCTCCTTCATTGGAGGTTTTTAAGCAGAGGTTGGATGGCCAACTCATGGATTATTTAAGCTGTGATTCCTGCATTGCAGGGGGTTGGGCTAAATTACCTTTTGGGCCCATTCCAACTTGGAAGTCCTGTGATTTGGGCCCCCTGTCTGGGAGCTTAGGCTTGCTCCCTAAATTCAACAGGACTTATCTGCAAATAAGGGTTCGTCCGCACAGCTAAATGCGACTCCAACTCTACCATTCCATGATTCTATGAAAAGAGGGCATTGATGTAGTGTTTGATTTAAACATATTGCTTCAGTTTTCCAGAAATGAAATCAGAGGTTCTTGAGCAACAATCATATGACATAGCAGGAAGCTGAAATGACCCAATCTTAAGTAGTTTTTGGAACATTGAGTCTTGTATCTGGAAATGGGACTTGTAGGATGTTTTGACATTCCACAGGAGAGGAAAGAAAAACATTTATTTTTATCTTTAAAAGTGTAAAAGTGCTAAGATTAGGTAAAACTATAATTTTTCAGAAATGGACTCCATAATAATTGCAAGTTTAGTCAGTAAGAAACTAGCTTAAGTGGGAGACCTCATTAAATTCTGTTTTCAAAACCTGCAATTCACTAATATCCTAGCCTGCCTCATCTTTGAGAATTAAAAATTTAGAAGGAGGATTAGCTTGTTTTATAGAGATTGGATGGAGAGGACTGCACTTTTCAGCTTGGGGATGAGTCATCTCTGTTTTCTTTTCTCTGTTCTGCCAGAGTGTCTGGTTGGCTTTATACAACTGGGCAACCTCCATGCATCTGCTTAAAATGGTGAGTGGGAGGGGGAGACTACTTTTCAGAGGAGTAATTAAATTTCAAGGGAAAGCATTTGAAATTGTATTGATTTATTTCAATTAAAAACAAATCTCTTGACCCTTTTTATACATAAGCTAACACCCGCATTAAGGGTTTGTGTGTGTCTGTGGAAACAGGAAAAATATATCCCTGAGCAGATGCAGGAAGATTTTGTACAAGCGCATCTGCCCTGTTTCAGGCCAGTCTCTCTGTGTTGTTTTGTCCAGAGCCCAAGTATTCTGTTATCTATCTCCACCTAATCAATATAATATTGACACTGATAGATGTGGCATGTGCTCTTATGTTGACAGAAAGTATCTCCTCTTGTGTATCCACATGATCTTTCCTTTAGTGGCCATAAAGTGTGCCATGAATCTATGTTGACTTTCCCTTTCAGTACATCTATACTGTACTACAGATTTTTTAAAAAGTCATTCAGTCTCCCAAGGGGACCTTGTGAAACGTAGTTCTGTGCCATGGCTAGGGATCTCTTAAGATAAATCTGTTAGCCAAAGGAAAAATAAGAGCCATAATATCAATACGTTTATATCCAGTGCCTGGATATAAACTGCTGCTGAATTCTGCTATCAGTAACAAATTCTGCAGTTATTTTATGCTTGCACAGAATCTGTATCAAAGTAACAAAAGCTGTCTGTTGGTAAATTGACCATATTATTAGTAGCATGTGATTTCCTGTTTTAACCTTTAGGATTTCTTAGATTATTTCTAGATTTCTTCCTGTTTTAACCTTTAGGATTTCTTAGATTATTACATGGTAGAACACATGTTCTCAGCTGGGTTTGAACTAGAAGGATAATAGACAATAGATAAGCCAAAATGAGTTGCTGCTCTTTGTGGTTAGTGACGTTTCGGAAGTCCAAAAAGGGAAGGAAGTTTCCTGTGATGAGGCAGGATGGATATCTGAGAGACTTCGGCATTGCTCAACTGATAAGTGTCTTTTTTAAGGGTTTGTGTCAGGCCGTCTGTCTTCTATTGTTGGCTTTCAAAAACTTCACCATTGGGTTTTGCATGCACCCACAGAATGAATCTGAGTGAGCAGGGGGAAAAGAGAAGTTTATACTGGTGCTTGAATAATTTATTGATTCAAGTATGCTTGCCAACAGGTTAAAAAAAAAAGAGGTCTTCTGCAATGTAATAACTATCAGTAAATGCAGAATAAAATCAATCAGGCAACAACAATGCCATCACTGAATGGCTGGGATAACAGCTATTAGACCATTAGAGTACAAAGTGGATAAAATGATGAGTGACTGTTACGCAATATATGTCAATAGTATAAATAAAACATCAAGGCTGCCATGATAGAGCCATCATAGCCTATCCTGTATACACGCATTTTCTTGTTCTATTTTAGTCACTGTTCACACAGTGCTGCAGGGTTTTGAGGTACCACAAAAGCCTGGCAAACTGTTTAATCAGATCAGATGGTGAGATGAGGGTGTGCACCATGAGTGATAGTGCCTTTCTCGCGCTACTTTCAGCTCTGAAAAATCTACTGCCTGTTTCCAGCTCCAGTCTGTCTCCAAGCTGTCTTCACGCACTGGTAATTCGTAGTCTAACCCAGTTCTTTCTCCCTTGGTTCTTCAGAACAGCCTGTTTACCATTTAAAGAATGCTTTGTGTTTGTCCATTATACACTCTGATATTTCCATGAGGAAGACGTTTGTGTTGTTCGCTCTGCTTTTACCCACTGCTCTAAAAAAAAAAGGGGGGGGGACACTAGGCAAGTGACTAAGCTCTGTTGCATCATTTAAGCTGTTAAGAGCAGATGCTTATATAATGCCCTGTAGCTTTAGGAGTGTTTCGTTTCATTGGCCCAAGACACTTGTGATAGTTGAGGATAGGTTTTCATTTGAATTAACATTTAATATACAGAAGGTGTGCTCCCGAAGATGTTGGTGCTGGAAAATATTCCATTCCTTTATTTTGATAAGTAATGCAGTTTATTACAAAGATAACTCATTACAGTGGCAAGTGTGTGAGCTTGTGGGCCTCACATCTGTGCAGGCACATTAAACTCAACAAGCTGTTCATAAGCTAGCACATTTGTGCCAACGTTATTGAAACTGGAACTTGGGTATGTAAGCCATGTGCTTATTTCATTATAAAGGAGAGAGAAAAGTCTGTTTTACGTAGAACAAAACTTGGCAACGGCATCTGAGAAAAATGTAATGCTTTTCAGTGTACTCTTAAAAGTTGGGGTTTTCAGAGACCTTTCAGTTTTACCATATCCCACATTTCTTTCATCCCTTGCTAGCCAGATCGTTCTGTGATGGAAGATGGAAGACAGAGGGGCTCGTGTTGCTGACTACTTTGTTGTGGCAGGATTGACTGATATTTCAAAACCACTAGAGGAGGAAATCCACTTCAACGATGCTTGTCACAAGCTTGCAAAGCCAAAAGAGCCAATCACAGATGTGGCGGTGATAATTAAATCTCTGGGGGAGGAAGTGCCTCATGGATACAAATGCATAGATGTTACTCCATCAGGACTGTCAGCAGATCTCAACAATGGCAGCCTTGTGGGACCACAAATATATCTGTGCTACAGGAGAGGGAGAAACAAGCCCCCACTTACTGACTTGGGGTGAGTAAATTTTATTAACGTTGCTTTAAATATATATATATTCAAGTTGCACTACTAAGGAATAGAGCTGCTAACTTTTTATTTAAAAAACATTGGTCCGTTAGGTTTTGTTTGGAGGCAGAGTTGGGGAAGAACCTGATGGATATAGAATCATAGAATCGTAGAATTGTAGAGCTGGCAATTCAGGGGAGAAACTGGAGTGGGGTCTGCTCTGAGGTGGGGTGCACGTGGGACTATGTTGCTGACCTTCCTTCCCAGTGCCATTTGTCACTGCCACTTACCGAGATGTGGAAGTGAAAGAGCAAGGCAGCAGGAGCTTGGCGCACTGCTGGTTCAGTGCAGACACAGTGTCAGAAGCCTTGGATCGGTTCTGCATTTGCACCTGTGCTGAGCATGTCATTCATGCAACCCAACCCTTGCTGCTTCATGAATGGAGCATAGTTGACTGTGGTCTATTATGGGCAGAGAGAGCCTAGCAGGATTCCTTCCCACTCCCCGCAATACTCCTTACCTGTTGTTTCTAAAAACCTGTCCTTGTGTTTTTGGGTATGTCTTCTGTCTAGGGTTTTATATGATGGGAAAGAGAGACTAAAACAGGGTTGTGAAATCATCCAAGCCACTCCGCATGGCCGCCCTGCAAATATCAGCGGAGGTGCTTCATCGCAAAAAGTATACATCACATTCCGAAGAGCCTTGGAGAACATGACTCAGAATACCTTGGCTGTCACAGACATATGCATAATTATACCAAGTAAGGGAGAAACCCCACCACACACATTCTGCAAGGTTGACAAGAATCTGAACAGCAGTATGGTAAGGTGGACTTCTGGATTTGTAGAAAATACTCTTTAATGGATTTATAATGCTTACAATATAGTTGTTGTTATTGTTTATTTTATATACCTCTTAAGGACAAAATAGGCTTTTAAGTGGTTTACAAAGCATAACATTCAGTTACCAGTTGGCATTAAAAAAACCCAGGTTGGAGTAGACATATATATTTCTAATTAATCCCACTCTCCTGTAAGATTCCAGAGGATCTGTGCCAGTTTCTTCTTCATGTCTCAACAATGTCAACTTCTCATGAGCAATCCATAATCCCTTGAAGGGTTCTCTGCTGTGTTGCAGTGTTATGTCTGCTCTTTGCCCTATGGACAATGGTATAAATTAAATGCTGCAAGCGGCTTTTTATGAAGTTATCTGTGCAGTCCTAAGGCAAGTACTTAAAAAAAAGTAAGAATTGCTTTGCTGGATAGACTAAGACACACCTAGGTGGAATCTACACACATATAAAAAACGCTGTGAAAATGCTTTTTAAAAAAATGTTTTGAAAAATACATTGAATTTTGCATAGCTCACTGTCGCCTTCTAGTGTCACATTTGTATATTGCACTTTACAACACATTTAAAGTTGTTGTTTTTTTTGCAGCTGTGTAGCTGAGTCCCTAGTTAATTCACCTCCGCCAACCATATACTTCTGGAAGCTCAGTAGGGAGACACAAAATTGCAAAATAGTTTCCCCCTCTTCTTTACTCCCAGCATCTGATAATGAGACGTAGGCTGCCTATGAATATGGAGGCTCAGTTGTTGTTGAATAATATATTGAATACATTATTTTTGTCGCATCAACATGATTGAAGAGTTCTCTTTCTTTAAGTCTTCCTGCTACTCATTATCAAAGTAATAATTGTTGGCATGCTCTATAAAAGTTCCCTCAAGTCCTCTTTGCTGTCACAATGTTAACGAATCCAGTCTACTCCACCATCTTCTGATGCCTGTTAGTTACACAGAACACTGGGAAAGCACTTCTTGCAGGCCTTCCATATGAATAGTCAATTGCACAAAAAGTATATAAGATACCATTACTTGGTTTTCAGTAGAATATTTTAAATGCAAGTTAAATTGAATGGATTTCTGGCGATAGCATTTGTTCAATAGAAACAGTATGATTCAGGTGCACTGTGGCATGAAAGCCTGTGGTTAATGCACTGCTATTTTCCATCATTTTTGCTTTTGTGTGATCAAATCATTGCCAAGTGATTTGATTTTTTTAAAGCCCCTTTTATTTATTTTTTTGCAAGCCCTTCTCATGTGTATTTAAACTGAAAATTTTTATTTATCTCACTGGGCCATAGTGCTATTTTTCAATGATAAATTGTCGTTATGCCACTTTCTAGGATAAAAGAAAAGGCAGAAAATCATGTGTGTTGGAGGGGTAGGAGGAACTATGATATACACAGGGTAGCTTAGAAGACAGTTCTTAAAATGCTTCAAATTATGCACTCAGTTAAAACACATTCCAGAATTCATGGCTATTTGAAGTAGAAATGTATGCTGTTTTCTGAGCAAGCCTCTGGAATAGGGCTTTTACATCTTTCATGATTTTCACTTATGGCACATAATCATTTGTTTTGCAATAAGTAGGAGCTGCGCAAGGTTTTTTTTATAAACTGAAGTTATTAAAATGCTACTGAAATCAGTGGGAATGAATATCTCTGGTATGAATGCTGTCTGAGCTACTCCAAAATGTATACAAAACCTGAGCAAGCTACAAAATCAAGTGTATTTCATTTGTAGTACCCATTATGGCTTATGTAGCGCATGAAAGTACTCATTTTACATTCCAAAAGTGTTTATGGGCTGCAGACATTTGTTGGTAGCCCCCTCTTTTTTATTCTTGTCTTCCTTTGGGTTTACCAATGGTGACGAAATTTATCAGAATACTATAAGTTTCTGTTTACCTTGACACATTGCCAGCAGCAGAGAGAAGTTGGTACTGTTCAAAAATTATGAAATTGTATGAGATTTTGTGCTAAAAATGAGTCATAGAGTGAAAAATTACAGGTTAAGAGACTCAAGCATGGTTATAGAATACTTAAATATCAGCATGAATCAAGTGAAAGGGCTTGCCCAGGAAAATAGTTTGTTTGGTTTTTTTTGCCTTAAGTCGGGTTCTTTAATCTGACACACAAGAGTGCTTCCATTATTCATTACAATTATTGAATTGATTTTAAAGGAGTATAATTTGACCTTTTACAAGTTGTCTGATCAGGCTTGTTTATCCTTCCCACTTGTGGCATTGTACTCTTGTCTTTCGACATTGCCTAGTCAACTAATTCACCCTGTTCTGCACTTCTCTTGCAGTGGGGCTCAGCAGTATACTTGTGCTACAAGAAGTCTGTGGCAAAAACAAACACCATATCATACAAAGCTGGTAAGTCATCTGTAGGTTTTATTTATTTATAATAATGCTTATTGGCTGCATATAGTAGACCAATTTTATTTATGGATTAATTCTTTTATGTAAGCTTAGACTGGATTTGCACTCACGTGGGAAAATTCTGTAATATCAAGAAGACCAAGAATGTTATGAGACTTTGAGAGGCAGGCAGCCTACACACTATGCATTTAAAACACACCCACACACCCCAGAATCCTGGGAATTGTAGTTTACCTGAAACAGACCTACAATTTCCATCACCCTTAACAAACTACAGTTCCTAGGATTTAGGGTGTGTGTTTTGTGGAGTGTGAGGGAGAAGACATGCTTTAAATGTGTGGTGTGTACACATTCTCATTTATGACAAACAGGATAAAGACTTGGTTCTGTGGGCCTGGAGGGACTTCGGAGGTTGCTTATTTATTATATTTTTATTCCATTTTCTGGACCATTCTTGACTTCTAAAGTTAATGACATTTTAAAAAAATGAGAGACAGGACCTGTCATCAAGCTTACAAGCTAAACAGATGAGATGCAAACAAAGAGAAGGGAAGGGGAGCAGAAGTAAAAGGCAGAGGAGGGAGGTCCAATTTTCAAGGCCAAAATGAAGTGGTGAGCTATACGCGGGCCTTCGTATTCCATGCTGCCCACATTCTTCTTCCCTTGTTGGGGAATTTGACTTGCGGTTACTTTTCATGAAAAGCTTTCTCTTCCCCCACTTCTCTGCATAGCAAACCACTTTTGGAATTAATGGGAGGTCCAGTAATGGTTTTTGATACGGCATAATGGGTGGTCTTTCGTTGCTATGCTTTTGTAAAACAAAATGAGGGGGAATGCACAACCCTGAGTCACTTTAATTGGGATATTTTGGAAGCACACAGGTATATCTGCCAAGTACAGAGGCTCATCCTCTCTCTGGAGCTTGCCTGGGCAAGCCCAGTTAAAATGAACGCAGCATCGCTTAGGAGGCTTTTATCCAGTATGCCTTCTATTGAATAAGCAGAACGAAATGTTGAGTTATTTTGATTTCATTGCTGGGAAATTGGATTGGATTGACTGGAGGAGCTGTGAAACCAGTTCAAGTGGCAATGCTGTCTGTAATAGGACCGATTTGGTTCAGCAGATAGAACAGGGGTTGTCAGTGTGTTTCCCATGGCACAAGTCCTTCTCAGACCATGTTTTTGTTTTGTTTTTGTTTTTAATTTTCTTTTTTGTTAACTTACCAACTCATATTCTTCTGCATGTCTGCAGAGTCCACCTAGTATGCAGAGGCTCCAGATTTCTTTCTGAGAGGCCCTGTGTTGCTGCCAAACTTGTAGGAACCCGAGTTCAGTATTAGTAGGAGCAAGTGGGGACTTGCAACAGTCCTCAACCCTAAAAGGAGTGTTCCTATTCAGGACTTTTGGCATTCTGGAAAAGGATCCTCAATTATCCCTTCAGGGCTTGCAGAAAGCTAGAAGGAAGGATTCAGGAGCAGAAAGGGAGAAAGGACACCTTTTAATTTCTTCCCATTTGAAAATGTCTCCTCGTGGCTGGCCCTGCCATAGGACAGAGTTCAAAATATACGAATAAGCCACTTCAAAATGATGTATATATCATACAACACATCTCACAAAATATACAAGTAACTACAAGTTGTTATATGCATCAGAGTCAAACAAAGAATCAAACAAATCAATGAATAGCGAGGAACGCCAAGCCGTCTCTCAAAGGAAGCCATTTCACAAAAGTCTCAAAGGAAGACATCTCTCTGAAATCTCAAAAGGACAGTATATCAAGAATTGTTCAACTGTTTCAGAATAAAGTCTTCATCAGCGAATAATGAAATATTCATACTAGTGGGGAATCATGCTAGTGGATCAGTGATCACTGGATAGTGTAGCTGCAACACAGGGGTTTGTGTTTGTTCATAGGGCAGAATTCGACAGCCACCTCAGGTGGCAGGTGTTGGTAGGGGCAGGGAATGTGGCAACATGTTGGAGGATTGAGCTTTGGACACCCCACAGCCAGCCCCATACTCCCTAAGCTAGCCTGCTAGCCTCAGATGTGGTGGAGGATGCTTTGTGCTTGAAGTAATATTCAGCTGCTGGCCTGGTTGGTATATAGAATGAGGGAAAGGGCATCGTTGTGTTTCTTGCCTCAGGCAGCAAAACCTATTGGGTCAACCCTGCTTCTCCTATTGTGTTATGTAGTGCTAAAGGACATAGTCTTAGGACTGCCAGCCAGCCCCAAACATGAGAGTATTAATGCTAATATACCAAAAGAAAATGTTTCCGTTCTTTCCTGCCTCCTTGTAACCTTGTGATACACACCTGCCACCTCACCCCCTTCACTCCAAGCCAAGGATACTATAAGCCAGGGGTCAGTAAACTTTTTCAGCAGGGGGCCGGTCCACTGTCCCTCAGACCTTGTAGGGGGCCTGACTATATTTTTTGGGGGGAAATGAACAAATTCCTATGCCCCACAAATAACCCAGAGATGCATTTTAAATAAAAACACACATTCTACTCATGTAAAAACACCAGGCAGGCCCCACAAATAACCCAGAGGTGCATTTTAAATAAAAGGACACACTCTACTCATGTAAAAATATGCTGATTCCTGGACCGTCCGCGGGCCAGATTTAGAAGGCAGTTGGGCCGGATCTGGCCCCTGGGCCTTAGTTTGCCTACCCATGCTATAAGCTATTTGGCAGATTCCCTCTATTTATATTCCTTTCCCACCCCACCCACCTAACAGACTTGCAACCTTCTGTGTCTCAACTATCCTCTATGTTTTATAAGTCTTGGAAGCCACTGTGTGTTGGCCCCCATCCAGCTGTTTGTTGCTGTTTTTAAAGTATTTTTCTTTTATAAACTAATATTCCTGGGATCATGAAGAAGCTATTATCTTTCTTTCTTTCTTTCTTTCTTTCTTCTTTCTTTCTTTCTTTCTTTCTTTCTTTAGTTAGCTAGTTAGCTAGCTAGCTAGCTAGCTAGCAGCCCTGTTTTCCTTTCAAATGGATAGGCATTGGACCACCCAAGTTTTGTATTAGAAGGGATGGTGATGATGCAGAAATTATACATGTCAAAACAAGAAACAGTGAAACTGTAGTCCTAAAAGACACAAAAAAATTCCAAATACGGATCAAGCAACATCATTAAAAACTGGATTGCACTCCAGAGCCCAAAGCTTTCCTGAATAAAGTGTTTATTTTACATTCTCACTGGATCATTTGATGATGGCTAAGGACGATATTCCTTAATTTGTCAACAAGGTCAGAAATAAATGAGGTATATTGAAATTACCTCAAGCAAAATTTTGTATTGAAAGATATCAACAGTGGATAGATGGCAGTTTGACAATATAAGAGCTTTGAATCTTGAGCTTTGAATCTTGATAGATGGCAGTTTGACAATCTTGAGCTTTGAATTTTCCTTATTTGCTCTAATTGGGGCAATTTAAATTTCTGCTGTGTTGCTTGATTTAAAAGATGAAGGGTTTTTAATAATTTTTTGTATATTTTTGGAATGCTCAATATGGTGCTAATGTTCAATTGAGAGCTTAATTCCTTATTAGACTGATACGTGTAGTTTTTCTTTAATTTTGTGGTGTTGGCCTTCATAATTTTTCAGGAGTATGGTTAAACTGGATCTCATGTGACTTGGAAGTAAATACCATAGAATTAAATGGTCTTATTCCCAAGTAAATGTGTGTAGGATTGTGCCCTTAGCTGGAAGTAAAACCTGTTTAATTCAGACTTGTTTGTGAGTAGGCATGCAAAGGATTGCATTTGTTGTGCAGGGAAGCATAGAAGTTGGGAAAATAAACTCTTAGCATGCTTCTTAATAGTTCGGTGTGTTACATAAGGAATGGTTTTTCTAGTATGCTCAGTGGAATTCAGGTCTATCAGTAATATAAAAAATTGTTTCTCCAGGTCTAATATGCCGATATCCAGAAGACGACTACGATTCATTTCCCTTACCAGAATCAGTACCTCTTTTTTGCCTCCCAATGGGGGCAACAATTGAATGTTGGCCGTCTAATAGCAAGTATCCCCTCCCAGTGTTTTCTACATTTGTACTAACTGGAGCTTCAGCTGAAAAGGTAAGGATAAGTTTGTCAACAAGTATAATTTTCAAGTACAGCTTGTTCTTTTATTTTATTTTGTTGTTGTTCTTTCATTTTTCTGAGTCTGAGGAATTCATCAGAAAATGTTTGAAAGCTTGAAAATTCTTCCTGCAATAACTTCACATGATGATTAATGCTAGACTTAAACTGATTTGGTCATCATTCCTTCTCCATGAGGAGCACTGGAAGCTGTAGTTCTGTGATGGGGAGGTGGGATCTAACAGAGCAGGGTCAGCTCCAGGACTGAGGGGCCCCAGGCAAAGAGACCTTGGGAGGCCCCCTCCTCTCTTGGTAGAACAGAATGGGCTTACCTGGCAACACTGCTGTGTTGGGTGGATGGAGACAAGATTTACTTCTCCCATAATGCCCCTCAGCAAAATGCTTTGGAGCCATTGGGAGAAATTATAATGGCCACTAGACCTTAAGTGCCATATCTGATGTGGCATTAATTGCCCCTCATTATGCCACCTGCCCAGGAACACATTGCAACCCAGCTATTGAGACATACATTTTAAGAAGTTGTTCATTAACCTTAAACTGCTTATAGTGCTGCATGCATGCACAAAACAACTTTTTATTGCACTTTTACGTTCATATTTAGTTCTCTGAGTTGCTTAAATTGTTTTCATAATATTTCAAGAAGTGCAGTACATTAAAGCTATTTGAGAAATGTACATATTCTGGAGTCCTTTGCCTTTGGTCTGAAGGAAACGCATGGAGAACAAGCATGTTCATTAAATCACATATTTTGTTGTTTGCAGGTCTATGGTGCTGCAATACAGTTCTATGAAACCTATTCTGAAGAGAATCTCACAGAAAAGCAGAAATCTCAGTTGGGTTTAGTGGCTACTCCTGATGGGAAGTCTGCTTGCTCCAAAACAGTCCAGACGAATAAATGCATCTGCCTTCTTTCTCACTGGCCATTCTTCGATGCTTTCAAGAAATTTCTTACTTTTCTATATCGTTATTCCATCTCTGGTCCACATGTCCTGCCCATTGAGAAGTAAGTTCTGTAGGATATTTTGTCCATTTCACATCAGTGCTATTGTAGAACAATTTTATTAATTGAGACTGGCCACTGGTCACAGCTGAGAGTGCATTCTGCCTAGTCAGTAGCCAGCTGGGCTCATTGCTAGCTTGAGTCAGACCTTGCACCAAACCTGTTTTAAGTAATCTTAACTATGGGTTAAGCGCGGGTGGCGCTGTGGGTAAAAGCCTCAGCGCCTAGGGCTTGCGATCAGAAGGTCGGCGGTTCGAATCCCGCGGCGGGGTGCGCTCCCTGTTGCTCGGTCCCAGCCCTGCCAACCTATGCAGTTCGAAAGCCCCCAAGGGTACAAGTAGAATAAATAGGGACGCGCTTAACTAGCGGGAAGTAAACGCGTTCCGTGTGCTGCGCTGCTCGCCAGATGCAGCTTGTCAGCGCTGGCCACGTGACCCGGAAGTGTTCCGGGACAGCGCTTGGCCACCGGCCTCTTGAGTGAGATGGGCGCACACCTAGAATGTCTGTTCAAGACTGGGGCCGTAACGGGCAGGGGTAACCTTTACCTTACCCTTTAACTATGGGTTGATTTTTAGATATAATGCAAATCATGGTTTTGATGATACAGGAAACAAAACTTGGAATAAGGAGATACTCCCAACAAGAAACTTCCTGAGTGGGGCAGAGTCACTATGCTTGTTTCTCAGCAGGTGGGTCATTGTGGGAAGGGGGTGAGCAAGGCAGTGGTGAGGTCAGTGCAGTGCAAATGCACCAGCAGATCCAATCTGGTGCTGCCTGGTGGTGCGTTGCACCCCACCAACCTCTCTGCCACCTCTTCTCTCCTGCTAATCAGTAGTGACCCACCTGCTGGAAAGCTAGCAGAGCTACTTCTGTTCCCAGCAGGTTGCTAAATTGTTCCCCATAGCTTGCCCCTACTCTTTGTGCCTCCATGGAACACACAGGTCATTATGGAAAACTCTGCACTGATTTAAACAAACACAATTGAATAGAGCCTATCTGCTAAAAAATGTTTTAATGCTTTTTGTATGCTGGATGTACACTGGCATCCTGTATTCCGTAAACGGATTAAATTTATTAAGCTGAAATAATTATTTCTTCTTTCACAGGCATATTTCCCACTTTATGCACAAAGTTCCTTTTCCATCCCCTCAGAGGCCAAGAATTTTAGTCCAGGCAAGTGTAAATTTGCCCTTTACTGTCCACATGTTGTTCTAGTTTCAGCAGGTTCATGCATGTATATGCATCACTAGATTACATGAAGGTTTTACAGGTGATTGTGTAAACTCGTTCAGTTGAAAAGCAATATGCCAGTGGCACAATGGGTCAGTGTGTCTTGCTGTTAAGGTCGGTGGTTCAAGCTCATCCAGGTACGGCTGTGGGCAGGATTCCTGCATTGCAGGGAGTTGGACTAGATGACCCTTGGGTTTCCTTCCAACTCTACAATTCTCTGATTCTCTGAGATGAATGTTTGATCTGTGATGGCTCATTCATATATGCAATTCATTGTTGGTTGTTGCACCCTTTAATGTTTAAGTGATATGTGTGAACCATATATATGTATTTTGCTTTTGCTTTTTTGTATTTGTATATAATTCTTATTGTTGATAAAATTTTGCATTCATATATTATCGTTGCTAGCCACCCTACATTTCTTGTGCGGAAAGGTAGAGTATAAATTTACCATATTTTCCAGCGTATAAGACGACTGGGCGTATAAGACGACCCCCCAACTTTCCCAGTTAAAATAGAGAGTTTGGGATATACTCGCCGTATAAGACTACCCCTCTTCCAACGCACACCAAATAAAAATTTAAAAAACCGATCTCCAGTCCGGCTCGGAAATCCGCTCCACTTTCCAGTGGCTGGGGGCTTCTGGGCCAATTTTCAAGCGTATTTCTGCTTCATCTAGAGAGCCTGGTGTCCTCTGATTTAATTTGCTGTCGGTTTATCCTTTGGTGCGGAGTTGCTGCAGGAGCTGCTGCTGTAGCTGGCGTACAAGACGACCCCTGACTTTTGAGAAAATTTTCCTGGGTTAAAAAGTAGTCTTATACGCCAGAAAATACAGTAAATAATAATAAAAATAGATAAGCCAGCACATAGTGCTGGCATCTTTTTATTACATAATAGTTGTAGAGCAGAGATGGGGAACCTGTGGCCCTCCCAACTGTTGTTGGACTCCAGCTCCCATCAGTGGCTAGGGAAACCCAGCCAGATAGATGGGGTATAAATAATAAATTATTGTTGTTATTATCTCTGACCACTGACAATGCTGGCTGGGTCTGATGGGGTTTGGAGTTCCACAATGGTTGGAGGGCCACAGCTTCCCCATCCTTGCTGTTGAGATAAAGTTGAAGAGGTAAAGTTGAGAAAATTCTAAACTCAAGCACCCACCTGTGTGCAGCTGTGATGTTACTCCCCTTTCTGTACCAAATAACCTAAACTTCTGAGGGCTGTTTCTTGTGTGTTAAGATCTAGAGAAGGCCCTGCATCCTTTTCTTCGATGCCAGTTAAAATCCTGGTTAAGGGGCACAGTGTTGTATTTTCATGTGTAGAGATCTTTTTCAAAGTGCCAACTCGTGATTTATAGCCACAAGAGCAGCTGTATATTTAAGGAAGCAGACTTTTACAGCATGAACATTCTATTTGTCATTAAATCAAGACAATTTTGTCCTTTTGGCATGAAATTTGACATGCTGAATCTACCTGGTGAGAGGGTATCCTCTGGACAATTGGTGGGGAAGCAGCAACAGAAAAGAGTTGCTGAGCTTTTGCAACAATATGCTCTGAATGCATATTGTTTGGCAGTCATTTTTCTTCCCTGCTCAAAAGTTACGTATCCCTTTGCCAGCTTAATCATGTCAAGGATTCAAGGCTATTGCAGGGGTCTGCCCTTACTGGATTCATTAAAATTGATTATACAGATCTGCCACCACAGTATCTTTGGTCTTGATCCTGGTATTTCATTTGGGGTCAGGTGGAACAAATGTGAGGTTTCTATATAGATTGAATTTTGTTGGACATGTGCCAAGTTGTATGTGTATTTATTTTTGTTGTTGGTTTAAGAGATCTACCCTTGTTGTATTTGTATGTATGTTTTGGAATACTCAGTAAATAATGATATTCACAATTTTTAAAAAATCTATTGTGTGCTCCAAAATTTAAGAGGTTTCAGTAGGCCATACTTGATGCAATGTAGGAGGTTGGTGTGGTCTGCAGTTTTTCAAAGTGTTCATACCAGCCAGGGTGGGGGCAGTTAAAAACTGCAGCATTGTGGGAAGAAGGTAAATCTTCTCCACTGAGTATTTCCTCCATTAAAACCCCACCACCACCAACTGAAGCTGCTGCTTGATTCTATGCTATTTTATACCTGACAAGAGAAAGTGGATTTACACAGAAGCAAACTTGCAAGCGAGCACAATATGTAAGGCTATAGAATGCATTTATTGGTTACAGAGCCTGAAAGTTAATTTGCTATTTGTTTGCCACTCAGTGCATGACTGTATAAGTGAACTCTTAATCCTTCTCTTAAAAGGAGAAGTTTTTCTGTCTTATAATTCTGATGCTTTTGTGGGCTTCCTCAAGCGTGTTTTTGAAGAAATCTTTGGGAAGATGATACCTGTATTAAATAATTTAGCTAGCTTGCAAGTAAACAGACCAGTGCTAGGTTAAACTGCTTGAGACTTTGAAATTGAGTCATAACCTCTTTTTCAATTGAAGCTTTCTTAAAAATATTAACATTATGCATACTTTAAAACCAGCTTGCTATGGATGGGACAACAGTATTAATTCTGTGAGGGTAATTAAAGTTTACTAAAATAGTACGTAGTTAAGACTGTTAGACCTGTCAACAGTGTTTTCCAAATATATGGTGAAGTCTTTAATTTTTGTGTAAATGAAATAAATAGTAGGGATCCCTTCTATGAACTAACGACTATTTCCATGTGATCACCACAATACTGTTACTGTACTTTTTTCATGTATGGTTTAGAAGTCCAATACCAGACAGTGATCTGAAATTGCTTCTTTTCTTAAACTTTTCTTTAGTAATGTATTATCTGATGTCTAAAATATCATGTAAATATAAAAATCTACCTTTATGTTATGTTTTTATAGCTGTCGCCTCATGACAGTCTGATTCTTAGTCAGCCCATATCATCACCTCTACCACTGAGGCAAGTAAAAATAACATTTTAAAAGTAATGCATTATCTGAAGGATGGGAAGAGGGGTTGATTGAAAAATTACTGATTGTGAGACAAGAAGACAATATAAATATTTGGAGTAATAGAAATGAGTTTCTTCCCTTGTTTCTTTAACATTTTGCTGAAAAACACTGAAAGTTTTTGAAATACTTTTTTTCAATAATTTAGTGAGAACTAATTCACTAGGAACTACAGTGGTACCCCGCAAGACGAACGCCTCGCGAGACGAAAAACTCGCAAAACGAAAGGTTTTTTCGTTTTCGAGTTGCCTCGCAAGACGAATTTCCCTATGGGCTTGCTTCGCAAAACGAAGCTTGCCCCGGGGACAGCGGGTCTTCTCTTTTGAAGCAAGGGGCGGCGGGGAGATCGCTTCTCCCCACCGCCCCTTGCTTCAAAAGAGGTCTGCCCCCGGACCTCTTTTGAAGCAAGGGGCTGCGGGGAGATCGCTTCTCCCGGTGCTCCGAAGCGGGGTGGGGGGGCGGGAACACCTGCCCCCGCCGCCGGGCTTCGTAGCGCTGCTGCGAAGCCGGGCGGGGGGCGGGAACACCTGCCCCAGCCACCCCGCTTCGGAACGCTGCTCCGAAGCGGGGGGGGCGGGAACACCTGCCCCAGCCGCCGGGCTTCGTAGCGCTGCTGCGAAGCCGGGCGGGGGGGCGGGAACACCTGCCCCAGCCACCCCGCTTCGGAACGCTGCTCCGAAGCGGGGTGGGGGGGGGCGGGAACACATGCCGCAGCCGCCGGGCTTCGTAGCGCTGCTGCGAAGCCGGGCGGGGGGGCGGGAACACCTGCCCCAGCCACCCCGCTTCGGAACGCTGCTCCGAAGCGGGTGGGGGGGGCGGGAACACATGCCCCAGCCGCCGGGCTTCGTAGCGCTGCTGCGAAGCCGGGCGGGGGGCGGGAACACCTGCCCCAGCCACCCCGCTTCGGAACACTGCTCCGAAGCGGGGTGGGGGGGCGGGAACACCTGCCCCAGCCGCCGGGCTTCGTAGCGCTGCTGCGAAGCCGGGCGGGGGGGCGGGAACACCTGCCCCAGCCACCCCGCTTCGGAACGCTGCTCCGAAGCGGGGTGGGGGGGCGGGAACACCTGCCCCAGCCGCCGGGCTTCGTAGCGCTGCTGCGAAGCCGGGTGGGGGGCGGGAACACCTGCCCCAGCCGCCGGGCTTCGTAGCGCTGCTGCGAAGCCGGGCGGGGGGGGGGCGGGAACACCTTCTGAAGGCGGGCGGGGGGCGAAAGTCTTTGTCCCCCCTGCCTGCCTTCCCAGGGGCTTTTAAATCGCCCCGGACAGCGGAGAAGTCCTCCGCTGTCCCGGGGCGATTTTAAAATGCCGCCCGCCAGCATTTTAAGATCGCCCGGACAGCGGAGAAGTCCTCCGCTGTCCCAGGGTTTTTTAAAATGCTGGGGGTGGGAAGAAAAGCCCTTGTCCCCCCCCCCCCCAGCCTTCAGAAGAGGTCCGGGGACAGTCTGTCCCCGGACCTGGTCTGAAGGCGGTTTCCCTAGGAACGCATTAATTGATTTTCAATGCATTCCTATGGGAAACCGTGCATCGCAAGACGAAAAAACCGCAAGACGAAGAGACTTGCGGAACGAATTAATTTCGTCTTGCGAGGCACCACTGTATAAACAGCTTGTCCCATCTTGTTTCTGCTGCCCTTCAGTTCATCACAATAACTTTCTCCTGTTGTGTACTGTACCACAATGCATGTAGAGAAGAAAGGAAGACTTGTGGCAGTGCTAAATCCAAAACGTCTGCTTTTCTGTATTTTCAGCTCTGTGTTATTCTTACATTACTTGCAATAATTATTTAATAGCCACTGTGGTTTTGTGATTAGGGCCAAAGTAACCAACCTTCCTGATGATTTGAACTACAGCTCCCAACAACCCCATCCAGCATGGTTAGCGGACAGGGGTGGGTGGGAGCTGTAATCCACAGCTGTAATCCACAGCATTTGGAAATGCGCCATGTTGACCGTCCTTCGGTTAGGCTGTTGGACTTAAACCACAGGGTCTTGGATTCAAATCCTTGCTGAGCTGCAGGGCTGAATAGTGGAGGACATTGCGCTAGTAAAATGGTGCTGACGTATTGTGTTGTGGTAAAGACAAAATAGCACCTAGGAGGCAGGGTAGCATTGTAATCAATAAATAATATTTATCAGTCCATTTTATTGTCTTTGTCTGACAGTGGTGGCAAGTTTTCTGCTCTTCTGCAGAACCTTGGACCAGAGAATGCAGTAACTCTCCTTGTATTTGCGGTGACGGAGCATAAAATCCTTATCCATTCTTTACGACCGTCAGTCCTTACCAGTGTAACAGAAGCACTTGTCTCTGTAAGTAGCATTTGTTTTTATCCAGTTAAATATAGGGTGTCCTGGTCCTAGGAACTTAATACTTTCCCCGGTATTTATTAGTAACATTCCCTATTTGCTCAAGTGTAAAATGAACTGGTATGTATCTTTTATCTTTGCCACAATGACCAGGATCCACAGCTGCATAGAAATGGTTCTGTGGACCCAGGGGCTTTAGACTGTTTTTGCTTGAACACCAGCTGCATGTCAAACCGAGGGGGTGTTTCAAACGCTGTTTATCACACAGCATGAAGGTCAATTGTTCAAAGAAATAAAGTCAAAAATTCCTCTGAGCTAGCGCAAGCCCCATGCATAAGGCTTTGTCATCCTTTGGGTCCTGGCCTCTGCTCCGTGCTGGGGGTCATGTGTTAAATATTTAGCTTTTTTTCATGGTGGTGGTGGTTTTTTTTTTTTAACCTTCCAATGATGTTTATGCAGATGGGCTGCTGCAAGTGTTTGCCATCTTCATCTCTGTGTCCCGTTGCTTGCTTCTCACCCAGTTTTAGATTGTTGTAACAATCCTTGGGCACAGTCCTTCAGGAAGTTATTCTGTACAAGTTCCATTGAAGTAAATCAGAGTCCTCTCCCATTCATTTCAACAGGGCTTGCACAGGAAAGCTCCCTGAAGGCAGTGGTCCATTAGGGCGAATGGGGCACACCCCTTCTAACCTCAGTGTGCAGTGATTTGTGTCACATCTGTAAATGTTTTGTACACTGCAGTGGGGGAAGGGCCCTGGGGAGCTGCTGCCTGTCAATTTAGACAGTGCAGAGCTAGGCAGACCCATTGGTCTGATTCAGTATAAGACTGCTTCCTCTATTCCTGTACCCCTCTCCCCTCCCTATAGATAAGAAAGTAAGTAAGAGGGTGGCACTGACTGTCAGCATTCCTCCTACTTAGTCTCAGTGTTACCTTTGTACAACTCATCAGTGAAGAGGTTGGGGATGGCACGAGAGTTAGTTGGCTGCCTATCATTGACTCTGGGCTCCACCTACTGTTTGGGCTCCCGGCTTTCCACCCTACCCATCCCAATGTGCCCCAGCCATCACTGCTTGGAGGATTGTCCCTTTGTCTGTCTCCTAGTAGTGAGCATTTTAAAGTACAGGAGTTGCTGCATTTTCCCTACAACATTGCACTGACATTAGTTGAAATCTGCAGGGAATGTTCACGGTGAAAGTGCTTCATATGTGGAAAATGGTCTGTGATTGTTATCTTAACTTGAAGCACAATTGTTTGCTTATATACAATGCATACATTCTTTTCTCTTTTTTAAAGATGATATTTCCTTTCCACTGGCCCTGCCCGTACATTCCTCTCTGCCCTCTAGCCCTGGCAGATGTTTTGAGTGCGCCGTGTCCATTCATAGTAGGAATTGACTCAAGATACTTTGATCTCTATGACCCTCCACCAGATGTTAGCTGCGTTGACCTAGATACAAACACCATTTCACAGTAAGCATTGGGAACCTTTCTGTATGATTTTGTAATAGTTCAGCAGAAGGCACAGTGGTGAATTTTTGTTTCCTACCTCATCTAGTTCTGCTTACCAGAAACTGCAAGTCCTTTCACATTTGCGTCACTTGATTACACAGCACCGGATGACTTGCAGCTGAACTTGTGATCTGATTCCTCTGAAAATCATTGTGTCAGAGGTGATGATCTATGGCATTAAATTTATGATGGCTCATTGAGGCATACAAGTCACACTTAATGGTTACGGTTACCTAGCATGTATATAGTGCATTTCAAGTGTCTACGTGTATTTTATCTCAGGGACCCTTACAATAGCCGAGTAATGTAAACCAGTACAGTAATACCTTCATATTGGGACTGAGGCTGGGAGTATAAAGCCATGTATTGAGCTCCACACATTCCAGCTGTTGATTCACCTGTTTTACCACTATACCACCTACAATGGTGCTACAGTTATGAAGGAATAAACCTGCAAGTGCAACCTAACCTTGTCACCCTAAGTTTTTCTTCTTGCACTTCCTTGCTGTAGAAATCATGCATCAGTAGATCGCACAGACAAATTGGGTACCTCAGCACTTTGCCTTTGCCAATACATGAAACACATTCTAAGTAATTTGCAAATAGTCTCACTAATCCTCATAGTACTGTGGAAAGCAGTTAGCTTTCCTAAAAACAGTACTTAAAGCTCATGTGAACAAAGGGTGCTTCTTAAAGACCACACACTCTGAAAGCAGAACTGAGATTAGTTTTCTGCAGTTCTTGGTAGACTTTGCAGTCTTCCTTAGCGGGGAAGAGTACAGAGGAAATGTGTTTGTAAAATAAAGGAAACAAATTTCATGGGCAAGTTCCAGTGTTGTTACTAATTTAACTGCTCTCAACTTGCAATTCTCTTGGAGTATATAAACATGGTTTATCTTGGTAATCTCACTGATGACTTGGGAAGGGGGAACTTGTGCCATCTTTAATCAAGGTCATGGAATTAAGCGAGCATTTCTGCATCATTTGTCAAAAGTGAATGTCATATACAGTGGGTACCTTGGTTCTCAAATTTAATCTAGAAGTCCATTCCAAAACCAAAGTGTTCCAAAACTAAAGCATACTTTCCCATAGAAAGTAATGCAAAGTAATGCAAAATGGATTAATCTGTTCCACACTTTTAGAACCAACCCCAAAACAGCAATTTAACATGAATTTTACTATCTAACGAGACCATTGATCCATAAAATGAAAGCAATAAACAATGTACTGCAGTTACACAATCAATCAGTAGCTGAACTGGGTTCTACACAGTCACAAAAATAGAACAAAAAAGCTGCAGAAACAAAAAAGCAAAATAAATAGCAAAAACAGACAGACCTCAGCATAACACTCAAAACAGAAGTGTGGCCCTCAAAATGGAGCAGATTTGGCTTCCAAAAAAGTTCACAAACCAGATCATTTACTTCCAGGTTTACGGTTCCAAGTTGTTTGAGTACCAAGGCATTTGAGAACCAAGGTACCACTGCATAAGCCTTATATAACTGTTTTCCCTTAAAGTATGGGTGAGGAATTAGCAGGCTTCCAAATGTTGTTGGACCCCAGGTCCCAATGTCTTTGGCCATTGACCATGTTGACTGGGGCTTATGGGAGCTGGAGTCCAACAAAATTTGAAGGGCCACTGGCTCCCCTGACTGTTGCCTTAAAGGATCTTGAGAAATTTTGTTGGGTGAAGAATCACTGAAATGCACACCAAGAGTTGGGTATAGAGCAGGCCACAACTTTCCCATTATTTAGCAGAGAAGAGAGGGACAAGACAGTTGTTGCCAACAGTCCATATTCTCCACCCACTTTACTGCTGAGTAACCCTGAGGGGAAAGAGTGACCATTCTGAGAACAGAATGCTGGACTCACCGCCTGATCCTGCAAGCAAATTTTTAGGTTCTCATGTTAACTGCAGATGATGACCTGGCTGGCAACTAGTAATTGCAGTGGATTGGTTGTTGTGCAGTTTCTTGAGTTCCTTTTATGGCCTCCCCAGAATGGTTTTTGGGGAGCCTGCCTTTGGTTATCCCTGCACCAGTTGTGACATTAATCCACCATCAGTGCCAAAAGCAACTGCTTGCAAACCTTTGCTGGGAGAAAAGTGAACTCTTGCCCCCTTCCTGATCAGTCTGGGAGGGAAGTTCAGTTACTTCCTGGCCCTGTCATCTTAAGTTCATAGCAAAATTTATGTAGCTGTACTGCAAGAAACCCTAATGAGACCAGGCAGAGCATTACTATAAACCAGGTACAGCTAGATAGCCACAGCAGTTGCATAGAGAAGTATCAAACTAAGCTGCTTTTTGGGCTCCTCTCGCCTATATTAGGCAGGAGCCGGGCTGTTCCTACTCCAGTTCACCACCCACATGAGCTGCCCTCTTCCCAGCCAATGTGATTGGCCAAATTGTGGGGCTAGGAGAAAGGCAACCCAGCTCATTCACAGCCAGTCATTCTGTTCACCACCAAAGCTCCAATGCCCCTGCCTGAGGCCTAGTCATTATGCTGTAGTGGTGTCCAAACTTTTTTCAAAGAGGGCCAGATTTGATGAAGTGAAGGGCCATGAGGGCCGACCAAATGGCCAACCAAAGTTGTTAACCTTTTTAAAGGATTGAATAGGATTGAAGCTGTTGAGTTTTTTTTAGGGTATTGCCTCAGGAAATAAACTGCCACAGGGGCCGGATTAAACCGACCGCCGGCGGGCTGGATTAGGCCCCCGAGACGGACTTTAGACATGCCTGCTGTAGAACAATTGCAGTTATAAAAAGGAGAGCAGGAGTGGTTGTTTAACTTTACTCGTGTCCAAACCAAAATATTAGTAAGCTGTTATGAGTGTGCCATACAGGTGTCGGGGTATCAGATATTTAGGACTCTCACATGCTTCAAGGAAATACTGAAACGAAATCATCAGCCGAGGCAACAAGGCTGGGAATTGAGAGATGAGAAGCTGAATCAATTAGTATGGAAGCAGAGGACCAGATAAGATTTAAAATATTAATAGAAACAAACAGCATGTTGGGTGCTTCCCACAGAAAGAAGTGAGGGGGAGGGAACTCATGCTTGCAAGGTTTCCAACAGCAACAGAGGAGAGCAGAAGCTTGAATAATCCGAGTGCAGTGAAGGACACTTTGTCATATTTTCACAAGCATATTTAAAAATACACTGCCATCTATAAATAAAGATTTCCATACCTAGATAACCATTTATGTGTACACTTTTTAGCTGTTGCTTTGTATTTTCAAAATACCATGTTTTGCATAATACCTCTGTTTTTATTCCAGACCAGGAGATAAGAGAAATATTGCATGGAAGATCTTACCAAAGAAACCCTGTAAAAACCTGATGAACACTCTAAATAACTTGTATCAGCAGCTAGCAGAATGTAAGTGGGGAAAATGACACAGAGATTGGCATATGCAGTGGCTTGTTGTAGTCGTTCATGCTTTAAGATGGTTAAGCTGTTGTGCTACTTAGCAGGAGTGGACTTCAGGGAATCCAGTGAAAAAGCTGTCTTTGAAGGGGGGAGAAACATATGGTGTTCCTTATTCTATGCAGATGGAACAGATGGTGATTTGGGAAAGGACCGTAACTCAGTTTAGCGCTCAACCAGCCATCCTCGCCTAGAGGAACCCAGACAAAATGACAATAGGTTTTTCATTATTTCGAAATTTTCCAATGATTTTTGACAAAATTAGACTAAGAGACTTGTGGCATCTTAAATTCTAAACAAATCATTATGCCATAATAAATCTGTTAGTCTTTAAAGTCCCACAAAAGTCTGTTGCAGCACAAACAACAAACAAGGCTACCTTTCTGGAACTTCTGTGAATTACTGTTTAATAGTTTGCATAAATGTTAAGTATTTGAAAAGCTGGGCTTGTTAAAATGTCCAGCTTTGAAAATCAAATAAAAATTATTTACAAATATTAAAAATGTCATGTGCCTGACACCTTTTTATTCACCCAGGCATTTAAATTGTACTTTAAATACATTCTGTTTTATACTACCTCTGCTACAATGAACATTTTTGCTGCTTTATATTTTATTTTTGTTTCTTATTTATTGATAAACATAAATAAATGCATTTAGAAAGCCAGTATGGTGTACTGGTCAAAGTGCTGGACTAGTACCAGAGGGACCACATTTGAAATCCCTATTCAGCCGTGAAGCTCCCTGGGTGACCTTGGGCCAGTTAATATCTGTCAGCCTGACCTACCGTACCTCACAGGGACAATGTGGTGATAAAATTGGGGGAGGGGAGAACCATGTACCCAGTTTTTGTTGTTTTGGAGGAACTATAACATATTGATATAATAGATAAATTCATAAGATCTGTTAGACTCTTGCTCAGAGCAGAGGTATCTACAGTGGTTTCCTTTATTAAAAATGTTATTTCTCTTGAGCCCTTTATTATTCCACTGAGGTGATATAAGTGTGCATCAAGAGCCACATGCAAATTCCACTGAAATAACCAGGAGTCACGCAGGAGCAGTCCTTGGCAGACTTCACCCCGGGGGCTTAAGCTATATCACTAACTGATGTATGCATTTCAAAAGCTTACATAAATTGTCTTTTTCTATGTGCATATCACTGCGTTTTCACCCAGACTAATTCTGTCATAGTTTCCATAGCGACGCCTTTTCTGCAAAAAGTAAATGTGCTTGTCTGAGTCTTTTGTCTATCTTGGAGACTAGTGATTTGCATCCTTCTCTGCCATAGCTAATAGCTGTATCCCACTATTTAAACCAGATCTAGGGAACTAGTGATGAGGCCACCAGTAAGATGGGATATTAGTATTGCCAAACCTCCCTCCTGGTTGCTCTGCATTCCCTACCTTATGCTTGCTTCCTCTGTGTCTCTCCCTTCTGCTTTCCCAGCCTCTCTTAGTACCATTGGTTGATGTGCTCTGATGTCAGGGTGGGCCATGTTAGCCTGGCAGCTGTTCTAATGTCACAGAGAGGCTGTGCAGACAGCCAATATAAGTGTTTGGTAGTCATTGGGGATGGTAGGATATGCATTCTTTGGTGTCTCAGTTCTTGAAGCAAAATTAAACTTGCCTCCATTTGTGACTGTATGCTACGCGCTTCTGAATAACACATTGAGGATGCAAATAAGTTTATTGGTCTTGAATCATCTTGACAGAAAGAGACAGGCAATAATGCTTGCCACTTATAAGTAGCATAAGTAACTTAGCAAGGTGGGATAATGAAGTAAGCCCTGTGGAGCAGAAAGGAAATGCTAACTCAATACTGGGAATGTTTTCATATTTCGTCCTTTTATCCACAGTGCAGCAACGACCAAGAGATGACGCACTGATGGAGCTGGCTATGAATGACTATGATTTCCATTCAGGGGAAAAGCTGCATCTGTTAGATGTGGAAATCCAGGAGGCGTTTCTCTGTTTCATGGCCTCTATCCTAAAAGGTTACAGGTCATATCTAAGACCCATTACCCAAGCACCTTCTGAAACAGCAACAGATGCAAGTTCCTTATTTGAGCTGCAAGGTAAAGGAGCAGACTGTTATACCTTCCTCCAGTTTGTAGCTTGGTTTAAATGACTGGCAAGGGGGAAGCTGTAAAGGGATTGCATCCAACTAAGTTTTACTCAGAGTAGACCCATTGAAAGTAACACTTAGTTGAATTGCAGGTGTTTAAACAGGTTGGACGCGGGTGGCGCTGTGGGTAAAACCTCAGTGCCTAGGACTTGCTGATCGTAAGGTCGGCGGTTTGAATCCCCACAACTCGGTGAGCTCCCGCTGCTCGGTCCCAGCTCCTGCCCACCTAGCAGTTCGAAAGCACCCCTAAGTGCAAGTAGATAAATAGGGACCGCTCCGGCGGGAAGGTAAACGGCATTTCCGTGTGCTGCGCTTGTGCTGGCTCGCCAGTACAGCTTCGTCACGCTGGCCACGTGACCCGGAAGTGTGTCTTCGGACAGCGCCGGCTCCCAGCCTCTAGAGCAAGATGAGCGCGCAAACCCTAGAGTCAGTCACTACTGGCCCGTATGGGCAGGGGTACCTTTACCTTTACCTTTAAACAGGTTGGATGGCCTTCTGTCACAGATTCTTTAGCTGTGATTCCTGCATTGTAGAGGGTTGGACTAGATGATCCTTCCAGCCCCATAATTCTATGACTCTGTGAATGCATACCTGTCTGTTTTAGGCCCAGGCAGTATTTCAGTATCTTCCTGCAGTTCATTTAACATCCCTTGGAATTCCTACCATGGTTTCACCTAGGCTTAAGTACTTAAGCTTTAGGCTAAATTCGGTGTCTAGTTTTTGGAGGTTTTTCAACATGACATTCAGACTTTGAGTTTCTTGCACTTTTGTGGCTCCTGACGATGGTAGCGGGGACCCCATATGGAATGTTTATTTAATTTCCTTTTCTTAGTGGAGTATATGTTCTTTGCTTTCCCTGCCAACCACGTTTATAACATCAAATGTTGGGTTTTTGCTTTAACTTTATAGGGTTCTTAAAAAGCCGTGACCGTTCACATCAGAAGTTTTACACTATGATGACCAAGACACAAATGTTCATTCGCTTCATTGAAGAATGCTCCTTTGTCAGTGATAAAGATGCAAGTCTTGCATTTTTTGATGACTGTGTAAATAAAGTAAGTGTGGCTGACATACTTCTCCATTGAACCATGTCTGACAACACACACTCTGCTAACATAGGATTTGGCAACTCTAGGTAATTTAGAGTGGCTCTCATGGCCCCACACTGCCCACTGTTGCTGATGGGAGTTGTTGATCAGCAGCATTTGGAGAGCACGATGTTGGCAAAGACTGATCTAATTGGCTCTGATACCAAAGAGTTTATTAAATCTGTCAGTGTCCATATAGTTGACATCTTCACAGCTGACACTCAGTCTGGCACTAATGTGCCCCTAAAATTTCTGAAAACTGCAAAACGTTCCGAAGATGGTGGCTTTTGCTTTTTTGCAGGTGTACCCTTGACTTAATTGTTGCAACATAAAGTGCATGTCACACACCTGAGAGAAATTCAGCAACTATGGAAATTGGCCATTTCTTTCCTGCCATATGCTAGAAAGATGGCCAGCTCAAGTGCCATTTTATTGATTATAGACAATTCTGCTGCAAGAAGGGGGGTGGGGGAGCTCCTCGGCAGTAGGCAGCCTTCCCTGACATAGGATCCTGTGAGGAAATTGGCTTTTTACAAAGGGAGCAGTGGTTTTCCTATGCAGAGCAAGGAAACAGGACTAGCTTGGTTAAGTATGTTCATTGTGTGTCATGACAATGTATTTATTACATAAACACACACACACACACTCACACTGAAACATGCTTAACCAAGCTAGTCCTGTCTCCTTGTTCTACATATAGCATAAAATGAGCAGCTGAAAAATATCACTTTTTGTGAGAAGCTGAGTGCTGGAATCACTTTCAAGATAAACAAGGCATGACAATATTCTATGAAAGGGATATGACTTGAGACCAACAACGCCTTTGAAAGCAGTATGCGGAAAACAACCCTCTCATCTTTATACTGAATTGCTAAATTTCTTCAAAGGAAGTCCAAGACGCAGCCTTTTTCTTTCCTTTTTCTTTTTTTAAAGAGATTGGAGACCGAAGGTGGGGGAATTGCAAATAATGACAGTAAAACACAGGAAACATTATCTAAATGTTTCATAAAAATTTCATTCCACTTGATTGTAAAAACCCTAATGTTACTGTATCATTGGCAACTGTTTTTTCTACACACCATTGTATGAACAATACCCTGCTTCCAAAATGTGAGCATATGTTGTACTTGAGATAAAATACATTTTAAAACTATTTTATGCAGGTAGATATGGATAGGACGGGTGACACGCGGCTTATAGAACTGGATGAATCATACAAGAGTGAGCATACGGTTTTCATAACTCCCCCAGAGATCCCCCACCTTCCCAATGGAGAAGAAGCTCCATCACAGTACAGGTAACCCTTTGGAATGTGGCAAGAATCCTGGCAAAATGCTGGTCCCTAAGTTGTGCTGGCTGCAAAGTATTTTATGTGTCAAACCTGCTGTACCAGTAGAGGGTAATAGCTATACCTGGCCTAAACAATATGTGTGTTTGTGTGTGTGTGTGTGTGTGTGTATCTCACCCACCATCCACTCCCCAGATTGAACACCAGACCTTTGCTTATTTTGACAACCACCAATTGGTGGTTGGTGGGTTTCTTTGTTTGTTTTGGTCTTCCTGAAAGTCCTTTTTTAAAAAATCCAGCAATCTAATTTTCTCTTTCAAATGAGTTTGCAGGTCAATATTGATTTTTATGGGCTTCTGCTCTTTCTTTGTTCGTTAGAAACTAAATAAGCTTTTCAGATGTTCATGGCATAAATGCAGTCAATACTAATGAAGTTGTCACTCTAATTGAATAGCACACTAAAAAAAATAAAAATCCTTACTTAAATACTCAGCCTTAAGTGAGTATCTGCTCAGGAAAGAGTTTTACTGAAGGGTCATACAAAGAGGGGGCCTAAGTTAACCTGTCATTTAGTCCATTTTTCACGGCAATTTCATAGTTTGGTGGCAGAGCACATGCTTTGTGTGCAGAAGGTTCTATCTCCAAGGACCAGGCAACACATGACTGGAAAGATCCTGCTCTGCCTAAGACACACACTCCCCAGAGACCCACAGCCAGTAAGAGTAATGACCATAGCCCAGACTCAGTACCAGGCAACTTTGTAAGTCCCTCCATTCATCCCTCCTCATCTCTTAGTTGTCTCAATTATGAAGATGGACAGCAATTGTCAGAGGGCCAAATATGGTCAGTTACTGAACCATTATATGCTGATTCCGCTCAGTAAATAAATGCTTGAAGGATGTCTTTTTCCTTCTGCCCCCCCCCACCCCCGGTCAGGGTTTTTACTTGAAAAAACAAAGAAAGTACAGCAAGCTTGTGTGTTCTCTATTCAATTTTTTACTCCTATAATAAAACTGTAGCCCACGAAAATATCAGTTGTAGTCAAAGCAGCATCATAGCCCAAAGCCCTCTGTATGGTGCTGGGGCATAAGTAACTAAAATAAGATGGCGTCTCCCTTCTTTTTCAGTTATAGTGGATTTCCTGTGCTGCAGCAAGATCTGTTTGAGCGGCCTAAGGCACTCCTGACAATACAGAACAGCAGATTGTCTTCAAAAGCCAGCAGTCCCAACAGCCCCTTGCCAATGTTCAGGAGAACAAAACAGGTACTTAGTAAGCATGCAGCACCCTTCGGTGTTCTGTGTATCCTGGTTTCACTGTTTCTCCCAAGGAGTTTGCTGCAGTGCTTTTTACAGTCTCTTCAAACTTGGGGCGAGTTACAGCAAATTGCTGCTGGCTGCCATGGACAGTTGAGAGAGCGCAGTTAATTCATTCATTCCCATTTATTAAATTTGTATACTCCCATTCATCCATAGATCTCAGGGTGGTTCACAACATAAAATTACAATATAAAACACATAACAAAAGTTATGTGGTTTGGAACAGGCTGCAGCAAGAGTTATTGAATACCTACACATAGTTCAGTGTATAATTTACCTAAAAGAGATGCATTCCAGTATAGTATTAAATGTGAAAGAACATTTTTTTTTATTTTTACGGTAATGTTACTTTACTTTTTATTTTATTTATTTTTTATAAATTTTTATTGGTTTTTCAACACTTATTAAACACAAACAATACACAATACAAAACAAACAAACACATAAACACACAAGTATAATTTCAAATCCTTTTTCCCCCCTTAAACCCTACTTCACCGACTTCCCCATACCTCCCCTTTCTGCATCCCTATTTCCAAATTTATTTCAGCAAATCCTCTCTTCTAAATTTATCTAATTATCCCTTATTCTTCTCTTTTACTTAGTCTTTTACAGCTGCAATCCCCTTTTTCCAATAACCTCAACATTTTAGCACTCATTAATCTTATAATATTTCTTAAGATAAATTTTAAATTTCTTCCAATCTTCTTCCGCCGTCTCTTTTCCTTGGTCTCGAATTCTGCCAGTCATTTCAGCCAGTCCCATATAGTCTATCACCTTTGTCTGCCATTCTTCCAGAGTGGGTAGTTCTTGTGTCTTCCAATACTTTGCGATGAGAACTCTTGCTGCTGTAGTAGCATACATAAAAAAAATCCTATCTTTCTTTAACACCAATTGGCCGACAATGCCCAAGAGAAAGGCCTCTGGTTTCTTGTGAAAAGTACATTTAAGTACTTCTTCATTTCATTATATATCATTTCCCAGAAAGCCTTAATGATTAATCTTCAGGCACGTCCACCAAAGGTGGTAAAAAGTACCTTCAGTTTCATTGCATTTCCAACATTTATTATTTGGCAGATGGTAAATTTTTGCAAGCTTGACTGGGGTCATGTACCACCTATAAATCATTTTCATAATATTCTCTCTTAAGGCATTACATGCTGTAAATTTTATACCGGTGGTCCACAACCATTCCCAGTCCGCAAACATAATGTTATGACCAATGTCTTGTGCCCACTTAATCATGACTGATTTAACAGTTTCATCTTGTGTATTCCATTTCAGCAACAAGTTATACATTCTTGACAAATTCTTAGTCTTGGGTTCTAGCAATTCTGTTTCTAGTTTTGATCTCTCCACCTGGAAGCCAATTTTCCTGTCCTGTTTATACACCTCCATTATTTGATAATAATGGAGCCAGTCTCGTACTTTAGACTTCAATTTCTCATAACTCTGTAATTTCACTTTGTCACCCTCTTGTTCCAGAATTTCCCAATATTTTGGCCATTTAGACTCCATGTTAAGTTTTTTCACATCTTTAGCTTCCATTGGCGATAGCCACCTTGGGGTTTTATTTTCCAACAAATCTTTATATCTAATCCAAACGTTATATAATGCTTTCCTGACAATATGATTTTTAAAGCCTTTATGAGCTTTTACCTTGTCATACCATATGTATGCATGCCATCCGAACATATTATTAAACCCTTCCAAATCTAAAATTACTTTACTTTTTAGATCAGCCTTTATTAGCCTTGGGAGGCAGGGACAGGGTCCCCAGATGCTGCTGGAACACAACTCCCATCATCCCTGACTGCTGGTCCTGCTGGCTAGGGACAATGGCAGTTGTGGTCCAACATCATACTGGGATACCCACCCATTCTGATGTTGGGTTGAGGTTCGGCTTGTGGGCTTCCCAGAGGTATCTGGTTGACCACTGTAAGAACAGGACAAGGTGGGCTTTTGGCCTGCTCCATCTGGGCTCTTCTTACGTTCTTATGCACAACCTCTTCCTCTCTCCCAACCCAACAAGCTGGGTCACATATGTAACAAGCTTGTGCCCTTTGGGACTTTGAACTAGATTATCTCTTAAACAGCAGCTTCCCCATACTTCCTTGTAAGCTGCTTTTGAGAAAAACTTAGGAAATTTAAAGAGCAAGTGTGGCTTTTGCCTCCTAGGATGGGTCAAGGAAAGGGTTAAAATGGGTGTGATGTGATTGGCCAGTGAGAATGCAAGGGGGGAGTAAAAGATAGAGTGGGAGGTTTTGAAAGTCAGTTGAGGTTGGGAGTTGGGAGTTGAGGTTTGTCAGTTGGGAGTTGCATTCTCACTGGCCAATCACATCACACCCATTTTAACCTTTTCCTTGACCCATCCTAGGAGGCAAACGCCACAGCAAGTTAAAGTGCTTTGTAAACTGTTTGCATTGAAGAGTTAAAGAGGCAGACATCCCAGCAACACCACTATAATGAAAATAAGTGCAGGCATTGTGTAAAATTCGGTATGTTATGGGATGTATTCTCATAGCAATGGGCTTTTGAAAAGAAAAAGAAGTAAAAGGAGTGGCAGCCTTGTGGCAATCCAGAAATGCACATTTGTGTGTTATATGGGAATAATTTATTCCAGCTTTTGGGTGCTCTATAAACCTCTGCTTGTCAATGATATGAACTTAGTTTGAGTGCCTCTACTGAATTGTAACGAGGATCTCAGCCTCCCTAGGGACTCCATGCTATAATTTAATCTCACATTTCCTTTTTCTTTCCCTCTGCTATCCACAGCAGCTGTTGCACAGAAGTGCTTGTGGGTAGAATTAGGCATAACCACTTTTAAAACAACATTTCCTTCACAGTTTGTATATTTTTCTCAGATAACCTTCCTCTGTCCTTCTGAACAATGTTTTTCCATTTTCTTTTGCTCCTCGCCTTCCTTGCTGGTTTTATTTAGTCGCTATTACTAGCAGCGAACCACAGTTATGGTATTTGAAGCATTTGTCAATCTATCAATTATTTTCTAACTGTCTAATCTTGTTTTAAATTGCTTTGAACTGTTTTCATCTACTTTATGTGTACTGTAAATCACACTGAGATAGTAGTTTGGAAGGTGGCTACTAAATTATATGCAGTATTAGAAACAAACCAAAATTCTGGTATTTGGGGGACTTAATCCATCAAGTTGCTGGTGACTAACCCATTAATAATTTTCAATCACCTTGGCCCAGGGCAGGTTACAACATTTTAAAATACAATTACAAAAAGCACCACCACACACACACACAAAAATCTAATAAAAAGTAACAAAATTCATACAATGCTTATATTAGATTTAGATTTCCAATCTTTCTGCGTTAGGAATCTTCAATTTCTAAAAAGAGTTTCTTTTCCCATCTCACGGGATTCATCCAATAAGACACCCTCTCATACCGTTTTCAAGTCCCAACTATTGTGCAGAAGTGGGCTTTCAAAATGGCGGGAAGGACAAGACTGGCCTCAATTAGAAATTGGGCATTTAGTGTCCCCAGTCCCATGCTGTAGAACACTCTTCCAACAGTGATTCGGCAGGCTTTTCAGTTTCAGGCATCTAAAACTAGCCTGTGAAACTGGCCTTTAAAAACATTTTGATTAGCCTGTCATTTTAATGATGTTGTTGTACTGTTTGTAGGTTGTTGTACTGTTCGTAAAGTTTTATTTTATACATATATTGCTATACACCCTTTGCAATGTTTTACGAGATGGCAGTATATAAATAAATAAGAACTGTAGAGTTAGACGTGAAGCAGATAATCATGGGCTTCTTCCTTGTATGGGAGGCATCTTCTTTGTTATTGGTGTCTGCAGCCTGCTGGAAACAGGTTTAATATCTAATTTGGATAGTTAAGTCACTTAACCTTGTTTGCCTCTTGTTCTTGTGAGCGCTGTTTGGCATGTAAAAATACAGTGATATGCCCAACTCATGCTTTAACTAATGAAAATTCTTTTGAGCACCTGCTGGTTGTACAGCAAGGGTAATGACCGAGTTATCCCAGTAATTATTTTTCTACTGTGCTGCTCTTGTTCAACATTCAGATAACGACACCTTGACTTCTATTATCTATCTATCTGTCTTGTGGTTTGAGCGACCATTTAAGGAGATTATTTTCCCCTCTGATGCACTCCACGTTCTGTTGCATTTCAGATGAATATGTATGTTCTATTGCGGTGATGCTGGCATGCTGTCACCCTCAAATGATTTCACTAGATAATAGTTTGCATTTCAAACAAATTAAGTGTATTAGTCATCCTTGTGTCTTCTCAGTTATGAACTAGAAACACCAGTTTTCTGATTTTAGAAATGAAGCAACAGTGGAATTAATGAGGGTGTCAGAGCTCACCAACCAGGCATAGCCTTTGCTGAATTAGGCCACCAAATCCTGAACATCAGGAGATAAGCAGGCTGCAGAAGCCAAAGTAAAACATAGTACTGAACACCTTCTTCCAGGAAACCCACAAGTTTGGTGAGCGCTTGAGCCAGCATAGGCCAATAATAGCTTGTCTTCAGTCTGAAGACTAAGATGTAGAAGAACCAGACCAGAGTTGAGGGTCAGGCTTGATGAAACACAGAAGATTCGTGGCTCGATTATCTGACACAGTTTTTTTAATAAAAAAAATTAGCCACCACAGACTGATTGGCATATCAGTGGTGGCTCCACTTTTTGGGATGCTCTCCCCAGGTAGGCACACCTGGCACCATCGTCTGTTTTTAGGTGCCAAGCCAAAATGTTCTTGTTCTGCTAGGCTTTTGGATTCAATTTTCTGCTTATCATTTAGTCGAGCGGGGCTGAGTTGGATTTGCTCTTTTAAATACATTAATGTTGGTTTTCTTTTTCTTTTTATGCTTGTTTTTGATATATTTTTATAAGTGGCTTTAAGTTCCCTTTTCTGAAGAAAGTGAGTAATAAATATAAACCCACTTCCCTAGCACTATAGTCCTGATCCAATTTGCACTCACCTCCCCCTAGCAGCTGTATTTAAGCTTAGAAGAAAACACTGGGAGACCTGATCACAGATCCCTTGTGTATCATCTAATTCGGCCCTGAGGTTCTCTGTGACCACGTGAAAAGCTGCTAGTTGTTTGTAATGCCAGACAACCACTGAGTCTCGCAGACCAACTGAATTTGTTCCACAATTCAGCGAAGAATGTGCAGCAGTCGATAGTTGCAGAGCTGTTACTGAAATAATTCAAGGGAGGATCTGCCTCATGCTTATTTCCCTTCTGTGGATGTGAAGAGGATTTAAAAAGTGTAATATACCTAAAACACAATATTTTCAATGTGTCTTTGCAGGAAATCAAGTCGGCCCACAAGATAGCCAAGAGGTATTCCTCCATCCCTCAGATGTGGTCTAGGTGCTTGCTGCGCCACTGCTATGGCCTCTGGTTTATCTGCCTTCCTGCCTATGTCAAGGTGTGCCATTCCAAAGTGAGGGCTTTGAGGACGGCCTATGATGTGCTGCGGAAAATGCACTCGAAAAAGATTGATCCACCTGACGAGGTAAATTGCCTACGTCTAGTACCTGGTGTGGAAACTGGAGCTTCGATTCAGGAGCTGTGCTAGGGAGTTCTGGAGCTGGTGACTTGATGAGTTCAAAAGGGGCAGAAATATGATTTATAGTCACCACCAGTATTTCCTCTTCCTGGACCTCTGCTGGGTTATTGCTTGCACCTTGCCTCCCAAGTAGATTCTTCACAATACAGCTGTCTGGCAGTGAAACAGGTGCTTTTCTAGCAACTCTGAACTTTCTCTTGAATCTGGTGTCACCTTTGCTTCCAAGGCCTGTGGGATGGTGGGGGAGAGTTGGGGATGAAGGAAAGGCTCAGAATGGGGTTGGAGGGGTTCTCGTGGGAGCCCAGGAATCCCTAATATGGATCTCTTCTGGCCACCTCTGCACTGCTGCAAGTTCCTCCAGGTTTTTAGGGTTCTCTATGAGGCCCCAAGCCTTTTCCTTTGAAGAGGTCTCTCCAGTGTCTAGGTTAGATGGGATCCTGACATAAATGGATGTCCTTTCTGAAATATGATGATGGCCCTAAGTTGGCCAGTTTCTTGAGAATGAATTTGTATTGTGCTTTTATTATTTTTTGTTGGCAGCCTCCCAGAGTGGCTGGGACAACCCATTCAGATGGGCAGCATATAAATAACGCAGCATTATTATTATTATTATTATTATTATTATTATTATTATTATTATTTTATCTGACAAGGAGAATCTTGTTTTTTCCAGGTATGCTACCGGGTGTTGATGCAGTTATGTGGACAATATGGCCAGCCTGTGCTAGCAGTGAGAGTCCTTTTTGAAATGAAAAAAGCTGGAGTTGACCCCAATGCCATTACATATGGTTATTATAATAGGGTAAATATTTGTTAATTATTTGAAAGCCTTGCATTTTAGTACTGGAAAAATAATTCTTTGTAAAGATAATGATCAATTGGCCAATGTCTGATTTCAGCAAACCGTAGTATATGCAGTGCTTTTTTCTGGGGGGGGGGGCTTAGGGGGATGCCCAGCCCTAAACATTTTGTGAATCTAAGTTTGGCCTCATTGAGGGGCAGTATTTCAATATGAGTAGGACAATGAGAGCACCCCTAAACATTTTTTTAGGGAAAAGTGCTGAGTATATGTATGCATGACTGCATACATGGTTTGGATTTTTATCCATCTGTTCTCTGTTTTTAACACAGTTCTCAGAGTGGTTTAACAATCAAAATGTCTCTTCCCAGGAAACTTGGAAAATGGTAGCTCCATGAGGGAAATGGAGCTCACCTAATAATTCTCAGCATTCTTAACAAACTATGGTTTCCAGAATTCTTAGGAGGAAGCTGTGACTATTTAAAGTGACACAATACTGATTTAAATGTATAGTGCAGGTGGTCTTGCCCAGAATGAGACCAGGGAAACCTAGGTCTCAAAATCCTATTTAGCCATGACATTTTTTGAACAGGTTGATCACTGGATTGCTTTAATATAGAATGGGATAACTGAAAGTGTATTACTCCAAGATCCTTAGGTTGTGTGATTTAAATAATTTCCTTTACTGTTATTACAGGCTGTTTTGGAAAGTACTTGGCCGTCAAGCAATCGAAGTGGCTATTTTCTGTGGACAAAGATAAGAAATGTTGTCTTAGGAATAGCTCAGTTTAAAAGAGTTCTAAGGAAGCAACCTGCAAATGGCATCCACAAAGTTCTTTCTGGTAGGAGTTTTTATGCGTCTTTTGGTTTGTAGCTCTGCAAATGTAGCTGCTCTCAATAGGTAGAAATGCCCAGTTTTCAAAATCAGTCTTAATTTATGCAGCATATTCTATTCAGTGTTGTAATTGCTGTAATGGATGACACAAAGACCAGGGATGTCTTATCCAGACTCACATGAATGATAGGGCCTCAGCTATGTAGCACATTCTGCTGCGTGTACCTCTTGAAAATGTGATGAGCTACATGACACAATGAGGAAGAGACACTGATGGAAGAGGAATGGTCAGAATCCTGGGTCTCTCTGGAAAAACCGGGGGGAACAAATATTTAAAGATTTATCGCATTGCTATCTTACTGCTCAAAATATTAGACATATAGGAAGCTGCATTGGTCCATTGAGGTCAGCACTAATCACAGACCAGTAGCAACTCTCCATGGTTTCAGACAGGGAACATTCTCAGCTCTGCTTGGAGATGGCGCAGGGGACCAAACCCAGGACCTTCAGTGTGCAAAGAAGATCCTCAACCACTGAACCATGCCTCTTCCCTGTGGAAGTCACAGTGGTCCATAATACATAAATTCTAGACTGACATTTTGGCAGAGATTAAGTTACTGGCTGTCGTCTAGATTCATCTGGTAAGATAGTCTTACTCAGTGCTTGAGTCTGCCCCCTGCCCCCCCCCCAAGCACTGGTCTTATTGAATTTCATAATTCAGAGGGGTAAAAATCCCTTTTCTCACAAACAGCTTTGTACATCCTTCCTAACTGCAGCCAGACAGGCTCTGGAACCAAGGGTCTTCTTTCTAATAATCAGTGTCATGCAAAAAATACAGGCAGTCTCTAAAAGCAGAACAGCCCTATTAACTGAGGACAGTCTTTAGTCACCAAAAAGTCCCCCAAGTTTCTGGAAATGTTCTACTGCTGAGTTTCCTCATTCAAACAAATGGTCACTTTTACAAACAATATCACCTTTATATGTATTTCATCGCAACAGCATCCCATTATTCCCTTTCTGCTTGGCATTCTTTTTAAAATAAAAAATGTATTGTTAATTTTTTATCCTTTTTATTATGATAGGGGAACATTCAGATCTGTTATACAGGCTATCGAAAGCAGCAGCTAAACAAGGGAAAGCCACTGCTCAGAGGAATGGTGAGCAAAAGGAAGAGAAGAAAGAGAGTGACTCTAGTTCTTGTAAGTATCAAATATTGATACTTGTCATGTTGCCTGAATTCTGTTCCTTTGTTTTGATTCCAACTTTTATGCACTGCCTCTCTTTTGAATATCCCTTTACTGTTGTATTTCTGTGTCATGTTGCGTCATAGACTGCCAGCAGCTTGGGAGAACTGTTGAGGCAGCCCCACCTTTTGGTGTCAGTATTTTTAATTGTTAGCCCCCTTGGGTGCCTTGGTTTATCAATGCACTAAAATGCAATACATAAAATTATAATGAATACCTTCCACAAGCACTGCTGGGCAAATGCAAAGACAAGGAAGAGAGTCAATAAGAAAGAGTCTTCTTTCTTCAACATTATTCTCTCAGCCCTTTTTATTATTGGCTGAATGCTCACTGGAGCAAATGCATATGATGTAGAACTATAACAACCTCTATGGTTTCATAAAGTGAATTTATGCACATTTGAATTTAAGAGGTTTGAAAAGATGGTTATGCCTACAGGGGATTTTAATCCATTATGAGTCTTAAAACAGACATGAAAAACTTGGATTCTTGCCTCTGGTGAAAAGTACAGATTTTGTGTGCTTCTGGGAAGAGTGTGAAGACTTTGTAACTCAGTTGCATAACGGATCAAAGAACCTAGATTTTTACAGGGATGTGTGTGTGTGTGTGCACATTTCTAAATCAATGTTAAATTGTGTGGTGGTGCTGTTTATTATTATTATTATTATTATTATTATTATTATTATTATTAAAATTTATACCCAGCACTTTCCTCCAAAGGAGCCCAGGGCAGCAAACATAACAGTGCAAAAGCAATGCAATTAAAACTTCTAAATCCAGTTAAGATCAACCTCTAACAACAGTTAGAATTCTTAAAAGCTATCACCTCCTCTCTGACTAATAATTTCAGGGTTGCCACAGCCCAGGATTTTCAGCCATCCAATGCCTGGGTAAACAGGAATGTTTTAGAATTTCTCCTAAAAGTTAATAGTAAGGGAGATTGAAGCACCTCTCTAGGGAGGGCCTTCCACAGATGGGAAAGCCCCACCGAGACGGCACTGTCACACATCACTGCCAACTGGGAAATCCCCTTGGCACTGTTTTGCTACTTGAGTTCAATGCCACTTAGGGCTTTGGGTGTTAATACTAATACATTGAATTGGGCCAAATAGCTCATTGACAGCCAGTGTTGTGTCTTAAGTACCTGTGACACCTAGTCCCATTAGGTTGCCCCACTTATTAACCTAGCAGCTGCATTCTGTATTAGCTACAGCCTCAGGACTATCTTCAAGGGCAGCCTCACATAGATCACATTACAGTAGTCCAAGTGGGAGGCCACCAGAGCATGGGTAACTGAGGCTATCCCAATCCAGGAATGACTGTAGTTGGAGAACCAGTCTAAGCTGGGAATAAGCGCATAAGCAATATCACCTCCTGCCACTGCCCTCCTCCCTGCACTATAGGGCAATCACTTGTCATGTGTACTTACTGCTAAGAGATTCTGCTGCTCAGGTTTCAGCTGCCATGTTCCCTTGTTGATAGTGCACCATGCTAGCATCTGCACACATGCACAGTATCATATGGAAACATGTAATATATGTAAACCAGCCTGCCCTGCAAGCAGTAAAGAAGTGTGAGGGAGTCTGCATGGCATGCTAGTTTGACTTTTGAATACCTAACAACATGGGGAAATGGCTTATGGTTAATGCATGTATTTTTCTAGCATTTACTAAGAGCAAGCTCATCTCTTAACAAGTGATATATGTCTATTGTCTGTGTATACAGTATCTGAAGTAGAAAGTGGAAAGGGAAGTGGTGACTGCCTTCCTTCATTAAATTATCAAAATTCGAATAGAGCTAAGCCTGCGTCAAGGATTGTTCGCCTGAATGATAAAATTGGCAAAGTAGCAGATACGGCAGGAGAGATCGGCAGAGGTAAGCTGGTGCAGTTGATTCTTATGAATTGATGGTTTTGAATCATTTATTTTCTGTGAGACAACAATCCCATTGCATGCATTCATTCATAAGAAGGCTAGATATTTTTTTCCAGGACTGTTAACAGGATTCCCTATTAATATGGTCCCCATATTAATAAGGGTCCCCATCCTATCATAAAACATGTTAGAGATGTCTGTTTTATGGCAATTTCTGCACTGCTTTGCTTTGTGACTAAAGTAACCCCACTTCCCTGAATTTGTGTGTGTTTCCCCCTCACAGAAAGCTCTGCAGGATTGTTATTCTCTTGCTTTGAGGATATCAACAAAACAAGAGTTACTAAAGTTGAAAGCTTAAGAAATAGGCACTTAAAAGCAGCTGAATTGGATCAGAAACGGATAGTTTGGAGAAACAGGAACCGTAATCTGAGTGGAGATGCTTTGATAGAACTCATGAAAAACCATATTAACCAGGAGGCAAGTCCAGAACAAATTGTTGAAAAACTAGGAGTGGATGCAAAAATTCTTTCCAAAGTGTTTGAGAAGAGAAAAAGGCCTAACACTCTCAACATCAGACAGTCTTCCTTGGGACCCAGTAAGAGAGGTAACTTGGAGAAAGAATCCAGTGATGAGGATGCTCCCTATGAGGACCGTTTTGTGGACAAAACAGAGTCTCCTGTCATATTTGATTTGGAAGATTTGGATAATGAACCTTTCTCAGTGAAGACTGTGAAGCTGTTACATAAAAGGCCAAAGAGGATTCAGCGAGCCATCAGCTTTCCAGTAAAGCTTGTTGAGAAAACTGGTGTTGAGATGGGATTTGATCCACTTTCCTTGCTGGCTGCTGAGACAGAACAACAGAAAGAGGAAGAGGATGACGATGAGGACAGAAGTGCCTCAACCCCGTCTGCAAGGCGAGATTTAGCTGAAGAAATAGAAATGTATATGAACAATATGAGCAGCCCCTTAACAAGCCGTACGCCAAGCATAGATTTGCAAAAAGCCTACAGTGACAAGAACACCAACAAAAGGAGTCCAACGTTGGCTCAGCCATGCCGGAGATCTAGCCTTCCTCCAAACTCACCCAGACCGGCAAGCCTTACCAAATCCAAAAGCTACCACATAAAAAATGAAGAAAGGGGAAGGGACAGACTTTGGTCCTCTCCGGTATTTTCTCCTCATAATTTGTCCAGGGGACAATCTCAGGATACAGCTGGTGCAATAGCTCTTGCCTCTCCAACTGCTTTCAACTTGGATACACTGCTAACACCTACCTTTGACGTTCTAAAGACCAGCATGTTTTCTGCAGGGAAAGGGGTTGCTGAGAAGGCCAGCAAGTGGTACTCAAAGTTTACTACGTATGCGGCATCAGCAAAGGTAAGCATCTTAAAACATTGCTGGGTGCAAGGGGAGCCAAAATGGCTCCTGTAGTAGAGCAGTTCTCAAACTGTGGTGTGCAGCTCTTTTGTGCAGTGCAGGTGTGTGAGAAACTTTCCCTGTCACTTAGGATGATAAAAATGTTTTCAGCAAAGATTTTGGTATGCATACAAATCCTGTGATTTGAGAGCCAGGTGCATGTAAATCACACTGAGACTGTCAGACCTGACTTTCCTCTGGGAGACTCCAAGAGGAAAGAAAATAATAGTTATGTGAAACACAGAGGAGGAAAATGGCTGCAAAATAAATAGATAGGGCCCTCTGTCTTCTTGCACTGTAGGGACAAGTAAACTGTTGTTGATCAAATTTTTCATCCTGAAAAAGGAAAAGAATTTTGCTCTCTACCAGCCAATAAATTTTGGAATGTGAAAGTGGCATCTATATGATAACTATTGCAGGAGATATTTAGTCTTCATTTGTTAACTATATACATGAGTCAGGTTGCTTGGCACTCAGCTTTTCACTACCAGTTAATAGAAGTCAACTTGGATGTTCAAAGCAGTTATTCTAGAAGAAGATCCAGCTTGGTTCTGTTGGTATTGATGGTGGTGTTTCTTCCAGATACTTCCTATAAGACCTTTAAGCACAGAAAACATTCCTATTCTTGTTTTCAGGATCAAAACTCAGACCGAGCAAGCATTTCATCCCTTGGGGCCCTTGATTCAGAAACTGGCTCCCTGACTGATGAGGACGTCTGCAATGATCTTGAAAGCAACTCCTCTCCTCAAGAGAACGCCTCCTCTGTGTTAAAGGGAATTGGCTTGAGTAGGACAAGTCTTGAAAGTTCAGCTTCGAATAGTGGCACATCAAAGCGTTATTCTCAGTCCGGTAAGAGTTCTCCTTAAATTTCTCAAATTTCCTTTCTTACCCTATTTATTTTATTTTAGTTATTTAGTAACAGGTGTATGGGGTGTTAGGGGAGGGGTAGTACCTCTGGTGAGGGACACGTTGTGCTCCTTCTGGGGTAGTTTGTCCACCTTTGGTCCCCACCCTGCACTCAGCTGTCACCTGCGGCTCCTAGAAGCTGGCAGCATGTGACAGCGACCACACCCCAGGAATGGCTTCAACTCGCCAGTTAAACCAGGTGAGGGTAGCCGATGGGTCTCATACCCTCAGTGGGTTAGGGACTTCCCCTGCATACAAAGACAGGCTCTGGCAGATTGGGTGGATGAGACCAATAGTGGGTCCAATGGTCAAGAAGGCAGTTTCTGCACATGCTGTGGAGGGAAGTGAGGGAAAGATGGGGCTCGTTAACATGGAAAGGTAGCCCTTCTAGGAGAAGGAAAAATCTGATCCTAAACCTCTGCTTTATGGGATATCTTCAGGAGAAGAAAACGTTAAGGAGTAAACCTTACACAGATCCGGAGTGGAGTCCCTAAGATGGTTGGGTGGCGCCTTGTATGCCTCCTTCCAGCAACTCGTTCAGCCAAGCTGGTGCCAAACGTATTGCTCTGCTTTCCTTTGGACTACATCAGTGAGGCGGAGGGGTCTTGCCATCTGGGCAGTCCAGGACCTCGGTACACGCTGTCCAGGGTTGCGCCATGAGGAGCTCACTGCGGTGCTGCTAATGCAGCGGTTTGATTTGATCCCTGCCCTGGAGATGCACTCCATTGTCTCTTGAGAGAGACAGATGTCAACAACAGTTATTCAGAATTGTGTCCTGCTTTATGTCATGCAGGCCTCAAAGCATTTCCCATTAAAAATAGACATCGCAAAAAACAAAATCAATAAAATCTCGTAAAATTCAAAACATATAATAACAGTTTAATTCTATTTAACAACAGCACAAGATAGTGGTAGGGAGAGAGAAAATTAAACTTATCCACAAAAAGCTACTCAAGATTTCCCCTAGCTATTACTTGCACAGTAACAACAGCAGTGTACTCATGCAACTAATGTCACATCATGTCTAATTTGCAATAACTTTTATTGTCTCTCTGTGGATGACCACCTCTCCTGTCATTCTCTTCTGCTTTTTGTTTGTAATATTCCAATTTCTAAGAATGTGTTTCTGTTTTTATTATTTATTTTTATTTATAAAATACTTATATACCTCTATTCATAAAAAATGACAGCTGTTTACAACAATTGTACTTTCCATGACAATGTAGGACCATCGTGGGTCAGTCTAACATTTCCTTCTGCAGTAACAAGTATCTATTTGCCTTTTAGGCTCTCTTTCAAAGTTTCCTTTGCCTGGCAGATCAGAGCTGGTATCATCTTGCAGTACAAGCAGCACCAGCGTGTTCCAGAATTACGCACTGGAGGTACAGCATTTCCCCTTTTTAAACAGCTTGTGTTCTACACTAGCAAAAAGGATAGGTTACTCGCTTTCTCAGTTTGGTGTGGAGGAGGTATCCAGATAACAGGTTGTCTCCTCCTTCTGGCAAGAAACAGACAAGGGACCATGGGACCCAGATCTTTTGTTCTACATCTGATTTCCTGGGACTCCTGCCTCATCAAAGAGCTCTCTGCTCTATCCCCACTCATCTTTACTTTACATTTCCCTGCTTAAGTTAATGTTAGTTCTGATGAAAAGGATGGTTCATATACTTTCTAGTTTGCCCTGTGAATGGCCATCACTTTAGGGCAGTTTCTAAAATCTAGGTGACCCTTCAGTTCAGAAATGTAGCTTTCTAATATTAATGGAAGATTTTCTGTCGGTTACTGCTAAGGGGACTTTCATTACTCTTTCAAATGAACCTTCAAAAGCCTCATTACTATCCAAATGAGCAATCGTTGATACCCACTGATAAGCTGTTGATAGAAGAAGCCAGCAAATCAATCTAAAATGTATTTGTCAGCTCTAAAAATAGAGTGATTCAGCTGCTAATTTGTTGACACCGCAGTGCAGCAAAATCCTCATAGCTGCTTTTTCTTCCATTGAGGTAACTAATTAAATTTTTGTGACAGGGAGGGGTGTCCTCAAGGGGATCGGCTGAATGTTGCAGAACTCCGTATTGCACTCTGGAAAGGTCAGGACTAGATAATTAAATCTCAAAGGGTTTAAAACAGGTGGGGAACCTACAGCCCACAGGCCAGATCTGGCCTGCTGCTTGGTTTCATCTGACCCATGGGCAAGTATTTAGGAGATTTAAAAACCCTATATACGAATTGGTTCTTCCTCTTTTTCCTTCCATGCAGTGGTACCTCAGGTTAAGTACTTAATTCGTTCCGGAGGTCCATTCTTAACCTGAAACTGTTTTTAACCTGAAGCACCACTTTAGCTAATGGGGCCTCCTGCTGCTGCTGCGCCGTCGGAGCCCGATTTCTGTTCTTATCCTGAAGCACTATTTCTGGGTTAGCAGAGTATGTAACCTGAAGCGTATGTAACCCAAGGTACCACTGTATCTTGGCTTGGTATCTGTTATTTAGCATTGATAAGGATGAGGGAGAGGGAATGAGAGTGAGCAGCGGGTGTTTTATTGACTGATGTGACATCACATACACAATGCTTGCACAGAGCCCAGCTGTTCCTCATCTCCCACCCTCACTTTGACCTACTTCCTTCCTTTGTGCTGGTAGAGACAGAACACTCTATCTGGGTCTACATGTGCCTGTGTGTGTGTGTGTGTGTGTGTGTGTGTGAGAGAGAGAGAGAGAGAGAGAGAGAGAGAGAGAGAGAGATGGTACATGCAAGTGAATGGTTGGTGTTATTCTTCCTTTCAAGAATGAACCAAACCAATAGAGAAGGGAAGTTCCACACTCCTTTTCACCTTCACACTTCACTGTCTGCCATGACAATGGTTCCTGGAGAATATTCCTGAGCCTGGCATATGACCTGCTTAAGAGGCTGCCTGAGCAGCAGCAATCCCTACACTACCATCAGCACCTTGTTCAGATCTTCGCAGCACCTCACCTTGTCAAACAAGTCTTGCTGTACCTAGCTGAATTATTAGCATCCTTTACAGGAAATGTGGTGATGATGGTGGTGTTCAGGGGCAGCCGAACTTAGTGTAAAATGGTGTGAGGCTCAGTTAGCAGCCATACATTGTAGAGATGGGCCTGTGGCTCTTGTGGGGTGTGGAATTCCAACATCTCCCCCCCCCCCCGCTGTGAACTTTTTCTTGGGGTCTCTTATGGAGTTTCTGCCCAGGAGCCCCAGACTGAAAGACTCCCCAAAAAGTCTCTGTATGCTGAGAGGTCAAGTAGGGTCGGTTTTGTTTTGTTTTTTAATTAACAGAGAAGCAGGCTGTGTTGCTACTTGTGGATCCATTATGCAGCCGGCTGAAGAGAATGCAGCCCAACATTCTTTGCTTTGAATTAACAAGCCGTGTGAGAGAGAAAAACATTCTGCTTGTCCAATTGAAGTCCCCAGAGGCAAACTGAATTTGGCTCACAGCATGCAAAGAGGTGTCTTTGCCCTCACTTCTCTGCTCATTCCTTCCCCCCCCCCCCCCGCCCTTGGGCCAAAGGCCCTTGCAAGGCAGAAGCTTCCACATCCCTGGCTTAAAACAAGGTCACTAACAGAAAGAGGATATGCTGATGGTGGATTAGGTTGCTGATCTCTGAGTACCTTGAATTGAACATCTTCGTGCCTTGCTGGATTCATGTGTTGAAACTGAACTGCTGGTTGTTGTTTTTTAGGCCTGCAATCTTTAATTAGCTTAATTAGTAGATTAGACAACTGACGTTTTAATTGGTTTAATTGGTATGAGGGCAGTTTTTGCTCAGGAAGGCTGGGAGTTGAGAGCACATTTACTTATTTGCTCAGCCCCTTTTAGTTCCAGCATGTAAATGTAAGAGCAGATGACAAAGAAATGGTTGAAGTTGCCTTGCAAACAAGTCCACAAGCAAGCATTTTTGTTAGCCAGCCTGCCAGTTCAGCTATAAGACTGAAATTCTGTGCATGCTTAACTTAGAAGTCAGCCACACTGAATTCAGATTTGCTTTCCAAAAAAACACGTCTGGAATTGGACTGTTTTCATCTCCAGAACCTGAAAAACTGAAAATTTTACTCGATGTTTCACTGTAACCTATCAGAATGCAACATAGTCTGTGTACATCTGCATACATGATACATTATTTACTTTCAACTTCAATGAATGAATCTAAAATACCAAAACAAGTTTGACATTTACAAACATTTCCAACTATATTTTAAGATTTCCTTTGGTGGTCAATTTGAAATGGGAATCTCCAGCCCTCCTGAAGTTTTCAGCCAAAGAATAGGATGCAGAGCCGAGAGGCGCTTTCAGTCCAGCTCTAGGTTTTATGAATTCGGTTGGGTTTCTATTGCAGTTTGGTATGACTTGGGATTTCTCTTGCTACTGGGGCAAAAGCCGCACTGAGGGCTTTAATGAAGTGCTTTCCGCAGGTCCTCATCTCAAGCTGTTCACGATGCCATACCTGTGACTGTCTTGTACATGATGAAGAAATCATGGCAGGCTGGACAGCAGATGATTCCAACCTTAACACCACATGCCCTTTCTGCGGAAACCAATTCTTGCCTTCCCTGAACATCGAAATCAGAGATCTACGGGGTCCTGGAAGGTAAGTTATTATTTGCCATTGGATTCTTGCTTGCAGTAATTCCAAAGGTGCATTGTTTAAAAATCCTCTAGTTGCAACGTGGGTTTTTTTGTACTTTTTATAGATATTTCCTGAAATCCAGTCCATCTTCAGAGAACATGCAGCTTCCATCATCTTTTTTCAATCAGGCAGCAAAGCCCTGCATCTCTGATCCCACATCAGGATTTTCAGCATCTCTAATACCTGCTCAGGACGACTTGCATTCAAATAGGTAAAATCATCACATTTTGACTCAGTCAAAGAAAAAAAAAACTTGACATGTCTGTGGGCATTTAATAATACTTTAATAAATGCTCACAGGCAAGTCATGGTTGCCCACTCCATCCTGACTCCTCAAAGTGGGTAAGAGGATGCTGACTTCGATGGTCCTTGGCCTGATTCAGCGATAAAAATTAAAACCATAAAGCAACATCAGAAAAGCAACAGTCTACCCCAAATACCCATTAGAAAGCCACAGTAAAATCAGCATGAATCATTATGCTAATTTTTATTAATAATCAACAGTGGCATGGTAATAATCTATGCCCATCAGTTAGATAAATTTTAGAAGATGCAGGGGAAATGGGGAGGAGGCTGTCATGAAATGGCTCAGATACATGAATAAGAAAAACTGTGTGTTCTGGCTTAGTGGTTAGACTGAAGTCTATTTTCTGCCCACCTAAGAACTGGTTAGCAGTATGGCATATTTATCAGACAGCAGGCAAGCAACTTTATTGAAGGATGGAATCTATGTGCAGTGTGTTGGAACAGCAAATAACAGGACAGTGTTTGACCTTATCTTTTCTTTTTATTGTAGAGTTGGGGGGGGGAGAGATGTTGATTTTTTAAATATGTGGTTTTAGGTAAAATTAAAAAATTCAAATACAAATATTCTTTTGTTGGTAACAGATCCAAAGAGCCTGATAGCACCTGTGCCAGAAGCATTCAGATCCCTCCAAGAAGGCAAAATACTGCTGGGACTGAGCACACCAGCCATGCCTTGTCTCGAAGCATGAGTACCTTCAGTCCCCTGGAGGTGGAGGAAACAGAGCATCACAAGCACAGTCACATTGTTCCCACTGGGAGCTTGCCTACCACATTGCAGGGGACAGCTGTGAGTACTTAGGCCTTCTTTCTTGCCTCCCTAACTGGAATATTCAGAGCAATCAAAGATTCTGCAAAGCACAATTGCTTTTACCATGTTGGTGCTAGTTGTCCTGCTTAATAATTACCAAAGGGGGGATAATTGACCAATGGTATAATCCCAGAAGTGTCACACAGAGTTAAACGATGAAGCTTGGTCCCACAAGAGGCAGTGATAGTCACCAATTTGAATGGCTTAGACGAATTCGTGGAGGATAAGGCTATCCAATGGCTACTAGCCACCATGTTCTCCCTCCACTATTGGAGGCAGTATGTCTCTGAATACCAGTTGCTGAGAATCACAAGTGGAAAGAGCATTGTTGCGCTGGGGTCCTGTTTGTGGGCTTCCCTTTGGGACTTTTGGTTGACCACTGGGAGAACATGATACTGGACTTAAAAGGGCATTTGGAGCAAAGGAAGCTTCCTTTTACTAAGTCAGGACATTGATCCATCTAGCTCAGTATTGTCTGCACTGACCAGCATTAGCTCTCCAGAGTTTCAGATTGGGATCTTTGCCCAGCCCTACCAGAAGATGCTAGGGATTTAACCTGGGAACTTTCTGCACGCAAAGCAGTTGCTCTTAACACTGAGCCATGGCCCTTCCGCAAATTAAAGCCCATCGGAGAATAAAAGGCTTGGAAAAATGAAAAAGTCTTCTCCTAGCACCTAAAGGACATCAGTGTAAGCGCCAGGATAAGTTCTCAAGAGAGTTGTGACTGAGAAGGCTGCCTCTTCTTCCCCACTTTAGTAGCTCCTGAAGAAGAACCTCTAAAATAGAGCTTAGCTAAAATGAGACCCAATGTGGGGTAGTGGTTAGAGTGTCAGCCTAGAACCTGGGAGACCAGGGTTCAAATCCCCACACATCCATGAAGCTCCTTGGGTGACTTTGGGCCAGTCACAGTCTCTCAGCCTAACCTACCTCACAGGATTGCTGTGAGGGTAAAATGGGTAGGGTGGGGTTGGAGAGGACCATGTATGTCACTTTGAGCTCCTCAGAGAAAAGATGAAATGTAATAATAAATACAAAAAAGTTTCTTTTTATTTCTTTATATATCCAATAGGATCCTTTGGGGTTGGAGTGGCGTTTGCAGAGTCCAGAGCCCATAACTGTCCCATACCTGAGTCCTCTTGTTGTATGGAAGGAGCTTGAAAGTTTATTAGAAAACGAAGGGGATCATGTGATAACAGTGCCAGACTTTGTGGACCACCATCCCATTGTGTTCTGGAATCTAGTGTGGTATTTTCGACGCCTGGACTTACCTAGTAACTTACCAGGATTAATACTGTCCTCTGAGCATTGCAATAAGAATTCAAAGGTATGAAAAAATGGCTGTACATTTGTTTTAAGGGCTTGACAAATTATTATAAACCTTGTGCCTTCCGACTGCAGCTTTTCTCTGCTCCTACAGCTTCCCACCCCAGGGATTTTGGGACTGTGCATGCATGTGTTTTGGGGCGGGGAGAGAGAGAACTACCAATCTGTTTTAGACCTGTATTGAACGAGTTCTGGGATTGCTTCTGATTCTAGAGAGCCTGTTGATATCCTCATAATGAAAGCATGCTGGCTAGATCTCTGAAATTGAAGCCTGAGCAGTATTCTGCTCACCCTTGCAGAATGCTTCAAGAATGGAAAATAAGTGCATGTCTAGTCTCTGGACCAGACTAGCTGAGATGCCAGTAGCCAGTGCAGGGGACTGGCAGAGATGTAAATAGTAGGTGCCAGGGGACTATGCATAGTTTTTTGTTTTTCATTTTACCCCTCCTCCACTGTGTTTCAAATCTGGATCGAAGAGTCTGCTCCTTGCACTGGGGGGAAAAGTTCAATTTGTGACAATGACACAGGAACAGGGGGCCAGTCCAAATCCATACTACTGCAGGGAACAAAGAGCGAAAAACCACATTACACCTTCCTTCACAGGCTAGCGTCTCAATCCTGTTTACTTTTTTGCCTTTTGCCACACCCACTTTCACCTCTGGCCAGGGTATTCATAACTCTTCAGTGGGGCCCTAGCAGAGAAGAAGCTTACAATGCGATAGCCGAAAGTCAGAATTGTTATCCTTTCCCACTGTGTGTGTGGCATCAAGGAAGTTTGATGCTGTTCTGTAATTCCCTACTATAATGTTCAGTCTTGTCTTTTGTGTTGTTATTGCTCAGATTCCCAGGAATTGCATCTTAGAGGACAGCAAGTACGTTCTAATTCAGATGCTGTGGGACAACATGAAATTGCATAAGGATCCAGGGCAGCCTCTCTATATTCTGTGGAATGCACAGAGTAAGTGATGACCGGCATGCAGCTTGGAAGCTGTTGTGTGCTGTTTTTAGAACAAATTCTTCACTACGACCACCAGTAACTTAAGCTGATAAGCAATGGGGATTTTGATTGTGCTAATCTGTTTGTCTTGCAGGTCAAAACCAAACACTTGTGTTTGAGAGTGAGTGTTACATTCTGTACTGTTCAGGTTGCTTTTTTATTTTGTGTATGTGTGTATATTTTATACAGTAACTTTTTGGCTTACAGTGTACTTGCCTTAGCACAAATTTATTTTCCAGCCTTTTTTCCATTCAATTGTTAAATTCCTATCCTTTTTTTTTTTAAAGATGAACCATTGGAGTTGTGTTGGTGATTTGCCTCGTAGGCAGAGGTGGCTGGTCCATTAAGACAAATGGAGACACTGCCCCATCACCCTCTGCCAGACCCAGCTAGCCTTTCCATCTACCTGCCTTATATCCAGCCTAGGAGGTGGCTGTGGCTGCCAGCTTCCTCCTCCACCTTGGTCTCAGTGCTGTCATTGTGGAACTCTGCAGGGAAGAAGATGCAGGCTAAACTAGCATCTCTTGGCTCCACCTGTCATTGGTTCTGCATCTCCTGCTTCTCTGCCTTCCTCCCCACCTGTCTCAATGGACACCAGCCACCACTACTTGCAGGGTCACCTGAGTAAAACCTTGCATTGGTCTCAATGCTTGTTTTTGAATTGGCTTTTAATACCCATTTGGTTGCAACTCTTATATGCTATTGGCCAGAACTTCCCTTTTATGGCTTGCTTTTTTGTGCTTTATTTTTGTACTCCCTTTATCCTGATTCTGTCTTTATATGACAAGTGTTTTTTTTTGCAGAGCCAACTTAAAAGGTATCCTTGTTTTTACCTTTCAGCTCTTATTCCCCCTACCCCGTCACTGCTGTTTTTCATTTCCTTCTTAAATATTCCTTTTTATTCCTTCTCCCCAGCACAAAATTACCCAATGGTTCGCTTACTGCAGAACGATGACAGCTCATTTAACCAGGAGCTCTTAAGAAGCATGGTGAAGAGTATTAAGATGAATGATGTCTATGGGCCAATGAGCCAGATTCTAGAGAGACTGAACAAATGGCCACAGATGAAAAGGCAAAGGTAAATGAGCACAGTTAAAAAGAAGCCTATAGTATCATGTTGTAAGAGGAGGAAGTCATTCATCCCCTTGAGAGTATCAATGCTTTGATGTTCTGCATCTTGAAAAAGGATGCCTCTTGATAGGATGCCTTATGGGCTGTAACATTTCGTGCTATGTGTTTGATACCTGAATGCTTCTTTAGAACAAACACTTTGCACAGTGTTCACTGGAACGTAATCACTGCCCCCCCCAAAAGAAAATGTTTTAAATGCATATCCAGTCCTGTGGGCTTTCCAGTGGTCTCCCACCCAAATCATGCCCACATCTGATAAGATTCAACAATGCTGCAGCTCCAGGTGATGCCAGACCAATTCACCGGACTCCTTGAACCTATGCCCTCAGTCCAAGCAGCCACAGTGCTGTGTGCTTGTGTGTATCCTATTTGGCAAAGCAGCAGTGAGGATCACAAATGCACTATTAAACATCAAGGCTTTCTCACTCAGTGGAGGGTGGCAGCCAGAGTGGTTCATTCTTCCCATTTGTTATGGGGGAAGGGCCATGAAAATTATTCAGGCAGGGACTCTCCCCCTCACATCCTGGCTGCTTCAAAGAGACAAGGTGTTTCAGAGCTTCTGCTCCACTTTCTTTGGATGTAGGTAGCTGGAATAGGAAGCAAGCTGGACCAGCTTTGCATTTTGATCGTGCCTACTTCACTGTGCTCTCCTAAGTGGGTCACAATGCAAAACCGCCATGGCTCACACAAAAAATGTGGAAACATAGCAAAGTGGCACCCTGATCAACCCCAGAGGCAAAAACAGAACAAAGAGAAGCAATGTCAGGCATTACAAAACAGTGTTTATGTAGAGCACAGGCAATTTTGGGGAAAAAATCTCTTTCTCAAGGGCACTGCAAAAGCATGTACTTAACGTGATTGCAGCTTCTGCAGATCACCAGACATAGATACAGGGTGAGTCCTTTAAAACAGGCTCCGTGGATACAGAGTACACATGTTCCATGGGGCCTCTTTTAAAAGACTCGCCCTGTAGATAGATGGATAGATAGATAGATAGATAGAGGAGCAAGCTTGTTTATCAGGCTCTGGGAGTCTTCTCAAGAGACTCCCAGAGCCTGTTAAGGCAGAGGGCCTAAGAATTATTTCTATGCCACAAAAATCCTTAACAGAAAGAGCTTTTAAACCCTCCACCCTGCTTACCAAGCTGTGGGAGACTCCCATGAGATCTCAGGCAGCCCCATTCTCAAAATCTTGGATGGCAGGGACAGTTCCAGGGCTTGTTCTGCCTTTGCGTGATTCTGCCTTTGCACGCAGTCCCTGGGAATGTAAACCTTGTGTCAATTGCAGTCCCACTATGTGGTATAAATAAGAAAAAGGGTACCGTATTTTTCGCCCTATAGGACGCACTTTTTCCCCTCCAAAAATGAAGGGGAAATGTGTGTGTGCGTCCTATGGGGCGAATGCAGGCTTTCGCTGAAGCCTGGAGAGCGAGAGGGGTCGGTGCGCACCGACCCCTCTCGCTCTCCAGGCTTCAGGAAGCTATCCCCCCAGCCCGGCAAGCTCCCAGAGCAATGCCGAAGCTGCACGCAGCTTCTCCATCGCTCTGGCTCCCGTTCTGGGGGCTGGGGTCCTTTATTCCCCCCCCCCAAAAAAAAATCTAGGTGTGTCCTATGGGCCGGTGCGTCCTATAGGGCGAAAAATACGGTAATTAGTACAAAGTAGAACAGCCTTCTCCAGCTTGGTGCCTCCCCCACCCCAGATGTTTTGGAGTAGAGCTTTCATCTGGACCATCTATGCCCAGGTTGGCAAGGAGAGTAGGGTGCTGTGGCGATCACACAGGGCCCCTGGACGTTTCACAGTCTATTGACCCTGTGCCACCACTGCGGTTGCTTTCTTCGCTGCCACCACCCCGCTTCTCACGGGGACACATGGAGTCCAGACAGTTGTTAACATAAACAAATAATCAAGTTTATTTTTAAGTGCAGGAATAAGTGTATGGTTTCGGTTTATTTTTCCCTTGTCAGTTTCTTAAATCTTAGTTCCTAACAACTTCAAACTGAATTATTCCCAACTATCTATTTACCTCCCTAACAATTCCTCTCACTCTCTCACAATAACTCGACCAACCCACTGCCTATTCCACCCTCTTCCTTCTCCAACACCCAAGCCTCAACTCCCAACTGACAAACCTCAACTGACTTTTCAAAACCTCCCACTCTATCTTTTACTCCCCCCTTGCATTCTCACTGGCCTATCACATCACACCCATTTTAACCCTTTCCTTGACCCATCCTAGGAGGCAAACTTCACAGGTGCAATCCAGCCTTCCAATCTCTTTTAACAGTGAGAACTCCCCTTCACCTCATGGTGTGTTTTCTAGACCTGGCAGGGCTATCATCATGACCCAGTTACAAATAATAATAACCATGCAAAAATCACTACTTTTAGAGTGGAGAAGAATGTCCGGATTATATGAAGTATAGTAGGTTCATATAAGATTGTGGTTTTTAAAATAACACTTTCCAATGTATCTTTTTTAGGAGCCTTTATAGAGAAATACTATTTCTCTCTCTTGTTGCGCTTGGAAGGGATAACATTGATATAGGTAAGCCATCAAGTTGTGTTGTGTTGTGCTAAGTGCGCATAAAAGTAGTCATTGTAAACTGTTACTTCAAGACTTAAAAGGATACTTTTTGTTTTAAAGCATCTTTCACAATCCTGTTTAGATGAAGTATAATAATTTAAACCTAGTTGCTTCTTTTCTGTAAAGCCAGACTCGTAAATAGCTATTTGCCTGTGTGCGGTGAAGATCACCTTCAGGCAAACAAGAGTGGGGAAGATTTTATAAAGGGAATAAGAATGGGTTTATTCCTCTGACTCCGACTATTGATGGTCACTAAAACGTGACCAAGCCATTTTCAAACCATGGAATATGAAGAGAGCTTTTTTTTAACTAACCAGGGTTTGTTTTAAAACAATAATCTCTTATTCATATTCATTCATAACTCAGGATTAATGAAAACTCAGAGTAAATGCTGCAGAAATTTTTATTCTGAGCTGAAGGTTTTGCTCTGGCTTAATTCTAATGCATGCACCCATGGTTTAGCATTGTGCAAACCAGCCCAATTTGCAAGCAGCTACTATTTATTTGTTGCTGCCACTAAGTTGGAACACCACTAAGTTGGAAGCACAAGCCATTTGGGGGCCATCCATCAGCCCCCAATTGAGGTTATTGGTTCGTCTTGCTAATCTGTATATAACACATTTTTTAAAAGGAATTGTATGATGAAGTGCTTCAGTCAGGCTCTTTTGTGAAACATGAATTCAAAACTGTTGTCTAAAATGGAATCAGTCTCTTGAAAACACACACACACACACACACACACACACAAACACACAGTATTACAGAAAAGAACCAGACACTAATATTAACAATAGTAATAATTCATACATCACAAAAGCATATAAAATATATCTGTGTGGTGTACAACCACCTAACATATAAAATCAAACCTTAAAGAAACAGAAATACAGGAATGGGTCATCTGACAAGAAGGTTATAAAAAGAGTAAATCATTTTTATCAGGTTTGCTTCCTGAGTTGGTGCCTAACGTCAGCCGTGGACAGAGTGCCTTTTTCAGAATCCCCTATCTGAGCAGAGTCCACTGGGAAATCCCCCTGCCCCAAGAAATGAATCGGAGCTGTGCAGAAAACACTCCTAGTTCATAGCTATCCCAAAGCTAAAGCATTTCTGGCACCTGCTCCATTGTTCTGGTATAACCTCCCCCCTCCTGTCGTTACAGATGCTTTTGACAGAGAATACAAAATGGCTTATGACCGCCTTACAGTAAATCAGGTGAAGAGCACCCACAACTGTGATAGGCCTCCAAGTACAGGAGTGATGGAATGTCGAAAGATTTTTGGGGAGCCGTACCTTTAAAAAAGAAATATTGCACCTAATGAATTGCAGCAGGGTTTGTATGAAGAAACAGAAAAGACTTCAGAAAGACTCTCACCCTTCTCCATTTAAAAAAGCATCTTCAGCTTTGTTTTAAAATTAGGATTTCCAAGGGGGGAAATGTTGCTGGAATGACTTATGAGCCGTGGGCCAGAGTAGGCTCTCTTCACTGTGGACAGTGTCTGCAAAACATGTAGGGGAGAAAACGGAATGGTCCATTGCAGAAAGCTTAAGCAGAGATGGACCAAAATCATGTACTGAAAGTTTGCATGAATGAAATAAGCTTTTCAGAACTGTTTACATAGAAAGTTAAAAATGTCACAGAGCTCATACCAGAGTTGTATAATAACAGATTTTAAATTATTTATAGCAAGTTCATATTTTTTTAACTTTTTAAATTACTATAGTGAATCAAGTGATCCTGTTGCAGAAGCAATACTTTTGTCCTCCCTCAGAATATTGCTGTTTATAGCAACAGGTCTTTTTTGCAGATAAAGCCCTTCTCTCTTTCATTTTTTAAAAAGTAGTGTGGAAATATCGATGCTGTTCTCAATCACAGTGCAGGTTGTAGTATTTCCTGTCCCTCCCCATAAGTGCACACTTAAAAGATTGCAGACTTTAGCTGACAAGTATTTCAAACTTGTATGAAGCTTTCATAAGTTACGTGCATTTGTCACTTTCAAGTGTGTTGGCTGTTGGGGAGCCACCGCTATACAGATAATCTGTTGCAAAGCCTGCCATTTAAAGAGCTACTTTAGGCATTCCAATGGGTCAAGATTTGCCCTGTGATAGAAGGTGTCAGAATTGAGATCTTTAAGGATATCCCAAAATATCTTTTGGACCTCAGAGCTAACTACGCAGACCTGGTAGGCCTGTTAAGGAAGAGCAACATCCCGTTCAGGTGGGAATTTCCACAAGGCCTTTCGTTTTCATTTAAACAAAAGAAATAAAAGATAAGATCCAAGGAAGATAAAGTGAGCTTCTTGAGAGACTTCGGTGAGGACCTGCGAAAAGAGGCCAGAACAAGAGTATCAGAACTACCAGGCCTGAGATCACCTGACTTGGGAAGGCACCCCTTGGGGTTGGACCAACTTGAGAAAGAGAAACAACCGTCAGAACAAGAGCAACTTTTAGGAGCGGTTGGAGGAACCCGATTGTGATTACAATATGTCTCTGCAGATCTTAACCTGGAACATTAGAGGTTTGAACTCCCCTAGTAAAAGGAAAAGAATCTTTCACATCTTAAAAAAGGAACAATTAGATCTGATCTGTTTACAAGAAACACATATAACAAGACTCCATAGAAAACTATTGATAAATAAACAATTAGGTCAAGAAAATACAATATCAAGGAGAGAAAATATTAATAATTGGAGTCTACGCACCTAATGAGGGGAAATCAGAATTTTACAAGAAGCTGCATGAGACGCTGCTGGATTACATGGATCAAAATATTATTTTGATGGGAGACATGAATGGTGTGGTGTCGACACATATGGATAAATCTGAAAGACAGTTAATTACTAAAGATGGAAGACTACCAAAGACTTTCTTTGAAATGACAGACAACATGGACTTGATTGATACTTGGAGAACTAAAAACCCCACAGGCAGAGAGGGGACTTTTTTCTCTGAAACTCATATGACCTGGACTCGAATTGACCAGATCTGGATTACAAGAGGGATGGCACCTAAGATTCGAAAGGTGGAAATCTGTCCAAAAACTTGCTCCGACCACAACCCAGTGAGAATGGAAATGAAATTAACACCGATTGGTTCCTTCAGATGGAGAATGAATGATGCCTTGTTTAGAGATCCAGAAATTATTAAAAAGGCCCAAAAAACTATAAAAGACTATTTCGAAATAAATTTGCAGACTACGGTGGAAAAGAGAGGAATCTGGGACGCAAGTAAAGCTGTAATGAGAGGTTTTTTGATCCAACAAAATGCCATAAAGAGAAGACTTCAAGAGGAGAGAAAAGGAAAGATTCTAGAAAAAATTAAAGAAGGAGAGAAGAGACTAAGATCTAAACCAAAGTTACAGGAGATTTTGCGAGAAATTAAATCATACCAAGCACAATATTCAAAACTGGTCAATCAGGATATAGAATGGAAAATTAAACAGATGAGACAAAAAACATTTGAGTCGGCTAATAAATGTGGAAAACTGTTAGCTTGGCAGCTGAAGAAAAGACAAAAACTAAATACTGTGACTAACCTTGAAGTAAATGGGAGGAATATACAAAACCCAAAGGAAATTAAAGACTGCTTCCAGAGATACTTCAAACAACTGTATGCACAAGGGCCACAGAATGAGGCACAGATTGAAAATTTTCTAGAAATAAATGGATTACAAAAAATATCTCAAGAGAACAAATTAATTTTGAATGAGAGAATTTCTGTACAGGAGGTCGAAGGCGCCATAAAAAATTTACAGCTAGGCAAGTCTCCAGGCCCAGATGGACTATCCTCCAAGTATTACAAAATTTTGAAAGACCTTTTAATTCAACCATTAACGGAGGTTTGTAATGAAATTATGGAGGGGAAGAGAGCGCCGGAATCGTGGAAAGAGGCATTTATTACACTAATACCGAAAAATGAGACTGAAAAGACGCAATTGAAGAACTACCGCCCCATATCCCTACTTAATGTGGATTACAAAATTTTTGCTGATATTTTGGCTAAAAGATTGAAAAAAGTCCTAAATGGGATGATACATAAAGACCAAGCAGGCTTTCTCCCAAGTAGATATATGTCAAATAACACAAGAAACTTGATCGATATTTTGGAAAAATTGCAAGCGGATATAAATACAAAAGCTGTTTTGATATTTATTGACGCGGAGAAAGCCTTCGATAATATCTCTTGGAGCTTTATGATGAAAAATCTACAAGAGACGGGGGTGGGAGAAAGGTTTGGAAATGGTATAGGTGCGATCTATTCAGAACAAAAGGCAAAATTAATAGTGAACAATGCAGTTACAGAAGAAGTCAGGATAGAGAAAGGGACACGACAAGGCTGCCCAATTTCCCCGCTGCTCTTCATTTCTGTCTTGGAGGTCTTGCTGAATATGATTAGAAGGGACCAGCAGATCCAGGGTATACGGGTCGGAGCTAAACAATATAAACTTAAAGCGTATGCAGATGACCTAGTACTGACACTGAAGGAGCCAATCCCTAGTACCAATAGAGCGTTGAAAATAATAGAAGAATTTGGTCAGGTGGCAGGTTTTAAATTGAATAAATTAAAAACAAAGGTGTTGGAGAAGAACATGACACCAATTGAGAAGGAAGAGTTTCAGAGGGAAACAGGCTTATCACTGGTTAAAAAAGTGAAGTACCTTGGGGTGAACATGACCTCAAAAAATGCTAACCTATTTAAAGACAATTATGAGAAGTGCTGGTCAGAAGTGAAAAAAGATCTTGAAATCTGGACCAATTTGAAGCTTTCCTTGTTAGGGAGAATTGCGGTTATTAAAATGAATGTATTGCCAAGAATGTTATTTTTGTTTCAGACGTTACAAATTATAGACAAGATGGATTGTTTCAAGAGGTGGCAAAAAGAAATTTCCAGATTTGTCTGGCAGGGCAAAAAGCCCAGAATAAAATTCAAAATTCTTACTGATACTAAGAGCAGAGGGGGGTTTGCCCTGCCAGACTTTAAGTTATACTATGAAGCAGCAGCTTTCTGCTGGATGAAGGAATGGCTACTTCTTGAGAACACCGACATATTGGATTTAGAGGGATTTGACAATGTTTTTGGGTGGCATGCATATCTGTGGTATGACAAGGTTAAAGTTCATAAAGGCTTCAGAAACCATATTGTTAGAAAAGCATTATTTAATGTCTGGATGAGATACAAAGACTTGTTGGAAAGTAAGACCCCCAGGTGGTTGTCGCCAATGGAGGCCAAAGCCTTGAAAAAGTTAAATATGGAATCTAAATGGCCAAGATACTCGGAGATCTTGGAACAAGAAGGTGACAGGTTGAAATTGCAGAGTTATGAGAAACTTAAAGATAAGGTGCAGGACTGGTTACATTATTTTCAAATAAGAGAGGCCTATAACTTGGACAAAAAAAATGGTTTCCAGGTGGAAAAATCAAAGTTAGAAACAGAACTGTTAGAACCCAATGCTAAGATATTGTCGAGAATGTACGATTTGTTGTTGAAATGGAATACGGAGGAGGAAACGGTTAAATCTGCTATGATAAAATGGGCACAAGACATTGGTCATAATATTATGTTTGCTGACTGGGAACGGTTGTGGACCACCGGTATGAAATTTACGGCGTGTAATGCCTTAAGAGAAAATATCATGAAAATGGTTTACAGGTGGTACATGACACCAGTCAAGCTTGCAAAAATCTATCACTTGCCTGATAATAAATGTTGGAAATGTAAAGAAACTGAAGGAACATTCTTTCACCTTTGGTGGACGTGCCCAAGGATTAAGGCGTTCTGGGAAATGATCTATAATGAACTGAAAAAGGTATTTAAGTATACTTTTTTGAAGAAACCAGAGGCCTTTCTCCTGGGCATAGTCGGCCAATTGGTGCCAAAGAAGGATAGAACTTTTTTCATGTATGCTACAGCAGCAGCAAGAATACTTATTGCAAAGCATTGGAAGACGCAAGATTTACCCACCTTGGAAGAGTGGCAGACACAAGTGATAGACTACATGGAACTGGCAGAGATGACCGGCAGAATCCGAGATCAAGGAGAGGAGCAGATGGAAGAGGACTGGAAGAAGTTTAAAGTTTATCTACAAAAATATTGTAAAATTTATGAATGTTGAAGGCTCTGAAAATGAAATGAAGGGGTTCTAGCGGCCAAGATAAATAAGATTGAAAAGGGAGGGATAAAGGTTTAAAACGAATAATGAACGATCTTGCTGATCAAACTTTTTAAAGTAGAATACAAGAAGGGAAGGCGGGTGGAAGTAAAGAGAATAAGGTTTGGAAAGCTATTAATATAAAAAATGTGTTTTTTTTATGCTCTTTTATCTTTGTATTCTTTTTTTGTTTTCTGTTTTTTGTTTTTTTGTTGTTGTCGTTGTTGTTGTTTTTATTGCCTTTTTGCTTGGCTTTCTGCTTATCTTTGTTGATGTTAAATTTTTCAAGATTTGCCCTGTAGGGTTGTGGACCTTTCCTCATCAAAATAACAAGCTTTGCACCAGAGGTTGGGAACCCTTTTCAGTCTGAGAGTCACATTTCCTCATGGAAAACCTCCCAGGTGTTGGGCCAGGCCAGAGTCAAAATTGGACAAGGGATGTGACTCTTACCATTGTACAATAGGCTACATTCCAGCTATCCAAAACTCCGAGGGTTTGAAACACATAGCCCCACACCCTGCCCACCTCTCCATCCAGGCAAGCAGGAGGAATTGTCACAATTCTTCCCTCTCCTGGCAATTCACTGCTTGCATTTATTTAATATTTGAAGATGCGGTTTTGAAACACATAGCCCCACACCCTGCCCACCTCTCCAGGCAAGCAGGAGGAATTGTCACAATTCTCCCCCCCCCCCGGCAATTCACTGCTTGCATTTATTTAATATTTTAAGATGCCCTCTTCAAAGCACCACACTTCGAACAAGTACCTCTTCCTGGGGAAACACATAGCCCCACACCCTGCCCACCCCTCCATCCAGGCAAGCGGGAGGAATTGTTACAATTCATGCTTTCTGGGCTTGAACACATTGTACAGGGCAAATGATAGTAATACTAGGGCCGCTAAATTCATAATGGAAGCTAATCCCATTGTACTGAGCCATAAAAA